GGGGCTGGCTGCCCGGTCTGCCTGCTGGCCTGCCTGCGTCGGATTTGTCGCCATTGTTGCACCTCGGCGCAAAGCCTGCAGACTCATTCCGAGAGTCGTTTTCGTCGCTCTGTCTCTCTCGCCCTCATGGGCGCTCCGTACGGGTGCGAGAGAGACAGCGCGACGACTCTCGGAATGAGTCTACTGGCAAAGCCTGACGCGCCCTGCCCAGTCCCGCCACTGCTAAACCCCTCCCCTCGAACCGCCCCTTTTTCGCGCGGGAAGGAAGAAGAGGAGGCCAGAAAATCGACGGCGCCATTACCGACATGAAGAAGGCGAAGACGGAGAGAGAAAGTTCCACGGCGATTGATTCGTCATTATTTTCAGCTCGCCGTCCCCCGCAACCACCGGCAAGGCAAGCCGGCAGGCCGCGAAGGAACCAAAAGTCAACTTTTTTTTCGGTCCGTTGGCAGCGCCGAGCACGTCGGGTAATAACTCGAGGAAAGATCGCGATTTGGAAAAACGGGGCTGAAATCAATGCATCCAGACAGGAACGCTGGCCGACGAGCGGTAAACAATATTGCTCCCGACCGCAGAACGATGAGGGTCGCGGCCCTCCATTCCCCCGACAACGCGAGCAGGGGGCGGAATCCGGAGATTCCTTCTCGTCGTCCCGTCCCTGTCTCACTCGCGGGTGACCCGTGAGTGAGACAGAGCGACTCGACGATTCCTCGGAGAGGCATGGCGCGGGGCGGGGATGTGCGCGAGGCTCGCCGCCGGAGCGCGGTAATGTCCGGCATGCATACACGCCAGCCCCGCTAGCACCGCCAGGGCCAACAGGGCCGTGATGCAGCACGTGGCGGCGGTGGCGGCAGGGCCGCGTGCGGTGTAGGATCGCCGCGCCCGTTACACTAGAAACTGTGCGTCTTGCCGCAGTGGAGTAGCAGTAGAACAGGCTGGGGCCAGGACGCTCTGCCGGCCCTGCCGTGATTCGAAAGAGTCGTGTCGTCGCTGTCTCCCTCGCACTCATAGGGATCTCTATGAGTGCGCGAGGGAGTCATAGCGACCAAGCGCGCTCTTCTGGTTCGCTCGGCTGCCCGGAAGCCAGCAATGACCCAGCGCGTCCGTCAATCGCTGTGACACAGCGCACTGTCTCTCTCGCTCCCGCAGCGTCGCCGGGATGCACCCGGGATGCACCAGGCGCGGCGTCCGGCAGGACCGAGGGGGCATTCACTTCGAGGGTTACAAGTACACGCCGGGGTTTTCGAATCCACCTTCAAGTATTTAGCAATGTTTTTAAGCGAAATGTATAAAAACCACTCTTGGAATAATTAAAAAAGGATACTTAGATTCTTCATATATTCAATAGTACAAGGCACCCGAAAGGAAGCATCAAAGACCTAACCTAACCTAACCGAACGCGTGACCCCACCAATGGATTGCTTTCCGACCGAGGAATCCATTGGTGGGGTCACACGTTCGGTTCGAGTCGACTCTGGAGCTCAAAACGCGTCTACGGTTTTGTCCGCCTCCACCGGCCTTCTGGCCCACTGTGCCCCATACCGCGCCACTGGCAAAGTCCCCGCGTGGGGCTTCCGATCCGAGGCGCGCAGCGCGCAGCACCATCACTCGGATTAACAGAGAGGAGCAAGACTGGGAGAGTCGTCCCAGGCAGGCGGAGGCGGGGCCTGGCGGGGCTGCACTACTCACCATGGACGAGAAAATGTTGTGTCGCTGCCAGTGGACAAAGTCTGCGGCAGCGCCCGCCCGGAGAATTCCGGTGGGAACACGAACGTGTGTGTGTACTCACTGCAAGCACACACACGCACACACCGACCCGTTGGCACACACGCACGCGCAGACTGGAGGGCAAACAGACTGTATTATACGTAGGATGCAGCAGGCCTCGCGCTTCGCACCGCTCCGCCTCGCTCGGCCACCAGAACTGTTTTTCCGCCGTCCAGTGCGGGTCCAAGTGATGTGCCCGATGTGCGCCGCCGCCGTGGAGGCAGGGAAAAGCAGGGAAGGGGAGGGGCCCAGCGGTGGCGGGACGTCGCGGGGACCCTACGCCGCGAGTACCGTTGGGCGGCCGGCGCCTCGCCAGCAGACTCATTCCGAGAGGCGGGACTCTCTCTCTCTTTAACCCAAGAGGGGCCGATGGGTGCGAGAGAGAGAGAAACCGTCGGAACTTCCCTCTCGGAATCACTCGGCTGGCCGTGGGCCGCCGGGCCGACCCGAAGCCGGTCAGTTCCGCCTCTCTCGTCACACGCGACACCTCGCCGTCAAGACCTCCCCCCTCTCGTTCCGCCCCCCCCCCCCTCTCACTCAGTCTCCCCCCCTCCTCCGCCGCCTTCCGGCCGGAGAAAGCACGTACGGCCGGTATAGCACCGCGCCGTACTGTCCGTCGGAATGGAGGAAATGAAGCGCGGTATTCCCGTATTCCCGGACCGGCGTCCGTCTGTGCCCACGGTCCGCCACGGGCCGGCCACGGTCGCAGCCCAACGCGCGTTTTCCGATAATTTCAAAACAAACCAAACAAACAAACAAAACGAACGACGATTCCTGGAAGCAACGACGCCACTCTGCTTTCGGGCGGACATGTGCCCGCCACGTGCTGGGCCCGGACTCCAGGACTCCAGGACTCCAGGACTGCAACACTGTAACGCGCAGAAGGGCCGCGTTTCCTTGCTGCAAATGAATGGCGGCCCGCAATGGCAGCAACGCCTCAACTGTCGGTCCGCCTCTCCTCAAAGAAGGGGAGAAAGGAGAATGCGGCCATTCCGCACTGCGCGTCCGCCTTTCCGTCGCTCTGCCTCTCTCGCACCCGCACCGAGCGCCTCGCCCGGCCCGCCAGTGCGACAGAGACAGAAGCGGACAGAAGCCGCGTTCGGAAGCGGCGCGTAGACGCAGAGCGGCGCTCCGGAAGGGGCTGTCCGTCACCGTCTCAACGCGCGCCGCCTAGGCGGAGGCGGTGGCGGAGGCAGTGGCGGAGCCCAACGTGCACCAGGACCGCGAGAACGCGACGAGCAGCGCAAGCCCTGGAGCAGCCATGGAGCAGCCCTGGAGCTGCCATGGCGAGCAATTACAGACCGCCGGCGTCTTTGAGGTTGCGCGCGCGCGTTTGTGTGTGTGTGCGTGAGCGGAGTCATGTAAACTTTGTGAGGCTTCACTTTGTGCCTGTGCATGATGTGTGTCTGTGTGTGCGTGAGGGAAAAGGGGGGGGCTCTCAGTATTCCTCGCCGTGCAGTTGCAGTGGAAACAAAACCTCAACCAAGTTATTATTGAGGGATTTGACAGAGAGGGAGTTCAAAGCGCGCGGAGTGGTGCAGCGGCCCGCACGCAAGCCCCGTAATACAATTGTGGTGCCATCCCGATTCGGCTGCCACGCCACGCGTGCCACGCGCTGCCTCCAGACCCCGGCCGTGCCCCACCGTGCCTCAGCCCCCAGCTGGGGCCGTGCTGGAGAGGCGGCGCTGGAGAGGCGGCGCTGGAGAGGCGGCGCTGGAGAGGCGGCGCTGGAGAGGCGGCGCTGGAGAGGCGGCGCTGGAGAGGCGGCGCTGGAGAGGCGGCGCTGGAGAGGCGGCGCTGGAGAGGCGGCGCTGGAGAGGCGGCGCTGGAGAGGCGGCGCTGGAGAGGCGGCGCTGGAGAGGCGGCGCTGGAGTGGCAGAGATAGATGGCAGCACGCAGAGCGCCGCAGAGCGACGCAGAGTCGCGGCGACGCATTGTTCGAAGTGTCGCCGTTGAGGCAGACGCGTGGGACTCTCGGCCGCGGAGGCGCAGCGCGGTGCGGACTGAATCCGGGAGTCGCTTTCGTCGCTCGGTCTCTGTCGCACTCACGGAGGCGGCCAGTCACCGGAGTGCGACAGGGGCAGAGCGACGAGGTACTGTTGTTGTTCGGAGTTGGACTGCTGGTGAGGCGGGGCGGGCGGGGCGGGCAGGCTAATTCCTTATAGTTGTCGAACCGCGCGCACGACGCGCAACAACGGCGTAACGCGCCGCCGGGAGAAACTCTGCTCGGCTAGTCATCGCGCAGTGTTTCGCGAGGACAATGCCGGCCATCTCTGCAGCGATTCGCTCGCTAAGTACCGCCCGGGGGCCGCACCGAGGTGGGGCGGGGCGGTGCGGGGCGGAGAAAGGTGAGAATTGAGCTGATTGACTCCGCGATGCCCCGACCGTCGACAGCATCGCGCTCTGGCGTGAGGCTTTGGCAGTGCCCTGGCCGTGCCGGTTTAATCCGGGGCGTGCGGCCGGAAACTCAGCAAAGTCCGTTCAACAGGAATACCACGTTTTTATTCGCCTTTCAGCAATCAGTGAGAGGAACAATTGTTTTGCAATACAATATACGCGATCACAAGGACTGCTAACAGCTCATCATCAGTCCATCATTATTCCGTCGACGACGGATGACATTGATTGGCCCGGCCGCGTCAGGGTAAGACGGCCTGCATGATAATGCTACTACCGAATCACAGGGGGAGGGGGGATCATTTAAGGGTCTGGTAACACCTTCTAACTAGTCAGCCTGATACACACTCTCCCCCCTCCCCCCCCTTTTCCCTGGGGCACTGACGCGGCGGCGCCTCAAATGGCATGCTATTAGTTTGCAGCCGCTTCATTACTGTCCATGCAGCGCTTCATCACGACAAAGCACACGTTGTCTCACCGCACTCACACACACATACACACACACGCATACATTTACACTCGCGGATTTGTCTTCTATATTTTGATTTCTGTTCTACAGTGTGACGAGATTCGGCTTTTATTGGACAGACTCATCAGGATCAGGACTGTTGTCTTCAAGAACAGGCGGACCGGTAGCTCTGCGGGGCGGGGTGGGGTGGGGGCGAGGGCCGGGACAAGGGCCCGAGGGCCACCGTGGCCTTCTTTCCCCGGAATCCCGCGTCCCGATTGGAGTATTGGAAAAGTTCTCGTCTAGGGCTTCCGGACATCTCTGACTGTCTCTGACTCTCTGATTGTCCTGGACGGGGACGTCATTTCGCCCTGCTGGCCCTGCTGGCCTAGTAGTGCGGCGGCATGGCCAGTGGCATGGCCAGCAGGGTGCGCCACATCTGCTGCATCCGCGGCCACTGCAGCACGCCCCACGGGTCGGCCGACGTGGAAGAGGCACTGCCTGGCCACGGCCACGGGAAGGCCGGCGCCTGCGTCCACTGCTGCTGCTGCTGGGGCAGGCCGCCCGGGGGGCCCCTGACCCACTGCTCGGCCTCCACGGGGCCGGGCGGGCCGGGCGGGGCCGCGGGCCCCCAGTCCTGCCGCTCGACAGCAGGCGCCGTCCTCCAGGCGTCGTGCGCGCAGGGCCGCACGGCCTGGGGGTACTCGTCGTCCTCGGCGTCTGAGTACAACGCCGCGCCCGGCGCCGACGGTTCGGCGGGGAGCGTCAGCCCGCCCGAGCGGTGCAGCACGTTCTTGTGGTGGCCCTTGAGGGGCTTCTTGAGCGCGACCAGCGTGACGGCCACGGGCTTGGAGGGCGGCGCGGGCTTGGCGGCGGGCTTGGCGGAGGGCTGCAGTCCCACCAGCAGCCCCTCGCTCGGCCTGTGCTTGTGCAGGCGGTTGGCGAGCGGGTGCGACACGTGCGGCACCAGCAGCAGGTGCTCGGGGACGGCGGCGGTGGTCGTCGTGGTGGTCGTCGTGGTGGTGGGCGGGGCCGTGGCGGGCTGGACGTCACTCAGCCAGGCGGCCTGCAGCGCCTGCGGGCGGACAAACACGCGTTTACAAATCCCCACTGACGAGGGCTCGGGGCGTGGAGCGCGGGGGCGTGTTTTCGCCCAGCGCGCTGATCCTGTTTTGAAGGCCGCTTCACGCTTTATCGGTGGTTATCGCGGGGCTCGTATCTCAAGGGCCGGGGGCGCGGACAGCAGCTTCAGGGAAAATGACAAGTGTGGCTGCTGGATATCCTGATCGCCCAAAGGGGAAACATAAATGTTGATCGGTCGATCTGCCTGCCGGCTGCCTGGCGCCCTCACCGCTTGCGGCACGACGTGTGCCCACTTGACGGGGGTGAAGAGCACGGGCTGGGCCTGCGCGGGCACCGCCGGCACGGCGGACAGGTGCTGCTGCTGGTGCAAGGGCCGCGCAAGGTGCGCCCACTTGCCACCGTGGCCGCCGTGGCCGAGCACCCCGTGGAGGCCGTGGAGGCCGTGGGGCTTGTTGACCAGCCCTAGCAGGCCCCAGTAGCTGGCGTCGGCCCCTCCTGCAAAACCAAGTGGAATAAACAAGGAAGGATCAAGTGTCCGCACTAGCCCTGCCTCGGGGAGTTTCTATCCCTATCGCACCCTTGAGTCGGATTCCACTCCCATCAAGCCATCAGGCCTGGTAAGCCGTAATAAAACCCCAAGGCCTTCCGCCATCCGCGAAGATGGGGGAGGCTACTTCGGAGAAACGGCCACGGATAATCAAAAGTAAATCACGGGTCATCGTTCTCAAAAACCTCGTCGCCATTCATGAAACTAGATGGCCGTGGTGTCGCGTGTGTGCATTGACTCCGTCCCGCGCGGCCATGCCGGCCATACCGTGCGCCGGGAGGGCAGGCTTCCCATTCGACCGCCAAGTCGCGCCGCTGCGGCCGGCGTTACCATTACCACTAGAGGCTAGACCACACTAGCTCTGTCTGCGTTTACTTACCCGTGCTGGCGGCAGTCGTGCTGGAGGCGGTTGCAGCCCCTGCCGGGGAGGCGGTGGCAGTCGCGGGCGCGGTGGAGGTTGCCGCAGTGCTGGAGGCCGACGTGGAGGGCGCTGTGGAGCTCGTGGCGGGCGGCGCGGTAGATGCCACCGAGGGCGGCGTGCTGGAGGTCGTCGTGGAAGGTGCGGTTGATGTCGTGGAGGCTGGCGTGCTGGAGGCCGTCGTAGATGCCGTCGTGGAGGTAGTCGTGGGGGTCGCGGTGCTGGATGCGTCTTGGCGCTTCACCCTCTGTGGCAGAGCTGAACCACTCTGCCATAGGCACACCAGAACGAGGGCCTACACAACCGACAAACAACAATAATCCAGCGGCACAGTTTTGGCGGCCATAAGGCAAAAATAATGAAGCTCCGCTGGGCGGCGCGAGGCTGGGAGGGCTACCGTGACGGCGAGGGCTGCCATGCTGCCGGCCGCCATGTTGCGCGTCGTGGAGGCGCTTGGACGACTGGCCGCCGCGGCACGCTGCTGTCTTTTAAAACCTCGTGGATCCGCTGCGCTGTTGACGGGCCCCTCGACAGGACCCTTGACAGGTCGATCCTCCCCGCGTGCCGAGTACCTGTGTGTGTGTGCAACGGCTCACTCGCGCGAGCATGTGTGTGTGTGTTTGTGTGTGTGCATGTGTCCGGTGTCAAACAATCGAGCCACCTCTCTCCGAACTCATTTCGTGCCGTATTTACCCCTCTTTTCCGAAAAGAAATGTTCAGCGCCTTGGCCACTCGTTGTGATCGCTGTTGACGTCACTACCCCGTTGTTTAAAATGGTGTGGTGCGGCAGGGGGCGAGGCGGGGCGAGGCGGGGTGGGGCGCGTCGCCCCAGGTGCCCCACGCGACGCCCCCGGCACGTGGACGTTGGCGTCCTGCATGTTAATGTCCTGCTTGGCCTTGAACAGCGCCCAGCGACATCCCACTGATAATTGCCAGGGCTCCAGGATTCCAGGACGGCGAGGCTCCAAGTGCTCCCGTCTCGTCGTGAAGGCGACCCGGGGTCTGTAATCCGGCCGGCGATGGTGCAGTGCGTCAGGCACTCCTTTACGGGCTGGAGGGCGCGACGCGAGCGCGACGCGGTGCTCGGCAGGTTGGAGGGGGCGAGCTCGGCTGACACCTGCTCTGCTCTGGGCGGCGCCAGCCCCCGCCGCCCTCATGTTGGCCCCGCTGACGGCGCCGCCGCCGCCGCCTCGTCCCCGGACTGGTTTAAGCGCCGACGTGCGCGGCGTGGTGAGGCTGGATGAGGTGGTGAGGCGGTGAGGGCGGGTGGGCGTCAGGTCCCCATCGCTCACTCTCTCGAAGGCCGGCGTACACTAGTCCCCCGCGGGGCTGGCGGGGCTGGCTACAGCAGCGATAGCGCTGTACCGCCGCCGGCGTGCAGGGTGCGGCGCAACAGACCCTCGTCGTCGGCTCGACGGCCTTCCGTTTCCCGTTTTCTGCAGGGACCCGCGAGAGCGCGGGCCACGAGATGAGTTGGGGAGTTGGGGCGAATGCCGCCCCCATCCCTTGCTGCGCTCTCAACGCGCTACAGGCTCAATTTCGCGCCAAAGAAGCCAAGCCTCTGTCAATTTAATGACCCACTCGCCGCCCCCGGCCATCCCGGCGGGCGGGGCATGGCGGACCGTGGCGGAGCGGGGTCGTTTTAAGTTCAATAAAAATAAGGACAGTCCGCGCGAGGTACAGCCCGCCATAAAACGCGACCCTGCCGGCCAGCCGCGTCGGCGCAGAGGGTGGCGACTGAGGTGGCGTCTTCTCCGTCTGCTCATCGTCGTCGCGTAAAGACCGCACGGGACAGGCAACAGCAGCGACGCATCCTCGTCTGTGTGATCGTCGGTGTGCAGTCCATCATTTGCAGTCACTGCCGACTTTACGTGGCGCACTGCGAATAATGTCTCGAGTACCGCTTAGTGGCTCGCGGCGCCAAGGCCACCAAGGCCACGCGGAGTCTGTCTGGAGCGGCGGTTCCGTCGCGCCGTCTCTCTCACTCCCCAAGCCCCACAAGGCGAGAGAGACAGCGCAACGCGGCGCAACGGCCTGCTGATCCCTGCCGTCGCGACGCCTCTCCGGAGTGTTCTGTTCGGTCGCATAGGGCCGGCGACGTAGGCGGGCGGGGTTGGGCGATCGCGCCGCTTAAACGCCACCCCTCGGGAGAGTTCCGACCTCTGGCTGGTGCTGCCGGCGTTTGGCGGCATCTTCCACTCTCCGCTCGGTGTCATGCGGAGCGGGAATGGATTCGCATGGGGCTCTCAGGGCGTGTGCGTATGTGTGTGTGCGTGGCCCGAAGGTCCTGCCCAAGTGGATCACACAGGGCACGGAAAGGATTATGTGAAGGCCCGGCGTTTCCAGCTTCTTGAGCGGCCCAGACCGTGCCTTGCTCGGGCTTGATGGGCCTTGCTTTGACGCCGCAGAACAGAATAGGCTCTTTTCCGACAGTCCCGCCGAAAAGGGTCCGGGAGAAGCCCTAGCCGCCCTAGTCCCGCCGGCGCGAAGGGCCCCGCGTCGGTCTTTCTCTCTCTCCGCCCCGGCGACACCCTCGGCGTGTTCATCCCCTGCTGCGTCTCTCAAGGGCGGCCGGCCGACCGGCAGCGCCGCGGCAGCACCGCCCTGACAAACGAGATTAGGGCGAGGCGAGCTAGAGGCAAGCTGAGGCAAGCGTGCAGGCCTCCGCCCCGCCCCGCCCCGCCCCGCCCGGGCCCTGCAGCAGTGGCGAGGTCGCCGTCCGAGGGCTTGCCGACGGCTTGCCGAGGGCCAGGCCAGGGGTGGGGGAGTGATTGGCGTTCAAAGCAAACCGCCGCCCTTTCCGGGCGCGGCGCGCAATCACAGGCAAGCCGTAAATTGGAGGAAGCCTAGCCGTGCGCTACTCTCCTTCTCCCTACAGTGCACGCAGCAGCGCAGCACTGATTGGTTTGTTTCGGCGCGTCCCGTTTCGTTTCTTGGGCCACACTGCAGGGGCCGTTACACGCCGTTACACTCCGTTCCGCAGCCGTTAGCCGGAAGTGCCTCGCCAATCGGGCGACGGGCCCACGCTGTAAATAAGGCACTGGTCTCACGCCCTCCGGCCGGCTCGGTTCGAACGGCCTCTCGACGCTCCGTCCCTCTCCGTCCCTCTCGCACCCGCGCGGAACGTCTCATGCGAACAAGGAAGATGCACTACGCGGCATCAGTCCGCTGGGCGCTTCCTCACTGATAGTGCTACTGTTCAGACAGAGAGGGACTCCGGTCCCAATGACAGTGTGTTCCATCTCCGATCCGGCTGCCTGGAGCTTTGCGGTGCGTCCTGTGTGGGTGGTTGATCTTTTTCGTGCGCGGCTCTCCGCGGCAGGTTGTGTAGGCCTTGGCGGTGGCGGGGGCGGGGGCTGCGGACCCTGTTCTTTGTGAGTCCCGCTAACAGTCACCCTTCTCTCTTGGGAGTCGTGTCGCCGCCTCTGTCACCTCTACCGCTGCCATTGAAAACGTCAGGAAAGGCCCCGCCCCGCCCCGCCCAGACCTGCTTCCAATTTGTCCCCCCGTTTAACGCAACCAGCGGGGCAACGGTCGCGGCCTCGCCCGCAGGCCGGCCCCAGAGACGTCGCCGCCGAAATTGGGGTCGGCGGCGGTGATGAAATTTCGCGGGGACCGATGATTGAAAGTGTCGCGGCTTTGTTTTGTTTGAAAAAAATAAATAGAACGATTTATTAGAGTTTTCAATCAAGAAGAGAGAGGTCGTATTCAAATAATAACAGTTTGTGGAGCATGGGGAGGTTGTTAAGGGAAAAAAACACTTGGAGAGATCTCGAACTGTGAGCATTGCAAATGAGATTTAATTGTGGACTTCACGAGGAAGGGCGGAACAGGTAGCGAGAAATGTATTAAATTATGCAAGAATAATGCCAATGAAGGAGACTGCTCTGTGAAATAGCTCGGCTTTTCTTCGTTACCTGCGGTATTTACTTTTCAAGTCATTCCATATTGGTCTCTCTCCCTCTCTCTCTATCTCCGTCTCTCTTTTTCTCTCTCTCTCTAAATATATACATAATCAGGGGACTGGAAAAAACATCTTACAACTTTAATCTACACTAAAATTAGGTTCCTAATAGTAACTTTAGCCTTTAGAAAAATAAAAATCTTAAATAAATAGTTCGACGTTCACTTTTTAGATCTTGGACATGTCGGTGTCTTCGTCGCTGTACTCTGGGAAATCCACCTCCATCTCGACTTCTTCGTCGTCGTCGCCAACGGTCATGTCTTCCCACTCCTAGAAGAAACCATGAGCAAGAAAAATGATTGTAATCATTATCCACTGTGCGCGGGGCGCGGTGGGGCGCGTTGGCGCGTTACCCACCTTGAGGAACTGCTCGATGGACGGCGACAGGCAGTTCTGGCAGATGGCCCTGCCGCTGCCGTCCTGGTCCGCCACGCAGTCGCAGCGCTGGCAGTTGGCGGGCAGGGCCTGAGAGGCCACCCGCCGGGCCCACACGTCCAGGAACTTCTTGTTGAGCACCGGGATGGAGGGCCCGTCGCCGAGCGCCGCGTTGGCCACGCGGTCCAGGTTGAACGCCGTGCCGTTGGTCTCCAGGGCGAGCGGCGTGCACAGGTCCTTGGACATGGAAACCTGGAAGCATGGCGGGGCGCCGCGGGGCGCGGTGAGTTCAGTGCCTTGCCGTGGCCTCGCGCTGCGCGGTGCGGCCTCACCGACGACCCACCTGTTTGACGAGCTGCTCCGAGGGCTGCAGGCTCTTGACGTTCCTGGGCGTGTACACGCCCTTCCTGTCGGCGCCGAAGACGCGCGCCTGCTTGAGCGCGGCCTTGGCGGCGGCCCTGGACGACTTGGAGACGCCCTTGGCCTTGCGCAGGCGCACGGCGTTGGGCTCCAGGACGTGCAGGGTGAGGTCGCCGTCCTTGAGCATGTCCACGGCGTCCGAGAAGGTGTCGGCGTGCTCGCTGGCGTCGCCGCTGCACTCGTGGCACGTGACCAGCACCAGGGTCTTGGACACGGCGGCGCGGAACGGCAGGCGGGCCGCGTACCACAGCGCGTCGTACGCGTCCTGCACCGGCGTGGCGGACGGCTCCACCGCCGACGTGCGCAGCCTGGCGAAGGAGAGGGTGGGCGTCAACGAACCGCAAGTCACTCCCGGAAGTGCACTGGTTTGCCTGACCGAATCCCGCCAGCTCGCGCCAGCCGCACCACCATGAATAAGGCAGAAGCTCCACGTTTTTGGTGGAGTTTTTTTTCGGTTGAGTCAGCGGGACGCGGAAAACTCTATTTTTCGAGAACGTCTTTTCTCTTTCGGGGCGGGGCGGGTAGCGCACTGCGCTTCCCTCGTGCCCTTGTCCCATCGCCGCGGCGCGCGCGAGGCACGGAGTGGCGATGAATATTGCAGCCAACTCGTTTCAGCTTCGGGCCCTAAGGGCTTTCGTGGTGTTGCCCGCGGCTGCCGCGGTGTGCTCTATTTGCTCTCTCGGTGACCAACAAACGTCGCCGGGAGCATACACTGGCGGCGTGGCAGTCCTACCTGTCGAAGGCCTTCTCCACGTGGCGGCCGGTGGTCCACACCAGGCCCTCGGTGCTGAGGACGTGCGGCGCGCGGAAGGTCTCCGTCTCGTCGCCGCCGAAGCCCACCACAGCGAACCGGTTGCCCGTCAGGCCCTGGCGCTTCAGGGCCACGTCCAGCTTGACGGCGAGCTCCTCCACGGGCAGGTCGCGCAGGCACGACGCCTGCTCCACCACGAAGACGACGTCGGCGGACTGCGGCGCCGTGCCCTTGAACACCTTGACCTCGCCGGCCGCCAGCACGTTGCCGTCGGGCAGGTCGCAGCGCACTGCAATGGAGTGGGTGGAGGTGGGGCTGAGGCACTCGCTCCGATTTCCACACTGCGTTTGACTGCTTGGACTGTCACCGCTTCACCACTCACCGCAGAACTGGGGCACCCACAGCTCCATGCCGGCGCGGCGGCACAGCTCCACGTAGGCCGCGGCGGGCGCGCACAGGGCGCGGTCCCTGGCGGGGCTGTTGGCCTGCTGCCTGACGTCGGCCTCGCACAGCGCGCGGAACGGCGCGGGGTCCACCCGCGGGAAGCACGGCGCCAGCGACGAGTCGCTGTCCTGTACGGCACAGAGTCAGAATCCAGGAAAAAGAAAAAATTTGAACTCTACACCCCCTCCCCAGTCTTAATGGGGAGGCCTCCTGCTTTACTTCGGTGTTCGGGATGGGAACCGGTGCTATCAGGTACCTGGGGTTAATCCCGTCAGCGACTCTAAGCGTTCGCCGGGGGACCCAGTAGGACCCCAAAGCTCAGACAGCTGGGTCGAAACACCCAGTGTGAAGCTCTTTGAGGGGCGGGACGTAGAGTGAGACGACAGAGAGACAGAGAGAGACTCAGACAGAGAAGAGGTTTGGTGGGAGCTTCTTGTTTTCGTAGGGTTGGTTGTGTACCCCATGGTACCCCCACTGTCCGGCGCTCCCGTACCGAACATACAGCGTTTTAGGCCAGCTTCAAAGGACTTATCATCGCCTCCCCGACGAGTCAAGGAGGCACCACCCGCAACCACACACCGGATGGTCTGGATTGATGGATCAAATACTCCATCGCTCCAGTGCCGAGGCCAACCCGCCGAAGCGGATTGCTTTTTAGACACCCACAGCGGAGTGGCCAGGTGAATGTGACTCTGACCACTACGCTATCACGCTTGTACGTCTGGCAGCGTGTTGGACGACGGGTTTGAGTTGCACTGGGAGGAAGGCGGTCGAAAAATGTATTGAAATGATGGGATTCGATCCCCGGACCCCGCCACCGGGATCACACGACTTTAGGCTCTCGGCCACCACGGCCCATGATGTGGGGACCGGCGTGAGGTGGGTTCTTGACGCAACAGGACTCGACCGACCCGGTCAAAATTTCGCAAGAAGTTGGGGGAGTCGAACTACCGACCCTAGCACTGAGAACCAACGCCTCTACTCCCTGGACCACCACGTCCCATGCTCGGAGCGGGCTCACGTTTACGGGTTTGAACCGCACTGGGTGAGGCAGTAAAATTAAATGGAAATATTTGTTAGGAGTCGAACCTCCGGCATGTGGGCCTGTTGCACACGGCTCCGCTCTCATGGCCTCGAACCACCACCCTTAGGATAGCAAGTCGAAAAAACTTTTGTGACGCTGGTATTCGAACGCCGGCCTGCGGTAACTCGATCCCACGTCTCTAACCTCTCGGCTATCACAACAGTTGTGAAACGCGATGGATCATCTGCTTTCATTAACGTTCGTTGAATGAGATTTTTTTTTAATGTGGAAAGGTCTCTGAGAGGTGGTTCAACTGAGAGGTGGGGTAGTGGGGTATCGACTTTATTTTGCCAGCCTGCAGAGGTATGTCTTGTTGGTTGCTGACTGTCAGGCATTAAGGAAATCTGACTGTGCAGCCGCTTCCTCGCCGTGCCGCTAAGCTGATTTTAGACGATGCGCTACACGCTCTGCGGTCAGAATGGCTAATCCCGCTCGCAACGCAAGCGGAGCGCACTGCCTGGCCTGGCCAGGCCTGCCGCGCCGTGTGCAGTAGGGTGGGCCTTTGTGTGCAGTGCAGGGGCTTAATCGCCCGGCAACAGCGGCTTTGAGCGCGCCCCTTCCCAGGCCGCTTGTTGCTAACCCTCCGAGATCAGATAGTCCCCCCTTCACCCCCCCTCCCCCACGGCCACCACCCTTGCCAAACACTCGACGGCAGCAGTGCGGCATGCCCGTTCCCGGCGATCTCCTCTGCTTCCTGTCGGCGACAACAAAGCCTGTGCTCTGTGCTCGCCCCGCCACTCACCAGGAAGTAGGACGCGCACGTCTCCTGCGCCTCCCTGGCCAGGCCGCGGTCGGCCTGCTTGGCCACGGTGGTGGTGTCGGCGGAGGCGTGGTTCAGCGGCCGGCACTGCTTGCGGCCCACGCGCCACGCGTCCGCGAAGGCCTCCAGGTCGCCGGTCTCCGAGAGCTCCCCGGTGGGCATGGCCAGGTCGTTGGCGGGCTCGTTGTCGTACGTGCCGAGCAGGCCCCCGGTGCGGCCGAAGTGCCAGCCCGTGATGTCCAGCGTGCACACGTCGTAGCGCAGGTTGCAGTCCACGGTGAGGCCGTGCTGGGAGGTGATGCGGACGCGGTCGCCCTCCCGGGTCACCGTCGTCGAGTCGCCGACCAGCGTGGGTGTCTCGGCCTTCTTGCCGTCCACCAGGACGCGCTGGTTCGACGTCACCTCGATGCTGTGGCCGTCGGTCAGCACCGTCAGCGATTTCTTCTGCACCTTGCGGTTCTGGAACAGGGAGGTCTTTAGGGGCGCTGCATGGCACAAAAGCGTCCGCTCTTGCGCCTCGACTCACGATGATTTCGTAGTTGACGATGGCGGAGAACTTGGAGTTGACGAAGTCGGAGGTGAGGAGGTACGAGCATTCCCCGGCAAAGTCGAAGAACTGCTTGTCGAAGGTCATGAAGTGGTGGCGGCCCACCAGCAGGCCGGTGGCGCCGTAGGGCGGCAGCCAGCGCGACAGCTTCAGCCCCGAGCGGTACTCGTTGAGGGCGTCCAGGAGGTAGTAGCGGTACCTGCGAACGCGACAACGCCACCATGAGAGCGCCTGCGGCAGCGCGGGTAGGCAGCCCGACGCACAACTCACTTGTCGAGAGAACTGATGTCGGCGGTCTGCTCCTGGGCCACGCGGTACGGCGACAGCTCGTGGAACTCGGGCAGGCGGTCGAAGCCGTGCCAGTGGATGGGCAGGGTCTGCGTGTACTCCAGCAGCCCCAGGTCCTTGTCCAGGATGAGGCTGGACGAGGGCTCCAGGGTGGGGCGCGCCACGGCGCTGGCGTCCATGTGGTTCAGCAGGTCCATGAGGCCCACCTCGAGCTGGTGCAGCGCCCACAGCAGGCTCTCGCCGATCTCCTTGGTGACGTCGTAGTAGCGCCAGGCCCACAGCGCCTTCTGGTACACCTTGCCGGCCAGCTTGCGCACGTAGGCCACGGGGGGCAGCTTGTGCAGCGCCTCGTAGTGGCCGAAGGCGGCGTCGCACAGCGCGTCGAAGTACGCCTTGTAGTCCGAGTACGTCTGGCGCAAGTCCCGCACCACCCACTCGGCCGTGCTGCGCGCGGAAACAACCCTCAATAACCTTGAATCACTGCCGGCGCTTAACGCCCCTGAAGCCCATCGCCGCACTTACTCGCTGAGCTCGGACAGGTACTGGTCGAAGTAGTCCTGCACGTGGAAGTCCTCGAGCCAGGACGCGTACTGCGAGTACAGGTGGAGCACCTCGCGCACCTCCTCCATGCTCATGAGGTGCGTCTTGACGGACTCCACGAAGGCTGAGGCGGCAAGGGTAAGCTACGTTAGAGTCGACGGCAGGGCGCCCAGGTGTAGCGGCGGCAAGGGTGGCGGCTTACCGGAAACGGATTCCTGGATCCGAGTGACGTGGTAGTTGAGGAAGGCGAACATCTCCTGCGCGGTGAGCAGGCCGGGGACGACGGCGCGCTCGATGCGGCGCTTGGCGTCCTCCACGAAGGCGTCCCAGCGGTCCAGCTGCGCGGCCACGGAGCTCTCGAGCTGCGCCAGCGAGTCGTGCGCCGACTTGAGCACCTCGCGCGTCCAGCGGTGCGTCGCGTTGCGCAGCTCCGCCAAGTCCGTCATCGTGGCGTTCCAGTGGACCATGGCGTTCTTACCCAAAGCCTGTGCGTCGGAAAATTTAAAAAAAAATCAGAAATCCGCCGACGAGGAGATTCGATCCTAGACTGAGGATCGTGGCTCACTTTGATGACTGGGATCACGTCCAGGGTGGCCGCGATGTCGATGTACACGATGTCCACCAGCATGGAGGCGAAGCTCTTCACAGCCGAGTACGCCGCGTCCAGCACCTCCAAGCCGTGCTTGGTGACACAAGAGGCGCCACCGCTCGCCACAGATCTGGAAAGCAAAAGAACGAGGGTTCAAGTACTAACCCGTTATGATTTAATTCCTCAAAAGAACAGGTTTTTATGTTTACTTACGCTGCAGACGCAAAGAAATTCCAGATGTCCTTAACGAAGAAATCATTGTGCTCGAAGTGTTCCTTGAGCTTTGCCAGGATGTCGGGCAGGTCGGCGGCGATGGCCTTCTTGGTGCGGATGTTGTACTGCATCACCTCGTCCAGCGTGTCCATGACGCGGGGGTACACGGCCTCCCACTTGCCGCCGACGTCCTCGCGCAGGAAGTCGGTGAAGCCGTCGTAGATGGCGCCGCCGGCGAGCACCAGGTCGTTGTAGTCCGCGAGCACGGCGTTCTGCATCTCGTCGACGACGCCGAGGCGCCAGGACGCGCGCGTCCAGAAGAGCTTGCTGTTGTTGAGCTTCATGGTGAAGAGGCCGTCGATGGTGTTGGTGCCGAACAGGTTGTGCTGCGCGCTGGCCTTGACCTCGCGGTGGTTGGGCATGCCGGCGAACATGGAGTAGGTGCGGCTCTCGCCGTAATGCACGTCCACGGCGATGGAGGGCGAGTCGTCCACGGCGTTGAGCTGCGCCTGCACGCGCAGGGGGTCCCGCTGGTTCATCTGCACGCGCGCCTCCGCGCCGCGGTACAGGCCGGGTCCGCGCGACCACAGCTTGCCGCCCACCGCGATGCGGTTCTCGTTGGTGAGGACCACGGCCTCCACGGCGGGCTCGGCGTGCTGCACATGGCCGCGAAGCTCAAGCACTCGGTCCTGCCTGGTGCGGCTGTCCAGGTACTTGATGTTGATGGTGCCGGAGCTCTCGGCCTGGCTGCTGCCGCCCTTGAGCGCCACGCGGAGGTCCAGGTCGGAGGACTGGTGTCGCACGGTGAGCACGGTCAGCATGTGGTCGACGGCGTCCTTGTACTGGCCCTCGACCACGATGAGGTCCTCGGGGACTGGCGAGTATTCCAGCGTGGCGCGCACCTCGTGCAGGGCCTGCTCGTAGCGGAGCACGATGTCGTGCTGCAGCGCGGCGTGCTGCAGGCGGATCTCCTCCTTGCCGGCCTCGCGCACCACCAGCAGCAGGAACTTCTTGTCGCGGTCGTTGGCTGCGTCCCAGAGGAACTCGGTGCCCACGCGGTTCAGCTTGATGACGCCGTCGGAGCGCCGCAGCTCCTCGAAGCGCGCCATCTCCAGCGTGCGGTGTGGCAGCCGTAGCACGCCTCGCACCTCGCACTTGAGGTCCGTCACGGGGTCCTCCACGTAGTCCAGGTTCAGCACCACGGTCGCGCCGTAGGTCTGGTCCTTCTCGATGGACATGTCCACGCCGTACTCGTAGCGCTCGTCGCTGGCCTCCGCCACGCCGCTCAGCGACATGACGCGCGTCGGCACCTGCAGCGTGGACGTCACCTCCCTCCTGGAGGCCACCGGCTTGGTGGCGTGGAACTCGTAGCGGATCATGGACTGCTCCTTGGCGTGCATGTCCCAGCACACCTCGCCGAGCAGGTGGGTCTCGGTGCCCAGCGACACCAGGTAGCTGGCCGACACCGGGCGCCAAGAGTTCCAGGCCTCGAAGGTCGTCACGTTGGAGTCGTCGCGGCGCACGCTCACGCCCAGGTACTCGTGGGCGTTGTACACGATCTTGGCTTCCGTGCCGATGAGTCTGCGGTTGGACGCCTGCAGAAATATCTCTGCATCGCGGATGACTTGGAAGGGCGTCTCCAGCTGCAGCGAGACCTCGATCACCTCGTCCACGACGCCACCCTTGGCCTGGAAGTACAGCTGCTTGGAGTTGATGGTGGCCTGGATCTCGGACATGACCAGTCCGGGCTTGAGCTGGCCCTCCGCGGAGAACAGCAGCTCCTCCTGGTTGTAGCGCGCGCTCAGGCTACCAGTGTAGCTCCTGTTGGCGGCGTTGAGCTTGTTGCTGAACAGCAGCGAGGCCGACTCGAAGGCGGGGTGGATGTCGGCCGTCACCCTAGCGATCAGATTCACGTCGGACATGCCGTTGAAGGTGTAGTCGAACTCGACGAGCAGGTCCTGGCGCAACTGCGGATGCGAGATTTTGATGGACAGAGCCTTGCGAAGGTTGTTCTCCATCTTGAGGCTCAGAGCGTAGCGCTCGTAGGACACGAAGGGCGTGGTCAGCTGCACGCTCGTCTCGAACTTCCTGGACGCCGCCAGCATGGAGTAGCGCAGCTCGACGCGCTGATCGTTCCACTCGACGTAGTTGACAATGTCGTTGCCGTCCACCAGGCTGCGCTGGCCCTTGAGGTCCAGGCGGTAGTGGCTGTAGGGCGGGAAGGGCGTGTTCACCTCCGCCTCCAGGGCGTACACGGGGCCGTAGATGACCTTGAGCGCGCCGCCCAGCTTCCTGGACTTGCACTGCGCGCCCACGCTCATCTCGAGCCGCTCGGCCAGGTTCTTGAACAGGGCGTGCGCGCCGTAGGTGGCGCCACTGGGCAGCGAGGCCCGCACGTGCACGTCCATGTCCCTGGTGAGCACGAGCGGCACGCGCGCGGACGCCTGCAGCGACTCCAGGCCCTCGATGGGCGTCTGCAGGTCCAGCTTGGCCAGCAGCTCGGTGGCGTTCAGGGAGAAGAGGGACTCGAGTTTCAGGTTGGCGTAGTCGGACACGAAGTCCACGCCGAGGTTCAGCTTGACGTTGCGGGTGCTCTCGGCCACGAACTCGCCGCTCATGGCCAGCGAGCGCACGAAGGGCACCATGGGCGCCCTGAAGTTGAGGTGCGCCGTGCCGAGCTTGCGCTCCAGCGAGGCGTCCAGCAGCACGTAGTGGCTGGTCAAGTCCTCGCCCGTGCCGGCGTACGCCAGGATGGAGTAGTTGGCCGTGGTGAGCACGGCCTGGAACGGCTTCTCGCCGATCAGTGGCGTGGCCACGACCAGCTTCGAGTCGAGCGGGAGCGTGCGCTTGTGGCGGAAGCTTATTCTGTTGTCCGTGTTCATGATCTGCACGGACAGCTCCGCCTTGGACACCGTGTTGTCGTACGAGGCCTTGGCTTCCACGTTGAGGATGGGCTCGCCCACCGACACCACTTCCAGCTTGGTCGTGGTGGAGCGCCCGTCCTCGGCAAGGGTCAGCGTGAGGGAGCCGCGGTGGTTGGCCGTGCCCAGGATGCAGTCCACCTCGCCGAACACGCGGTTCGCCGACTGCACGAAGTTGCCGTTGACGGTGAGCTTCTGGGCTCGGATGAGCGGCGACTCCATCTCCACGCTGCCGCCCATGCTGCCCGCCCGGGACTCCTCCAACAGGTACTGGATGCGGTGCGCCGCGTTGCGGAACTTGAGCGTCACGGACCCGATGTTCTTGTTCTTGTCCACGAGCAGGATGTCGTTGAGGTTGACGGTGAGGGCCTCCCAGTCCTTGTGGAGCTTCATCTCACCGTTCTTCTCGCCGACGATGGGGCTGTTGGCGTGCGCGCTCACGGCCAGTACGTCCTTGTCGTTCGTCAACGCCACCGAGAGCACGTGCTTGTTGACGGACTCCACGGTGATGAGGGCCTTGTAGGAGTTGTCGGGGAACTTGAGGCTCACCTGCATGGTGCGCCGCTTGGAGCCCAGCCAGTCCGGCAGGTCGAGGTCGACGCGGGTGGACACTGAGTCCGGCTTGTGCTCGATGGCCAGCCTGGCGGAACCGGCGTGCTTCTGGCAGTTGTACGAGACGAAGGCTTCGATCGAGGGGCTGTAAGAGCCCTTGAACTCGAGGCTGGCGACCTTCACCTTGAAGGTGGGGACGTTCAGGTGGACGCTGCCCGTGAGGGAAGTGTCCTTGAGCTCGTACATGGCGGAGACGTTGTTGCCGCCGAAATAGGCCTGGGCCAGGATGCGGTCGAGGTCCTCGTAGTCCAGCTTGCCTCCGAAGGACAGCTCCGTGTCGATGGCGGGGGTCTTCAGCACGCACTTGGCGTCCAGGGTCAGGCCCTCCAGGTGGTAGTTGCCGCCGACGTGGTAGGTGTTCTTGGGCAGGATCACCTTGATCTGCGAGTCCACGCTGCGCCACTCCCGCTGGTTCAGGTTGCCCTCGATGGTGATGGGTGGGATCTCCAGGAAGGGGATGAGCACCTCCAGCTTGAGGTTGACGTTCTGCAGCGCGTCATTGGCGATGTTCGCGCCCACGCGCATCTCGCGGCCCAGCGCCGTGGCCTCGATGAGCCCGCTCATCTGGCGGTAGTCGTCGTTGCGCAGCACCAGGGTGGAGCGCAGCTCCGGCAGCATCTCGAACGGCGTCACCAGCGCCAGGCGCGACTTGAGCTGGCCCTTGTTGGCCATGTCCAGCGCCAGGTCCAGCTCCATGCGATTCATCTGCTGGAACGGCGTATACAAGCGGAATCTGCAACAATAGGAAAAGAATGACAATGCTGCATGATGCAACACCAAGCTGATCAGGGTACTTTGAACTCGTTGAAATAACTTACTTGCACTTGATGTTGTTGAGGTTCTCTCCTCCGGCCACCTGCACGGTGGCGTCCAAGTCGATCTTCTGGTTGCCGCTCCACTCCAGCTGCCCCTTGACACCGAAGTCGCTAGGCTCGCTGTTGAGCGACCCCGTGAGCTTGATCTCGAAGTCGTTCCAGTTGGCTTTGCTCTCCAGGTCGTACACTGCCAGGTCGTTCCTAGAGTACTGCCCGGACACCTCCACCGACTCCCAGCGCTTGAACGGCGTCTCCAGCTTGACGAGCAGCCTGTTGGCCTTGATGGACGCCTGGCCGACCACCTTGTCCTCTGGAGTCCACTGGCCGAGGAAGTACACGGCCGGGTTTTGCGAGTCCACGACCGTCTTGAGCGACAGGTGCTCTAGCACCTTGACGAAGGGCGACTTGAGGGTGGCGTTGACGGAGTACACGGGTCCCGTCAGGTTGAACGTGCCCTCGAACTCGAACTTGCTGGCCTGCGTGCCGGCCACGAAGCTGACGGACTTGGCGTCGTAGCGGCTGATGACGAAGATGTTGTCAATCTTCCTGCCGGGCATCTCCACCGTCATCTGCGCGCGCACGTTGCCCACCTGGTAGTTGCCGGTGCCGCGGACCTGGTACAGCGCGTCGTTGCGCATGTAGTTGACGTTGCCGCGCAGCAGGCCGTTGGCGTTCTTGTGCAGGTTCACCCCCGTCTCGAGGGTCTTGATGGCGGCGAGAGAGGAGTCGACGCGCAGCAGGGCGTGCACGGTGTCACTCTTGAGGTTGCCCTCGACGCGCGCCTTGAGCGTGGTCTCGCCCACACGCATGTTGACGTGCATGTGCTTGTTGCCGTGCTGGCCGTTGAGGTTGTAGCCGGCGCGGATGTCCAGCCCCTTGTACTCGTCCTTGGAGGACTCGAAGTGCAGGTCCAGCTGGTTCTCCTGCCGTTCGTAACGTAGCTTGCCCTCAACCTTGGTCTGGTGGCGCTTGTCCTTGACCGTCATCTCCACGTGGTGTCCGTCGTTCTCGCGGTACGTCCCGGAGGCCGACACGTACTCCGTGAACGGCGTCTTGAGCGCCAAATCGAAGTTGACCACGTCGGGGTTCGCCAGGTCGACGTTGAAGCTGACGTCGATCTCGTCGGCTTCCTTCTTGCCGTTGATCTGGCCCTTCCTGGTGGTGTCGGCGAAGTCGAGCAGGTAGCCAGCGCGCAGGTCCTTGAACCCGGCGAAGGGCGTCTTGGCCTCGACGGAGAGTTGCGTGGGAACCCAGTCGACGGTCAGGTCGATCTTCTCGTGCTCGTTCCACTGCAGCAGCGCGGTGGCCGCCACGCCCTTGGTGCGGTTCAGAGTGCCGCTCACCTCCCACTGGCGGCCATCCAGCGCCACGACGGCCACCCTGGCGGAGTGCTGCTTGCGGTCCGCCTTGAGGGACAGGTGCACCGAGGCCGTCTCCTTCTCCTTGGTGAAGGCCGCCGTGGCGAGCTTCTCCGCGCCGTCCAGGTTGTAGGTGCCGGCCAGCTTGAGGAAGGTCAGGCCCACCTTGGGCGTGGTCAGGGCGAAGTCCACCTCGAGGTGGCGCGTCGAGTACTGCGCTACGTTGCCCTTCAGCTCGTACTTGTCGGGGCCGAGCTGGAACAGCGCCTCCAGCATCCCGGCGTGGTCCTGCTTGAGCGTGAACAGCAGCGGCGGCGTGAACGGCGTGGTGAACTCCACCCTGGACTTGGTCTGGAGCACGCTGTGGCTGAACATGCTGTTGAGCACGATCTTCTTGGTGGGGTCCCACTGCAGCTCGGAGGTGAGTACCAGCTCGCTGTCGTAGGTGACGATGGAGCTGAAGCGCACGTTCTCCAGGTTGCGGAAGGGCGAGGTCAGCTTGAGGCCCAGCTTGACGGGCTTCTTGGACTCTCCGATCTCCAGGTCGCCCTCCAGCTTGATCTCCTTGTTGGGGCCCCACTGCAGGCCGATGTTGCCCGCGATCACGTTGCTGCGCGCCATGTTCCACTGCGCCGTCAACGAGTACGTCTGCGAGTTGAGGCTCGTGATGGTCACCTCGGTGTCCACGTTTTTGAACCCGTCCAGATACATGGAGGCCACGGCTTCGATTTTCTTGCCTGCGCCCATGTCCACGGAGAAAGCAGCCTTCTTGTGCTTGAGGCCGTTCTCCAGCTGCCAGTCCACCTTGACCTTCTTGTCCTCGTTCTGCGTCGCGTAGGCCACCACCAGGTTGCCCTCCTTGTTCTTGACGATGACGGCGCTCACCTCCGCCGCCACGCCGGCCAGCTTGACGGAGGACTTGATGTTCCAGGTGCTGGATGGCGCGGCGTAGTCGTAGGCGCCGACCACGCTGAAGGTGGCGAAGGGGAAGGGCGTCTCCGAGATGAGCTCGATGCTGGAGCGCGAGCCGCCGTACGTGAGTCCGAAGCGTCCGTTGACGCGTCGCTGGTCCTCGAAGTCCCCGACGAGGGTCACCTTCTTGTGGCCGCGCGTGTTGAGGTCGTAGGTGCCCTCCAGTCGCACGTCCTTGTAGCCGTCGTAAGGCGTCCGCACGTTGAGGACTGCGTCGCCGACCAGGCCGGACACCAGCACGTCGCCGGAAACGGAGTGCACGTTCTCGTTGCGCTCCATGTAGACGACGGCGGACTTGCGGGCGTTCTTCACATCGTATTGCACCCCGAGGGAGCACTTCTCGTAGTTCTTCAGCGAGGTCCTCATGTTGATGTGCGAGTCTCCGTTCTCAAATCCGTACTTGATGAGGATGTCCAGGTCAAAAATGTTGTCGTTTCTGCTGGCGGAGAGCTTGACCGAGCTGTTGCTGGCCTCCTTGATGTTGAACTCGCCGTACGCCTTCAAGTCCTCGAGCTCCTCGATGGGCGTTTTCATCCAGGCTTGGGCGAAGTTGTGGCCGTGCTTCCAGCCGAGGCCAACGTGTTCGTAGTCCTCGAACGGGGACTTGACCTCGACGTTCACCTTGTTGTCGGCGGAGTCAAAGAGGAACTCGCCGCTGAACACCACCCTGTCGTCGGCCACGAAGGAGCCGCGGATCAAAATCTCCCTGGGGTAGAACTCGAGTTTGGTTTTCCTCTCGGTCTCGTTGTACGACATGTAGGCCGTGGCCGTGAAGCCTCCGTTGTACGTGTTGAAGATGTCGCTCTTCATCTCGAGCGTCAGGTCGCCGCGGTTCTTCAGGATGACGCGCGTCATTCTCGGCGGCAGTCCGGGCAGCATCACGAAGTCCACGGACAAATCGTCGAAGTAGCCGCCCAGCACGGGGATGTCGACCACGGCGTCCAGGGTGATCTTGCTGTCCCAGTTGAGGCCCAGGATGCCGCCGGTGTGCACGAAAGTCTTCTCGTTGGCCTTGATGGACAGGTCCACGCTGTACGTCTTGCTCTTCTTGAGGAGGCCGCCGTAGTTCAGCACCACGTCCACCTTCTCGAAGTCCTTGAGCGGCGTTTTCATGGCAATCTTGGCGATTTGGTTCTTGTTGGTGATGGCGATTTCAAACGACTTCTTCTTGCCGTTGGTCTCGAGGGAGAGCTCGGCCGACTTGGCCTCCCCACCAGAGTACCTGCCGGCCAGAGTCACGTCCTCGAAGCCCTCGAACGGGGTCTGGACGCGGACGTTGGCGCCGTCGTCCTGGAGGGACACCCTGCCGGCCAGGGTCTGCGTGACGCCGTCCCTCTCGCGGGACGCGGCCGCCGACAAGTCGTCCGTGAAGTCGTACGAGCCGCGGTACGCCAGCGAGCTGAAGTCCAGGAAGGAGGTGGCCAGCTTGATGTCAGCCTCGCCCGACTTAAGCTCCAGCAAGGCGCGCGCCGACGCGTCGAAGATGTTCTGTTTGTTCCTAGCCAGCTTGAAGAAGGCCATCTTCTTGGTGCTGATGAGGTCGTACTTGGCGGCTAGATTGATGGACTGCCACTCCTCGAACGGCGTCGTCACGTCCACGGTCACGTCAGAAGCGAATTTCTGCAGGTTGGCCTCGATCGTCAGGTTGGAGTCGGCGTTGCTGTTCTTGACCTGCACGAGGACGACCTTCTTGCCGTTCTCGGAGGAGATGGAGCCGGAGATGAACACGTCCTTGAAGCCTTCCTTGGGCGTGACGAACCACGCCTTCATCTTGTTCTGCTCCATCTCCACCCGCGCGCTCATCACTTCGGCCTCGCCGTCCAGGCGCACCTTGAAGTCGGCAAACTTGTTGGCGTTCCTGCAGTCGAAGTTGCCGTCCACCTTGATCTGCGGCAGCCCCAGCAGCGGCAACGTCACCGCCGCCTCGGCCTGCCCGTTCTTGGGCGTGGCCGTCTTGGAGCTGAACTGCACCACGTTGGCGACGCCGCCCACCGCCTTGTACTCGGCGCGGCCGCTCTTGGTGGCACCGGAGACGTCGTACTCGAACTCGCTGTCGAAGCCCTTGTAGCCCTCAAGCGGCGTAGCCACAGCGATGGAGCCCGAGCTCTTAAGGCGCTGGATGTTCATCTGGCCGGCAGCGTGGAATTTGAATTCGTTCCGGTGCAGGGAGACGCTGGCACGCTTCTGCTGCAGCTGAGGACTGGTCACGTTCAGGTGGCCGCCGATGGACTCGAAGCCATCGAAGGGGGTGACGAGGGCGGCCTTGATGGCCACGCCACCCTCTTCGGGGGTGATGACGTCACCTGAGAGAGACACAGCCTTGTCCAGGTTGGTGAGGACCACGTTCACGGAGCGCTTGCCTTTGTCGAGCTCCTGCTTGAGGCTTGCCTTGAGCTCCTCCATGCCTTCGTACGGCAGGTTCAGCAGCAGTGTCGCTTCGCCCGCACCCTTCTCGTCCAGGCTGCTGTTGCCGTCGAAGAGAACCTCCCAGTCGTTCCTGGCCGTCTTGAAGATCACCTTCTGGTGCACGCCCTTGAGGTCGTAGACGAAGTTGAGCGACATGCGCTCGTAGCCCTTTATGGGGGTGACGAGCTGGATGTTGGCCAGGCCCGCCAGGTCGTTGGTCGTCAGGTTGCCGGCGAGCTTCACCTCGTAGTCGGCTTGGCCGTAGGTGACGTCGACAGTGTGCGCGTGCTCGGCGTCGCGGTTGTAGGCGGACTGGAAGTAGGCCGAGTTGATGCCCGGGATGTTGCTGTCCAGCGACAGGCTGAAGCGCGGCGAGTGCCGGTTGATGGTGGTGGAGGCCGAGAGCACGAGGTGCGCGTCCTTGCGGTTGAAGGACAGCACGGCCAGCTTGGTGGGGCGCGTCAGGTCGATGTCCCCTGCTAGCTTGAGCGTCTCCCAGCTGGGGATGGGCAGATGGTACTCGAACGAGGCGACGTAGTTGTCCGTCAACGCGGCGCCGTTGGCCCTCACGAACCACTCCTGCGCGTCCAGCTTGAGCGACAGCGCGGCGGACTTGGTGGCCGCGGCCAGGTCGTAGCGGCCCTCGCTGCGGAACACGTCCAGGCCCAGGTCCGACCGGACCATCTTGACGGAGTAGCTGGACTTGAGCCTGCTCAGCTCGCCGCTCGCGTCCACCTCCATCACCTTCCCATTCCACTTGACCAGCATGTAGGTCTTCTTCGGGGAGCTGAGCAGGTCCACATCGGCGTCAACACTCACGGGCGGGCAGAAGGGTGTTTCCAGCTGCAGGTTGAAGTGAGCCCCGCCCTTGTTGAGCCTGACCAGGGCCACGGCGCTCACGGTCTTCTCCTTGTACTTCAGCACCACCTTGGGCCGGCAGGTGTTCTTGCCCTCGAATGGCAGATCGAAGTTGAACTTGACGGGGTCGGAGTAGGGCGTGTTGATGACGGCCTCCAGGCTCTTGAAGTAGCCCGCCGAGTACTTGCTGTATGACAGTTCGGCGGTGGCCTTTTTGCCGTTGAGCGTGGCCGTCATGGAGTGCTCTAGCTCGCTGCCGTCGAAGGCCATGCTGTGCGCGTTGACGATGGAGCCGGTCTTGTTGGGCGTCTGCACCGTGATGGAGTTCTCCCAGTGAGTGGCATCCTCCATGGTGAGGCTGTGCGACAGTTGGACGGAGCCGGGCAGAGCCACTTTGGTGATGTAGTGCACGCTGGGCTTGTGGCGGTGGTGGAGCGCCAGGACGAGCTGCCGAGGCAGTACTGTGCCGGCCAGGGTCATCTTGTAGTCGAACAGGGTCTCCTCGCCCTGCTTCCGGAGGCTGCCTTCGACGCGCAGCGATGCAGTGTCCTCGTTCCACTCGCCGCTGAGCTGCGTGGTCAGCCCCACGTCGTCCACCTTGCTGAGGATGGCGGACTGCAGGCGGTGGCCGGGCACGGCCAACTTGCCGGTCACGTCCACGAGCGTGGGGAACTTGACGTCGCCGCCGACGTCCACGTCAAGGATGGTCTTGTCGCCGTAGTTAACCTTAAACACGTCGTGGATCTTGCCCTTCTTGGTGCTGTGCTCCGCGGTCATCTTGACGGTCTTGGAGAAGGGGGAGGCCACCTCGGCCTGGCCCTTGAGCACGGCGTCGGAGCGCTGGCCCTGCATTGACAAGGACACAGCCTTGCGGTTCAGCTCGCCGCGGAGGTTCACGTTGGCGGCGTCGCCCACCGCGTTGTACTGGAACTCGGCCATGGTGAGCTCGTAGCCCTCGAACGGCGTGACCACCTGCAGCAGCACGTGCGGGTTGCGGCCCATCATGAGCTTGAACTCGGCGCCCGCGCGCCGCTCTGGCGCCCAGCTGACCTCCACTTGGCCGCGGTCGCCGTAAACGTCGTTCTCCAGGGCGAACTTGCCGGACAGCGACCGGGCCAGCTCGAAGGGGCTGACGAAGGACGCGGTGCCGGACACGCCGATGTTGGTGGCGAGCAGCTTGGCGTCGGCTGCCGTGCGGTGGCTGTTGTAGTCGAGCGAGAAGTGGCTCTGCATATCCCTCGTCGTGCCGTTCTTGACGTCCACGTGGCTCACGGCCAGCGTCACGTTGCGCAGCAGCGACAGCGAGCTGGACACGTGTGCCGTGGCGCGGAGGCCGCCGTGCAGCGTCTCGCCCAGCATGTTGACGGACAGCATCTGGTCGCTCCACGTCAGGTCCACCTGGACGGACCCGAGAAACTTGTCAGCCAAAACGTCTCACGGCAGCTGGAAGGTGGAAAAGAGACAGAATTTCGAACCTACCCGCGCGTCGGTGCTGTTGTCCGTGAGGACGTAGAGGGCGGCCATGGTCTGCATCTTGTAGCCGTGGAAGGGCGTGGTGAGGCTGGCGGACAGCTTGCCGCTCTCCGCGCTCAGGGCCCACTCCGTGTTGAGCGTGAGGCGGTCGCCGCCCGTCCACTCCAAGACGGACGTGAAGCCGTTCGGCCTTGCGGGGCGAAAAAAAAATCATTAGTCGAAGGTGCTGAGTGGGTCGAAGCTGGGCGAAGTAGGGGGCTTACAGCTTGGTGACTTGCAACTTGATGTACTGGTCCGGGAAGGCCAGCTCGGCCTGCCTGGACTCGGAGTCGGCCTCGGCGTGCAGCGCCACCCGCTTCTTGGGGTCCACGTCCTTGTCCCAGAACATCTCCACGGACACGACGTGCTTAACGCCGTCGCAGGAGACCTGCATTCATTGATGGCGTTAACTTGGAGGCGGCAGCGCGGCAGCGTAGTTCGGCACGCGGGCTGTTTGGCCATTAAGCGCACGCAGCGCCGGCTGCCCGGCCGGCACTTTGGCGCGCTTTGGCTGGCGCCCCAAACAGCCGCAATCCCAACTTAATCTCGGCTACCTTGGTGTCGAGCACGAAGCGCTTGGTGAACTGCAGGTCCAGGATGGCGCCCTTCTCCGTGTCCTCGTTGAGGATGGCCAGGCGGCCCTTGTAGCCCTTGGTGTCGAGGCGCAGCACCACGTCCACCACGTGGTACCTGTTCTTGGTGTAGTCCACGTCGATGCGGTAGCGCGCGCCGGCGCGGTCCACCTGCAGCCACTGCCTGGCGCGCCCGTTGGCGGCGGCCATGGCGGCCGTCACGCGGAAGGGCACGGCCCAGGACGCCGACTTGGACTTGGGGAAGGCCGCGTCCAGCTCCAGCACGTGGTGCAGGGACACGAGGGTGTTGTTGTTGGAGTAGGTGCCGTTAATCACCAACTCGTGTTGCTAGAGAAAGGAAAAGCAGAGTTTGGTCTTTCGGGAACTGAGGGGGTAGTGCAGCGGTTCTCAACCTTTCTCGGCTCGCGACCCCAAATTTGTACCCAAAAATTTCTGCGACCCCCAGGAAAAGTTTCGCGACCCCACGGGACCCCTCCTTTAGCATGCCACTGCGTCTGATCCGAGGCGGGCATTTTGCTCCCTCAACGGGCAATTGGTCTTTGGACCTTCCTTTAGCATGCCTCTGTTACGGAGTGCGATTATCAGTCTTAGTTTGGGAGCAGTATTGTCTCAAAGTTGGCCAAAACGCTCAGAAATGTCTTTAAAAAATCATGTTTTGGGTCGATTTTAAGCAGCCACTGCGTCTGATCCAAGGCGGGCATTTTGCTCCCTCAACAGGCAATTGGTCCTTGGACCTTCCTTTAGCATGCCTCTGTTACGGAATGCGATTATCAGTCTTAGTTTGGGAGCAGTATTGTCTCAAAGTTGGCCAAAACGCTCAGAAATGTCTTTAAAAAATCATGTTTTGGGTCGATTTTAAGCAGCCACTGCGTCTGATCCAAGGCGGGCATTTTGCTCCCTCAACGGGCAATTGGTCTTTGGACCTTCCTTTAGCATGCCTCTGTTACGGAGTGCGATTATCAGTCTTAGTTTGGGAGCAGTATTGTCTCAAAGTTGACCAAAACAGGCACAACGATTTTTCAAAGACATTTCTGAGCGTTTCGGCCAACTTTGAGACAATACTGCTCCCAAACTAAGACTGATAATCACACTCCGTAACAAAGGCATGCTAAAAGAAGGTCCAAAGACCAATTGCCCGTTGAGGGAGCAAAATGCCCGCCTCGGATCAGACGCAGTGGCTGCTTAAAATCGACCCAAAACATGATTTTTTAAAGACATTCCTGAGCGTTTTGGCCAACTTTGAGACAATACTGCTCCTAAACTAAGACTGATAATCGCACTCCGTAACAGAGGCATGCTAAAGGAAGGTCCAAAGACCAATTGCCCGTTGAGGGAGCAAAATGCCCACCTCGGATCAGACGCAGTGGCTGCTTAAAATCGACCCAAAACATGATTTTTTAAAGACATTTCTGAGCGTTTTGGCCAACTTTGAGACAATACTGCTCCCAAACTAAGACTGATAATCGCACTCCGTAACAGAGGCATGCTAAAGGAAGGTCCAAAGACCAATTGCCCGTTGAGGGAGCAAAATGCCCGCCTCGGATCAGACGCAGTGGCTGCTTAAAATCGACCCAAAACATGATTTTTTAAAGACATTTCTGAGCGTTTTGGCCAACTTTGAGACAATACTGCTCCCAAACTAAGACTGATAATCGCACTCCGTAACAGAGGCATGCTAAAGGAAGGTCCAAAGACCAATTGCCCGTTGAGGGAGCAAAATGCCCGCCTCGGATCAGACGCAGTGGCTGCTTAAAATCGGCCCAAAACACGACCCCAGCTACCTCGCCGCGACCCCTTAAAATTTTTTCACGACCCCACTTGGGGTCGCGACCCTAAGGTTGAGAACCACTGGGGTAGTGTAGCGTTTGGACCCTGGACTCACCACTTTCGGCCCTTGCGGCACGGTGACCTCGTAGCGGCCGCGCGCGTTGGCCCGGTAGCTGCCCCTCGCCTGCTGCTGCACGTCCGCCTTCCAGTCCAGCAGCCTCCAGGGGCAGGCCAGCTGCGCGTTGAGGCGGTACGCCGTCAGCGCCGCGCCGTCCGAGGCCGTCAGGCTCACGCCGTACTCCAGCGCCGCGTTCCAGCGCACGTCCTTGGAGTACTGCAGCAGCGCGTGCGACGCCAGGCCCACGTCCGTCGTGAGGTGCTGCAGGTCCAGGCGGTAGTCCACGCCCTTCTTGGCGTTGGCCAGGCTCAGCTTGAGCGCCAGGTCGCTGTGCTCGTTGGGGTGGCGGTTGCGGTACAGCTGCTGCGCCGTCCACAGCGAGTCGCCGAGGCCCAGCTGCTGGCTGCTCTCCCAGTAGCGGTCCGCGCGCTGCAGGTCCAACGCGGCCACCACGTTGTGCTGCGGCCACTGCGACGTCTGCAGGTTGAACGACGCGCTCTTCCTGGACAGCGCGCCCTTGTCGTTGCTTTGGTACTTGGCGGCCAGGGCCACGTCGTGCGCCTTGCTGGAGCCGAGCTTGTAGTTGGCGGTGATCTTGGCGCTGACCACGTTGGGCGGCGCCCAGCGCGCGCTGCCCTGGACGCCGGCGTCGATGCCGGCGGCGCGCGCCGACGCGGTCAAGTCCCACTTGGTGCCGGCGCGGGTCAGGTCGGCGGCCAGGGCGACCGGCTGCTCGGTGAGCCCACCCACCGTCAGGTCCGCGCTGTACTTGGTGTTGGTGATGTAGTTGATGGAGCCGCGCATGTCGAGGAGCGCGTGCCGCCGCCAGTGCACCGTCATGGTGGGCTCCAGGCGGCTGCCGGCCTGGCCGCCCCCTGAGGACGCCATCTGCACGCAGGACGCGGCCAGGGCCAGCACCTCGCGGCCGTCCTTGTTGACGGTCACGTCCAGGGAGCGCTTGTCGCGCGCCAGGTTGGCCTTGGCAGTGCCCTCCACGGCGGCCCACGGAGACACGAGCTGCGCGCGCGCCCCGAGCTGCCGGATGTCCGCCCACAGCAGCCCGACCAGCTTCCGGTTGACGCGGGAGCCGGGGGTGTCGAAGGTGGCTGACCAGGACACGGGTGAGCTGGAGCGAGACAGAATGAATGATTAATCAACTATCAATGAGTATTGAAAATCGAAAAGAAAAGTAAGAAGTGGGTAGTTCAGACTCACGTCGGGTCGTTTGGCTTCTCAAACTCCGACTTGTACTGGAAAGAGTACTTGTCGAAGGTGTCGGTGCGGTGCAGGACGACGGACATGTTGAAGGGCCCTGTCAACGGGAAGTACGGCGCGTCCTCAAACCGAGATGCGTTCGCGTAGGACAGCGTTCCGCACATCTGCAAAGTAAGAAACATAAGAGTTTTTGGTGATTTTGGCGGCCACTGAGTGTAAACTCGCGACGTGATAGACACCGCGCGCACCTTGAAGCCGGTGACGGCGGCGGCGGTGTCTGACGAGCAGCCCTCCGTCTCGTCCCTGTCCTCCACCACGCCCTGCAGTTCGCGGGGCTGCTCGCGGTGCAGCAGGTACAGCTTGGACGAGACCTCCACCACCTCCACGCGCTCGCGCGGCACGTTCAGAGAGACCTCCGTCAGCTTTCCGCCGTTCACTTGAATCTGGAAGGACAAGGACGAATTAGGAGGACGACAAGTGTCGCGAAGCGCGAAGGCCGCTAGCCAGACTCGAAGAGAACCTTGCCGTCGACGAAGGTGCTCGAGTGCATGGTGCTGATTGTGCGCAGGCCGGTGCGTGTGACGTAAGCGTTGATGCCCATGTTGGCGACGATCTGCACGGAGGCCGAGGGCGCAACGCGCCCCTCCACCAGCAGGGCCTTCTTCGTCATCATTTCGGACAGGTCCAGCCGGCCCTTGACCTGCAGTCCCACCGTGGCGGAGCCGTTGGCCGTCAGCTCCAGCGGCATGCCGGAGGCCGTGGGCAGCACGTAGGCCGCGTCCAGGAACACCAGGGACTTGGTGACGTCCAACTCGGAGCGGCGCAGCAGCCCGATCAGGGTCTTCATCGGGTGGCTGCGGTGGAGAGGGGCGATCAGAGGGGCAACACAGAACGCACAAACCATGACGCTGGAGTGAACCTACGCGAAAGTGTCCGTGTTCTCGGCGAGCTCCTGCAGCCCGTTGAACCGGGAGTAGTGCAGCTCGTTGCCGAAGACGCGGGCGTACATCTCGCCGTGGGGCTCCTGGGGCAGGCGGCGCCGGGCGTCGAACGCGCTGGACAGCTTGGCGATGCTGTTCTCGGCGTCCGAGGTGGGGCCGGAGCGCAGGTTCTGCAGCATGGCCTGCACGCCCTCGTCGGGGAAGGCGCCGCCCTTGGCGAAGAGCCCCTCCACCACGGACTCAAAGCCCTCGACGCGCGCGCCCACCTCAAACAAGTTGACGGACTCGCCGAACACGTCCACGGTCAGGTTGAGGTTGGCCGAGCGCGGCAAGTAGGACTGCGGCGAGAACACCACGTTGCTCTCCGTCGTCACGCCCATGTTCACTTTGTCCACAAACACGGAGCCCTCGTAGTTGCGCGAGAACTTGCGGACGTCTGTCTTGAACTTGTTCTTCAGGAAGTCGCTCTCCACGAGCTCGCGTAAGTTTTGCTTCCAGGGGCTGGCTGTTTCTTGCAGGTTTGTCAAATGCGTCCAAACGAACGAAGCCACTGCAAAACGAGTTGAACATGTCAGGGCTCCAGGGGGGAGGCGGGGGAAGGGGCGCGCTAGGGGCATTCACTGACCTTGGTTAACGTCCTCCGCGTACAAGGCGTCCTTGACGACCCTGATGGTGGTGGGCGACGGGCAGCGCATGGCGGCCAGGTAGGCGGCGATCCGCAGCTCCACGTCGAGGCGCTGCTCGGTGTACAGCCTGAGGAAGGCGCTGGAGGGCTGCACCTCGCAGGGCGCGCGGCGCCACGCCGTCAGCGCGGCCAGGCGCACCTCCAGGGGGTTGGTCGTGCTCTGCGGACGACAAGCTGTTGGAGAACAACCTCACCGTCGTCACTCGCAAGACCTGCGGCCACTCACCTCGTAGCAGCGTGCCAGGGTGGCGGGGGTGATGACCACGCCGGCGTTGCCCAGCGCCCTCAAGGCCAGCAGCACCATGTCGGTCTCGTCGCGGCCGAGGGCGCGGCAGTCCGCGCCCAGCAGGCGCTCCAGCCTGCTCACCACGACGGCGACCTCGGGGACTTCGGCGGCGCACTCAGGGCGGCCTGCGCACACGCGGTGCACTAGCGCCGACACGGCCAGCAGCGCGCGAGGACGAGGCAGGCCGTCCAGCAGAGGCTGTGAAGAAGGCGGAGAAAAGAAATTGACTAGGGATTCGAACCCGGGTCAGATCTGTAGACCACGTTGACTCACCAGAAGGGCGGTGATCATGTTGGGCTTGGCGTGAGTTTGGAAGGGGATGGCGGCGAGCCACGAGTCCATCTCCTTGCCGGTGATCTGCTCGGAGCGCCACAGGCTGAGCATGGTCTCCAGGGACTCGGCGGTCGCGACGAGGGGCAGCGCGTCTAGCAGGAATCGGCGCTGGCGCCTGGAGAGAGGGCATATGCAAAGATCAGTCGGGGGAACATCAAAGGGACAGGATCTGATGCCGCCCAGACCGATACGTACAACTCCTCGGTTTCGTCGAACAGCAGGGACAGGTCCTTGAGCTGCAGGCCGCGGAGGTCGGCGACTAGCCTGGAGAACATGGCAGCGGACTGCTTGTCCACGCCGTCCTTCGTCCGCGTCGCCAGCGCCGCCAGCGAGGCCTTGACGGCCTCCATGGTGCCGGCGCCGGCCGCGGTGACGGCCTCCTCGTGCTCGAACAGCATGTTGGTGCGGCGCGCGAAGGTCGGGGCCGTGAGGCGGGGAACGTCAGCCTCCTCGTCCGGGGTCGACGTCTCCACCAGCGTCAGGGTCTGCTTGACGTTGGTGCGCGCGCCGCTCTCGCCGGAGGAGAAGGGCCGGAACAAGTGCGACTCCGTGCACTCCGCGGAGCGCAGGTGGCCGCCGTAGCTCAGCGCGAACTTGCAGGTGTGGTTGCTCCTGCAGCGAGACGAGCACGACGTCAGGTAAGTACGCCATCACAACACCACCAGGTCGCCGTCGGCGCGACTCACCTGAGCAGCGGCAGGGCGTGCGCGGGGTTGGGCGAGGCGTACTGCGTGGACTGCACAGACAGGTGGTGCTGCATGCGGTGCGAGCAGGCCAGCAGGTTCTTGGTCTTGGTCATGAGCAGGTTGTCCTCGAGCACGCCGGCGTGGGCGTAGTGCGTCTCGCACGTGCCCGTCACGTCGGTCTGGGGCGCAGGTCGGAAGGCGGACGAGGAAAGTTAGCTCTCGGCGCGCCGGCTGAATTTTTATCAAGGGCCGTGTCGCCGTGCCCATCCCACGAAATTAGCCGCCGCCACCCCCTCAGCCTCCGTGGCAGCGACGTGGCGGCGACGTGACGGCGCGGCCCTCGAGAAGGTGTTAAAGTGACAAGGTCAGGGCGCACTCGCGTTCGCGCTCTTTTATGCATGCAACTTGGCCGAAACCTTAACGAGGCGCTGCCCGGTGCCCGCCGCCCGCCCCACGCGCCGAAGCGGAGCGGAGCGGCACGGCGCGGCACGGGGCGGCGCAGGGCAGCACGGCAACGCGCGGGGAGCCGCGGAAGTGCCGAACACGTTTCCCCTTTTACAGCGGCGGTTAGGGGCGGGGCCAGTGTAGGGTGCGCCGGGGCAGGCGGGACACGGAGCGCCATGTTTTTTACTTCATATTGCATGGCTTTCGCGGCTTTCGCGGCTTGCGCGGCCAGCCAGCCGGAACGCCTGCGAGGTAGGCAGCAGCCAGCGCTTGCGCACCCACGTGCACCGCGTGGCGGCCTACCCCGCACTTCGCAGGCGCTCCACAGCGTAAAATCGAAAACGAAGTTAGTTTTTCCAAAGTATCGTGTACGCGCTCACCTCGTACACCGTCGAGTCGATCCGGAAGTCGGGCATGGCGTTCTGGAAGGTGGACAGCACGCCCCTCTTGACGTTGAGGACCCAGACGGGCTCCCCGGGCGCGGGGCACAGCTCGTCCACGACGCCGTCCTGGAAGGCGAACTGGAGCGGCCGCTCCTCCAGCTGTCGCTTGAACTCGGCGGCGCCCCGTGCGGCCTCCTTGGAGGCGCCGTCCTGGAGGCTGGCCTCCTGCAGCTGGACGTCCCGGAGCTGGAACAGGGCCCGGAACTCATTTTCGGGTGTCCGGCAGCAGGCCGCGCGAGCCCCAATACCCCCGGACATAAATCAGCCCGCCGGGACGACGGGGTGCCGGGATGGGATGACTTTCCCGCAGTCCGTCTGGCAGTCTGGCAGATTTACAGCCGTCAAGGCCATCCGTCTGTCTGTCTGTTGGTCCACATGATGAGTGCGGTCCGCATGGCCCGCGGCATGCCGATGCATGATGCATGCCGACCGGTCGTTTGGGACTCCCAGTCCACTCACCTTGAGCACGTAGTCGCATCTCGAGATGGGGGTGATCTCCGCCCAGGCGGACAGGAGCAGTCGGGAGGCCTCGGGGCTGGCGCCGGCCACTAGGGTCTCGGTCAGGGACTCGTACCGGTACTGGTACGTGGTGCCGGGACTGTACTTAAATTTACTTATTTTATCAGTCTCTGCAACAAGGAGCAGGGGGCGTGTCAGACAGAGCGGCGGCGGGACGCGGCGGGAGCGCGGCAACGGCTGCAAAAGCGCGGCAAAGCGCAGCAGGCTCACCTTGTTTGCAGAAGGCGGCGCATTGGAGCGCGCCCTTATCAGAGCCGGGCAGGGCGGGGCCTGCGGCAGAGAGAGGGAGAGCGAAGTGAGCACGGCACAGTGGCACAGAGAGAAAGACAGAAAGTGTGGGCGGGGGTCAAGAGGCCGCGAGGCAATTACTTTTAATGAGCCGCGACTCTATCTCCCTCCGCAATAATTAGCGCGTCGCGCCGTGGCACCGCGACCGCGCCGCGACGCGAGACGTGAGACGACAGCCGCAGCCACCCCGCCCCGCCCCGCCATGTTTGTCGCGCTCTAGTCAGTCACCCGCGAAAAACGTAGAAATGCGCCGAACATTCCGGAACGTTCTTCGGCGTTATCGGGGCGGGGCGGGGCGGGGCGGAGTGGGGCGCGGCGCGGCGGCGAGCACGTGGGGTTGCGGGCTTGCTGCGGTCAAGCCTGGCGGGCCGGACAGAGTGAGACAGGATCGGATGAAAATCGATGTCCTGCAGGTGTCCCCAGACGACGTCCGTCCGGCAGGCAGGCCTCTCGGCGAGGAGGCCCAGCTCAAGCCGCGGCTGCGTGGCTCCAGCCCCGCGCTGGCCGCGCTCTACGAGGCCGTGATTTACGGGCCGGACTGCAGTGCCTACGGTGCCCACCCTCCCGCCCGCCTGTCTCTCTTGCACCCTCGCGGAACGCTCCATGAGTGCGGGAGAGACAGAGCGATGCAGCCTGCTGCCCACGGCCCCGGGCGGCGAGCGGGCTCCATTTCCACTCCAAACCGCAAGCATTATTTACTCAGCCCGATAGATAAAGCATGCTGGGCCAGGCCTCGGACTTTTGCTACTGCTGCTGGCTTTGCCGACTGAAACCGCTTTGGTATACGGCCCCGTGTTTTCACCACGGCAAGGGACGGCCAGGGACGGCCCAAGAGTCTTGACTGCTTCTTGCGGCGCTCTTCGTCCCACTGTCCCCTCTCGCGCACCTAGAACGCCCTGTGCACGACGAAAGACGTGCCGTGAACATGCAGCAAACTTCCGACCGCCACCGCCCCCGCAAGCATGGATTGGATGCGTGCCGGTCTGCCTGTCTGGTCCAGTGGAGGCCGAGGCCAGGAAAAACTCGTCTTGATAACGCAGGCCTATCATCACATCAGGCGGACGTAAACTGCTGCGAGCCTCGCGCCGTTCGCGGTGGTTCCCCCCCCCCCCCCCCCCCCCCCCCCGACCGAGACACCCCGATGGGGACCGATGGGGACCGATGGGGACCAGCGGCGGCGCGTTGAGGGGAAAACAGGGACGATGAATCAATATGCCGTTGTTTAGTTTGGAACCACGTGCGGTCGGGGTTTGGAAGACGTCGTGGACGTCGTGGACGTCGTGGACAGGCGCGGGGCGTGCGAGAGAGACGCCGTGCACCGGCGGGTCAGTCACCCCGGTGCCCCTGAGGAATGGGGGGGGGACGGCAATGTCGGAACCCAGAGGCCTCTCTATATGGCCTGCAAACAGAGTGGGCCAGCGAGGCGACACTCCCTGGGTGGGGGAGGATTGAGAGTGTGCGAGAGTGAGTAAGTGCGCGTGCGTATGAGTGAGTGAGTGAGTGAGTGAGTGAGTGGGGTGAGTGAATGAGTGAGAGTGTGGCAACGATTCGCGAGAGATGTCTTTCTCGGTGACTGCCGAGAAAACGTGAGCTCTCAATCGAACACGTGCACACACGAGCAGAGAGAGAGAGAGACGCGCGCGCGCACATTTATCTCGTTTGTTTGACATTCTGAAGCCCGCCCGTCCTCTTTATAGCTCACACGCTCACACAGTGATCCGAATACCGCATTCATTTGTACCGCGGCGCGCTCCGTCGCTCTGTCTCTGTCCTTTGTTCACTGCGTCGTCATGGCGCCATCGCCACTCGCCGCGGAATCGAGCCGAAAGTTGGTGCCGGCAACCCCAGCCCGTGCCTTTGTCCCTCTACTTTCGAAGCTCTCTTTGAGCTTGGCGGCAACACAACAACGGACTGCCGTTCCCACTGCACTCGCAATTTAAACTCTCTATCTCTCTCTCTCTCTCCCTGCTGTGCTCCGCTCGTTTCAAATCGCTGTGCGGACAACCCCATCCGAACAGCGCGCAATGAGTGGTAGATCGATCGGCAAATACCAAACGGATAAAACGACCCTCGTAAAACGGAACAAATTAAAACTTGTACATTTTTTATTAGTTTTTTAGTAAATTTTGTTAAATTTTAAAAATTGAGTTAAATTTGACTAAATTTAAGTAATTTTAATTAATTTTCATTTGCAAAACTAGAATTTGTTAATCTTTGTAAGCTGCTTTGATTAAATCCTTAATTAAAATGAATAAATTTAATTTAAGATTTAATCAAAGCAGCTTACAAAGATTAACAAATTTTAGTTTTGCAAATGAAAATTAATTAAAATTACTTAAATTTAGTCAAATTTAACTCAATTTTTAAAATTTAACAAAATTTACTAAAAAACTAATAAAAAATATACAAGTTTTAATTTGTTCGTTTTACGAGGGGACACTCCCCCGCAAAGTACAAACAGGCAGAGAGCGGATTTGAACCGTCGACTACCCGGTCAAGGGGCTCAGGATTCAGCGCGGAAACCATGACGGCCACGGGTGGGCAGCGTACCGAGCGACCCACGCTCGGTACTTTTGTGACGCTGGTATTCGAACGCCGGCCTGCGGTAACACGATTCCACGTCTCTAACCTCTCGGCTATCACAGCAGTTGTGAAGCGCGGTGGATAATCTGCTTTCATTAACGTTCGTTGAATGAGAGACGGCTAGTACCAAAGTACCAACACCGGCCACCTCGCTCGGGTCTATATATTTTGTTTCATACACAATTTTAATTACTATCTTTGGAATGAGCCCGCACACTACCCCGTATAAGGAAACCAAACGAGTATTAACCAAGAAATTTGAAAGGGAAAAGAAAAAATTTGAACTCTACACCCCCTCCCCAGTCTTAATGGGGAGGCCTCCTGCTTTACTTCGGTGTTCGGGATGGGAACCGGTGCTATCAGGTACCTGGGGTTAATCCCGTCAGCGACTCTAAGCGTTCGCCGGGGGACCCAGTAGGACCCCAAAGCTCAGGCAGCTGGGTGAGAGCACCCAGTACGAAGCTCTTTGAGGGGCGGGACGTAGAGTGAGACGACAGAGAGACAGAGAGAGACTCAGACAGAGAAGAGGTTTGGTGGGAGCTTCTTGTTTTCGTAGGGTTGGTGGTGTACCCCATGGTACCCCCACTGTCCGGCGCTCCCGTACCGAACATACAGCGTTTTAGGCCAGCTTCAAAGGACTTATCATCGCCTCCCCGACGAATCAAGGAGGCACCACCCGCAACCACACACCGGATGGTCTGGATTGATGGATCAAATACTCCATCGCTCCAGTGCCGAGGCCAACCCGCCGAAGCGGATTGCTTTTTAGACACCCACAGCGGAGTGGCCAGGTGAATGTGACTCTGACCACTACGCTATCACGCTTGTACGTCTGGCAGCGTGTTGGACGACGGGTTTGAGTTGCACTGGGAGGAAGGCGGTCGAAAAATGTATTGAAATAATGGGATTCGATCCCCGGACCCCGCCACCGGGATCACACGACTTTACGCTCTCGGCCACCACGGCCCATGATGAGGGGATCGGCGTGAGGTGGGTTCTTGACGCAACAGGACTTGACCGACCCGGTCAAAATTTCGCAAGAAGTTGGGGGAGTCGAACCGCCGACCCTAGCACTCAGATCCGACGCCTCTACTTCCTGGACCACCACGTCCCATGCTCGGAGTGGGCTCACGTTTACGGGTTTGAACCGCACTGGGTGAGGCAGTAAAATTAAATGGAAATATTTGTTTGGAGTCGAACCTCCGGCATGTGGGCCTGTTGCACACGGCTCCGCTCTCATGGCCTCGAACCACCACCCTTAGGATAGCAAGTCGAAAAAACTTTCGTGACGCTGGTATTCGAACGCCGGCCTGCCGTAACTCGATCCCACGTCTCTAACCTCTCGGCTATCACAGCAGTTGTGAAACGCGACGGATCATCTGCTTTCATTAACGTTCGTTGAATGAGATTTTTTTAAAAAATTTATATATATTTTCATTTTGTTTTTTTTTTTAAATTTTTGAGGAGCCGGTCCGGCGACCCAGTCCACATGGCCGAGCCAGCGGGCGGGCGGCCAGGCCGTCGAGGAGGTGGCCGCGGTGGAGGTGGTGCATCTTGTCTCACCCCACCACACTTACGCCCCACCACACCTCGGCCCACCACGCCCCCTTCTTCGCGGCGGGGGAGTCGCACAGTTCGAGAGGGGCGGGGCGGGGCGGGGCGGGGCGGGGCGGGGGAAAGGGGCGTCGAAAAGGAGTGCGCGGTGACCAGCCTGCAGCCTGGGGGCTTGTTGGTTCCGTCACCGGCCCGTCGAGGGCGTCCAGGACGTCGAGGACGCCAGGGTGCTTCCGCCCACTGTGAGGCGCAGCGCGGTGCAGCGAGGCGCAGCGCCTCGGGGCGTTCCGGCTGAACCTCCTCTTTGACGCCGCCGCCGCTGCCCGGCAAACTATCCCCCGCCGCCCCACAGCCCCATCCACTCCCAACCCCGGTCGGCTGGCGGCAGCGGTGCCTTTCGATTGGGAAGAAAAACAAAGCCTTCATGTTTGCGGGACTATTCCAGGACGCCGTTGCGTCTCTTTGGTAGTCGCGGTGGCGGTGAGGCCACTACCGCGGGGGAGGACACCCGAAAGAGGCCCCCTAAAAACCAGCGCTCGCCTCCCGTGCAACAGTTTTTATGGTAATAGTGACAGTTTACGCGCGATGACGTAACCATGTTATGAGTGCGCTGCGCGGCGGTTCGAGTCGCGCTGGCCGCCGAAGGCAGAGCCAAAGAGTTGCACGCGGAATGAGCTGTCCGATCGCAATCGACTATCGGCGCGGGCGGCCCGGGGGACGGGGACGGCTGTCCGTCGCCGTCCGTCCATCGGCCCCGATCGGGCATCCCGGCCCTCGGGCAGCCCTCGGCCAGCCCGCAATCTGGACGTCACATCGGTCGCGACGGAACACGTCGCCAAGGCCCTCCGCCGCGACCAGAGTAGACGAGAGGAGCCGGGGGACGAGTCCGACGAGTCCAATGAAAAAGTGGTGGCGGGCTCAAAAACTTCCCGCGCCAATTTCCCGCGCTTGTTTTCGTTTTGTCTGTGGCGGGCAGACGGGCGAGAGCGAGCGAGAGCGTCGTCGCGGCGGCGGCGGCGGGGTGGCGGTTCATGGCGATGCTGTTTGCGTGACCCGGCGCGACCCCCACCTCACCCCGCCTCACCCCGCCTCACTCCGCCGCGACTAGTCGGGCCATCTATCAGATCTGTAATCTGGGGCCGCGCTGCGCTGCAGACCGCGTGGGAGAGCAGGCGCATGGCCGCACGGCCGCGGGGGGCGGCACTTGCGGTTGGAAAGTCCGCGACGCCCACGACGGGGTGCTCCACGGGGTGCTCCACGGGGTGATCCTGCACCGACGAATGCAGGGCGAACGGCGCGAGGTGTAGACAAACAAAGGCACTCCACTTCCTCGAGTGCGACATCACGGCCTGCATCTTGTTGGCGCCGGCAAAACAAGTCATGTCGTTGTGTTTACTCTTCCTTCTTCCGGGCCGGGGGGCCGAGCAAACAGCAGCACGGAGTACGCCCCCGCCTTGTCCTCCTTCGACGTGCCGACATGGCCAGCACGACCCGCGCCACCACCGCCCACACCTTGTCCTCCCCCGGCACTCGGCGCCCACCCTACACCCCGCGCCGCCGCGCCGCCACGCCGCGTGGGCCCCCGGCCGTCCGTCCGACGGACCGTTGTTCTGTGGAGTGGTGCAATCATGGTCGGTGCATCGCCTCGACATCGCCTCGACATCGCCACGACATCGCCATGACATCGCCGCGGCCGAGGCGAGTCATTGGCCATGCATTGGCCACCCCTTGAGATAAGGACATGATGGACGCTGCTGGAAAGACAATGCAGACCGACAGACGGACTGACAGACAGCCTGGCGGGGCTAAACTGGGGCTCGCGTCAACACGGTGTGGTGGACGGGGTGGGGTGGCGTGGGACCCCCGAGCTAGACCGCGCGTTCTGTCTGCGCCTGTAGGTCCTTTGGGACCGTCCGGCTCGGCCCGGCCCGGCTCGGCTCGGATCAGCCCGGCCGGGCTCGTCTCTTGGAAATAGATGCGGTGTCCTCTGGAGCGTTTCCTGCCATCCTGCCTCCCTCCTGCACCCCAGCCGCCCCCGCCCAGGGCGTCTGAATGGTGGCGGCCGAGGCGTCCAATGAACTGAGCCGAACGGTCGGCTCGGTGATGCACATCGAGTCTTGTCTAGCTCAACAACAACAACAACGATGAGAACGACAACAACGGCAACAACAAGAACAAGAGCGGCAGCAAAGTCGACAAGTCGAAGTGTTTGCCCCGACAGTTGTGGGGTGCGCAGTGCGCAATGGACCGCACTGGCCGTGCCGGGGGAATGCAGCGGACTCTCTTATCTCGCGGGGCTCGGCGCGCACCGCGTCCGAGAGCCGAGACGGAGAGCCCGCTCCGTTTTCCTATCGTCAATGTTTTGTTGCTGTGGATTTGGGGGAGGGGGTGAGCGCTGGACGACAACAACAGCAGCTCGGGCGCCTGGACGTATTGTCCTGCATGTTGGGTTATTAGTCCGTTGGGGCAGGTCGGGAGGGATGGCGTCGTCGCCCGTTGGGGTAGGCTAGGGTAGGCCACCCCTCGGGCCGCGCAGGCCGCGCAGGCAGCTGCGTCACAGACTCACGCGCACTCGGCGACGCGGACTTCAAAGCGTACACACACACACACACACACACACACACACACACAGGGTCTCGGCTCGGATGCCTCAGTAGGTGAGGGGTGGAGTGAGGCGCGGCTCGCTGGAATGCGGGGGCGACCCGTTGAGGGCCTCGTCGGCCTTGTAGCAGTTGGGGAGGTGCGCGCCGTGCGCGGGGGCGCCACTCACCTGCGGCGACGACCGTGACGGCCGCCAGGGCCGCCACGAGCACGGAGACGCTCATCGCGTCGAAGGGAACTCCCGCGCTCTCCCTCTGCAGGCCGCGTCGTTCACTTTGAAGCACTCACTACCACCCGTCCGAACTCCTCCTCCTCCTCCACTCCCCCGTTCACCTCTCTCACTCACACACGCGCACGCACGCACTGGATTGGATGCACGACACACGCGCGCGGACTGTTCTCGCTTCCAAAGTGTTGGCGCAACTGGAGCGCGCCGGCCGAGGGGCCTCGTTATATAAGCTGCGGGTCGGAGGTCGGAGGTCGCTTGATAAGCGGACATCGCTGTGCTGTCCTCCCGAGGCGCGCTGCCCAGCGCAGCCCAGCGCAGCGCACTTTCTCATACCGAGAGAATGCAGCGCGGCAGGGAGGACGATTCCGGACAAGGCCTTATCGCTCTCTCTCGCACCCCTGCGGGCCACCCCATGATGAGTGCGAGAGACGCAGGGCGACGATGGTTCTGTTTGGAATCAGCCAGTACAATCTCAGGGTGTTTTTGTTTCTTCCATCTTAGAGCGTCCATCTTAGCGCCCGGCTGGGTAGGCCGAGCCGCGGCGCAGGTGCGTCGAGACGTTGCCTACCGCCCGGGCGCTCGCTGCCCCGCTCCCCGCGCCACAGGTGCCGTCGAGGGCGTCGAGGGCGGCCACCACCAGCCCGTGGCCTCTCCACCCCAACCCACCCCAACCCACCCCAACCCACACCCGGAAGGCGGTAAAGTTTCCCAGACGCGCGGCGTGGCCTGTGGTAGCCTGCGGTTCTGTGACGAATTAAAGCGTTTGTTCATCGACCTGTCGGCCAGTCCACCGGTCCGACGGTCGGACAGTGGGGCGGCAAAGTTTGCCCCGTGATTCCCTCCGTCTGGCTGGTGCGGCCGCGGGTGCGGCTCATGCCTGCTGTGTGCTGGTCTCCGCGACAGCGCCTCCAGAACGCCCGAACAATACAAAGGCTTGTGGAATGACGAACGACGCGGCAGAAAGCACTTTTCCAAAATGTGGCGGTCACGCCCGGCGCGGCCCGGCGCCACCGGGAAGAAGTACCGGCGGAAAGCCGAACGGCATCTCGACGCTCTCGACCGCCGCCGCGCTGTGCAGGCCATGCAGGCCAAGCAGGCCGTGGCCATCCACTCCGCCAGATGAGATTTCCGTTCCTTCTTCCTTCCCCACTGATGGTGCCGGAACCGAATTGCCACACTCTTATCGATTTCAGCGTCGCCTTGCCTCGCCTTTGTCCGCGCCACGCGCTGCCACGGCGACACAGTGCCGCGCTGCCGCCTCCGCCGAGTCCGCACCCAGCCATTGTTCGCCCTCGCCTCGGCGATGCCGCGGTGTCAGATTTGACACAGACGCCAAAGTACCCGGCCGGCACTTGAGGCGTCGCTGGGCACCGTCGCGTCGAACGGCCGAACGGTGAGCAGGGCTGCCACCAAATCACTTCACCACACGCCGGGCCCCCAATTCCAGCACTAGCCCCCCTCCCCTCCCTTCTCTAGCCCGCCCAAGTTTGAATTGATGATGGGGCAGTGGGCCTCTCACACACACACACACGCACGCACACGCAGGCAGGCCAGGGCAGCAGCACCACAGGAACCACGTTATTGAGCTGCACTCGCAACGCGCCCATCCAATCCGTCGTCTGAGGAGGCGGACGGGGAGGGCGGGCAGGCGGGCAGGCAGGGCTGGCAGGCCGGGCGCGTGTCAGCGCGTGTGTCGCGTCGTCGCGTCCGCGCGGCCGGAAGCAGGCCATGAGCCCTGGGCGCGTGCGCGTGCCGCGGCGTGCCGTGTGGGTGAGCCGCAGCATCCGGGTCCAAACTACTGAGGATGCAGGGCTTCTCGTTGTGATGTCGATGGCCATGTTGTGGCTCTGCTTGCGTGACGCATTCATCGCACCCTCCGCTCTCGTGCCTTCCCCACCCAGTCACCGCCAAGGTGGATGCACGCCACTTCCTGCTTCATGGATTCCAAGAATAACAATCCAAGCGTGAACCCGTCGAAAAAATTCCAACTTTGCATAGCTTGGTTCTTCAAACGATTTGTAGCCAGATCTGGCGCAGGGCCAGAGGCGACGAACTCGAGACAAGACCAACCGTGTATCCACTTTCGTCACGTTTGAAGCTCCCGCCCAGGCGCGTTGATGGGTCGAGCTGAGGATCGACCTCTCGACTCTCGACAAAAAAGTCGAAGACGATCGATACGATCTCTCGACCACATTGCATATGGCCGCCCTCACGCCGCACATGTGTCCAGTCACAACATTGCAGAAGAGTTTTCGTTGAACTTGCAAAAAGTTGAGCAATAATGGGGAAAGCTCGAAAAGACCGCAAAAGGGGGCCCCGGCACGATCCTGTTGGCCTGAACGGGAGTGAATGTGTCGAGGAAGAATTAAATGGTTCCAAAGCTTCCGTCAACAAGGGAGAAGCTCTGATTCAAACTGTCGTTGATCAGGTGAGTTTATGGATGTCTTTTCATTAACTGTCGCTCATGGCGTTGCCTATCATCATGTCGTTTAAACGGGGTGTTTTATTTGTCGTGCACCTTCTCTGTGACATTCGTCTGACATGAACACGGCGACGATGCTATAACCTCTCGTGTCGTGTGGCCCTGTGCCAAGCTGCTCGTACTGAGACGGATTTGTTCCCTACAGCTCCAGTCCTCCAATGTCGACGACAAGCTGTGCGGCTTGCACATGCTCTCTGAGGTGTTCGACGGCCGCACCCTCGAGGAGGTCGTGCGGAACCGCGTCGTCCGCATGGCCGCCCCGTTACTTGTTGATCCTAATTCAACGGTCCGAAACTCTACAGCTGGTGCCATCAGGTAAGTTTTCGTTTTGATCAGCCTGTGTCTGTGTTTTTTTGTGTTTTTTTTTTTCATTCCCTCCCCATTAATACATGGCCTTTCATTACAGAAACCTGACGACGAATGGTGGTCCAGACTTTTGTGACATTCTCATTGAGCAGGACGTAATGACACCTCTCTGTAGTCTGATTCAAAAGGTATGTTCACATAAATTTTAATTTGTGGTCTTAGCCAAAAGAATTTAACCTTATCTCATTTGTTTTATTTTTCGCAGTTTGGAAATGAGTGGCAGCCAAAAGTCGAGGGGACATCGAGTGGCGATGAAGAGGCAGACACATTCATCCAAGCTGTCAACATCTTGTGGAACTTATGGTTGTTATTAATGATCCTCATTGAAATTTGAGTTTAATTTGGAACCTTATCTGATGTTACTTTCCTTTCATCACAGTGAAAGTAGTGCCACAGCCTTAAAATACTTCAATCAAGCTCACTTACTGCCTCTACTTGTGAGATGCCTTGATATCAATACCTTTGGAACAGATGTCGCAATCACTGTTGGTAAGACATATGGAGACTGTACTTTCCAACTACTATGTTTTTAAAAAATGACCAATTCGATTTGTATTTTTTTCTTTTCTCTTTGTAGCTGAGTGCTTACAGACTGTGACAGAGGAAAACAAAGAAGCTATATCTGAAATGCAGGGTTTGAGTGAACAACTTCAACAGCTTCTCAGCTCTCCAAATGAAGAAATTAATATGATTCTTCTCAAAGTTTTAATAGCAGGCATGTTACTAAAGTTATTATCTCCCTCAGATAAGTAGTAAATGACTTTGGAAAAAACAGTTATCTAATGTGAATTATTAAAATTTTCAGGGGTTCTTATTAATATTCATTCAGACGGAATTGGTGCAATGGACCCAAGCCGTTTATCCCTGATTATGGCATCCCTGTCTACGGCACTAGCTTATGATCAACGAAGGATGTTAAATCAACTCACAAGTGAACTAGATCTCAATATTCAAAAGCTGAACCCTCGAAATAGGAGAAGGAAGCAAGAAGATGTGGAGGAAGAGGATGAGGAAATGGACAGTGAAAATGAAAAAGAGTCTGTAGAAGAATCAAAACCAACAAAGAAGCTAAAAACTCGAGGAAAAAGCACTCACACACAAGAAAGAACTGAGGGCATACTGCAGCAAGAAAAGGACTCTATTTCCAATGCAGCAAGGATATTACAAGCCCAACAAATTGCTCTTGAAATTCTTGCAAACCTGTGCTCTGGAGATGGTAAATTGGTTTTACTACTATTTATTTCATGAAAAAAGCCTAAAATACAGTTAACTTTCATATTATTATATTGTGTTTCTCTTGTCTAATTTGTGTAGATGAAGAAGGTGAGATGGATCTTGATGATTCTGATGTTGAGGAAATGAGTGACTCTAGCTTTGGGGAGGAAGGAGGCAGCAAAGAAGCTCTGCCTGCTTCAGTTCCATCAGATGTATGTATCAGATTTATTTTCTTAGTCCTTAAATGTAGTTTGAATTCAGTTTTGAATTCATGTACTATTCACTACATTACAGGTCCTGGAGGCTGTCGTGAGTCAACGTTTAATAACCAAAGTATGGGACAAGACCCAGCTACCAGCAGAGAATGTTTGTGATATTCTTTGTGAGGATCCAGACACCCAGATACTTTTCAACAGGTGTTAAAACATTTCATTTATATGTACTTGGCTGAAGAATCAAGCCTTGATAGTTCGGGAAGTTCATTTGTGTCTTTTTATTGTCTAAGGTTGGGACTCCTTCGCAGCAGAGCCTTTCTTTGCCTTCAAAATTTGCTGGCAGTCATGGATCTGGAAGAGTTGGGTGGTAGCAATGATTTGTATAATATGTGGCTTGAGACCACCAAGTTGGTGTTTGAGAAAACAAGTATGTATTTGTAATTCTTAAATTCATTGTTTTTCTAAATCTGTAAACATTGATGGTGCATAACATTGAGGCTCAATTTTTCAGAGGCTGACGATTTGCAGTTATTGGAAGCTGCAACATCTGTAATGAGGGCTGCTGTTCTGCGTCTTGCTGAAGCAAAAGCAACGCAGTTCTCCACCCTGACTGAAAATGATCTGAAGGTAGAACTGCTTATGTTACCTTTTAGTGGTTTTTAATTTTCAGATAATTTTATGGACAAAAATTTGTTTTTTCTATCAGATGCTTCTGCAGTGTGAAAGTCAATGTGAACATGCTAATGTTAGAGCAAACCTTATCCGGATTGTAAGTTCCATTGGACAAATGCTAACCCCTTCTCTCTCTCCGCATCTAACTGTAAGTTCCCTGCGACTGATGTTTTTTATAAATTAAGTCTATTGCAGTTTCTTATTGACTTTGTGCAATCCTCTCTTTGATAAAAATAGGTGATTGGCAAGTTTCTAATGGATGCAGCAGTTCGCGATGCAGAGCTTTGGGTTACTGCAGAGGCGTTGGATTGCATATTTGACGTTTTTGGAGAAGATGAAACTGATAAAGCAGCTTTTGATATTGATTTAGTTAACAGACTTCGGGGACTAGCTCCAGCTTTGAAGAATAAGGTATGATAAAGAAGCATTGTGTTTTCCAGTAGCTGCCTTGTTGATGCATCATATTTACTTCCCGTTTTCATTCACAGGTCCGCCTGCAAAAGAAGAATTTGGGAGACCATTACCATCTTGTTATGACAGCTAGCAATAACTTAAATCGGTTCATTAAGTATAAAAGTAATAGATTGGCCAGTTTCAAAGCTATTGGTCATAGCTAAACTTCTTCCGGACAAAAAAAGAAGGAACAAAGCAATGACATCAAATTTTGACAAGATTATCGCAATGGCACAACTTTTGTAAATACAGTATGTCCCGCCCATAACGTTGCGGTCGGCTTGCACGGTTAAACAACGTTATAAACGGGAAACGTTATAAACGGTAAAAGGATGAACGCGATTGTTGACTCGGGAATTCAGTTTTGCAACGTTATATGCGGGAAACGTTATACGCGGGTAACGTTATGAGCGGGACCTACTGTATTTTGAATTGTAGGCTGTATTTAATTTAAATATCCTATGGCCTCCTCAATGGAATAGCAGTTTTGCGTGACCTGTTAAAGTCATCAAAAAAGGATTAGCCTCTCTATCCTTGTTGAAATTAAATTATGAATTTGAAGTGTAACAGTCTATGTTACTGTCATCTTTTAAGAAGCCAATAATAGTATTCAGTAACTTAAATTAATGGGAATACTGTATGGAACCTTTACCCTGTTAAAGCATTAGCTCATGATCATTTGATCTGCTTTAACCACAGAGAGTATGTGGGGTTTGAAAATTTTCTGCTAACATAGATTACGTTGCTCAAGGGCATTGTCTTCTTTTAAGTGCAGTATTGATCATTACCTGATTTTGGGGACCTGTCTCAGATGGTACTGAAGTCAAGTTATGGAATTGTTTTGTTGTGTTTTTTTTTTTCCATGTTTTCAGTTGTAGTACTCCTACCTAATGAATGAAGTTGTCATATGTGAAATAGTAAACCAATATATATTTCAATCATTACCACTTTTGGTTATTATTACTTATTACTCACTCAACTGTCCCTTTTTAAAATTTTTGAAAAGTTCGGAGAGACTTTTATTGCACTAAGAACCTAAAATTTGTGATTTTATTGATTTATGAAAGGGTTTCAGAGGAAAAACAACAAGTTATAACCAATAGAATTTCAATTTGCACTCATAATCTTAAGGCTAAACACCCCACCATAGTTGATGAACAGAAGAAACCAAGAACACAAGAGCCTTCAAGTAAAGAAACATGGGGCCTTTTAATTGAAACTATGGATACAAGTTCACAGATCAGTCACACACATCTTGACTTCTCTACCATAGAAAGATACATGTCAATTTCAATTTTTTTAAAATGTTATGTCTAAAGCAGTCTGTCAAAAGGTAAAACATCAGAAATAAATTATGTGCAAAGCAAAGCCAGAAGTTGAAAAAAATGATGCACTGACATCTGCATCACTTAAGCACTTAAAAGGCAGATTCCTTTCGACATCCTTATTTACATCACTACAGCTGCTTTTGGATGGTATTGTAGCTATTTCTTGCATATACTCTCTAAAGTAATGACAGACTGAATGAAAAATGGATATGAGACAACACAAGGCAAAAGCAAATGGGGAAAAACCAAAAAAGAAAATCAACAAAAAATGATAACCTTTACATTTGAAATTTGAACACAATCTTCACACTTAACCATAAATACAAAATGACTGACATAAAAATGTACATGATACACAACACAACCTCACATAGCATCCACAATACTTCAGAACAATCACACAAAGACAATAATTTACACCAAATTTTCACCCTTATTTTGTAAATATATTAACACAGTCTCGAGTTAAGAGTGTTAGGATTTTGATAAAATCATCTCAGGTGAAGTTAAAAAATGTCCTTTGAGTTAATTTCATAAATGTTATCACGACTTTTCAAACAACCCTTCGGACTTCAAAGAATCGTTTCAGGTAGTACACTTGTCCTACCGTCATTACAATGAGTACCATTGCTTCAAAGAATGCCCACATAACTACTCGGCTGTTAGTGCTCTCATTGATAGACCTATGGATTCGGTCTCTGACTTGCATGTACTCCTGCTCATGCTTTACATTCGTTAAGGATGATGATAATTCCTTAATCATTTGCTCTAGTTGGTTTTTGTGACCTGAAAAGATGCATAGAGATACAATATTAGCTTGTACTACCAGCCTTTAAAGGCTTTCATATTTTTAGTATTAACATTATTTAAAAACATTCTAATGCGAAGGGATATCAGGCTCTTACCTTCATCAGTTGCAACATCTTCCTTGGGTGTATCGCCAATTTCCATATTGAACATAACAACTTTGGGCGTCATTGTTGACATCTGGTTACTAAAGCAATAGGTGTAAACTCCGGAGGTGTGGGCGGCAAAGGTGTACTTGCCACTGGTTTCTCGTTCACCCTGGTGGATAACTTTACCCTCCGGACCGACAATTTTAACATCTATATCAAGAAAACCTCCTTCTGCTATTTCAAACATTAGACCTGTAACAGAAGAGAGTACGAGAATCGTGAATTTAGAAAAACATAACGAGAAGTTCAGAGATGAAAGAGGGAGAATTTTGAAGAGTAAGAATAAATGATTGACATCAAAATTAATTTTACCGTGGTAAATCTGATTCACTGGCGAAAATACTTAGACGGTAATATACCGGCCTAACCTCCAGAATTTAACTTACCCATCTTGGTGCCTGTTTCTACTTTATCGAAGAAACATTCTTCTGCATGTGCGTCTACTGTGATGAAATAGGCATCCACATTGGTAAGATATGAAAATAAAGCGCATATCAAAGCTATAGACTTAAAATCCATCATGGTAACAAATCCAAAACACCACATCTACGACGGCCACGTCAGGTTAGAATCACCGCCTTGGTGAAATGTCAGAACAGCTTGGACGGCGGGAGAGGGGGAAGGCGGGGAAGGCCAAGGGGGAGGGGGTGACAGAGGGAGATTCAAACGTGCTCGCGGTCGCGGGCGGAGTCGGCATTCCAGCATCGCGAAGAGCCTTTGTCAGCTGCAACTGCAGTCTCGCAGAGTGGGCGTTTTCACCGATTGTAGAGGAGACTCTCTTGGAAAGACAACAAGTTTCCGGAAAGCTAATCACGCATCTCATGTTGTTCTTGATATTATTTTTCCAGCCGTGTTTATGAATTTGTGTAGGTAGGCTCTGAGAGCTTCTCACTCGCTCATAACCCCGAGGCTGTAGGACTCTCATAACCCCCGGCTGGGGTGCAGCTAGAATGGTTGCAGTGGGTTGAAGCAGCCAAGGGGCTGGGAATCGACAACGAAGGGGCCTAACGCCCACCAGGACGCGCTCTGCGTAGCTCTGCGCAGCTCTGCGTAGCTCTGCGTAGCTCTGCGTAGCTCTGCGCTCTGCATCGGTGGGGCCGTGGAGGGGGCCGCGGCCGAGGGACCCAGGTGGCCGTGGCGTCGCGGTGCGTCCTGCCTGCCTCCGCTCCGCGCCGTACTCCGCGCGCCGCTCAGTGCCCACACGCTCCATGCATAGTGACGGAGACTCGAGTCGACTCCCTGCACATCCTGGACGTCCTGCACACCGGCACCGTGCCTGACTGCTCGACGAGGGCCGAGGAGGGCGAGGGCCCACGGCAGGGACATCCCCGACAAATGGTTAGTGCTACGACACTGTTTGCTGGCCGTTGGTCGTTGTGTTTTGCGCCCAGCGCAGCTATCGCGGCGTCTCTTTAGCAGCGCGTTACGTAAGTGCCGCGGCCCGCAGGCACACCGTAGGCCAGCCGTAGGCCTCCAGCGGCCGTGTAAGTTTCGACTATTTTCTTATCGTAACGAAGCCGTAGTTTGATCGGGCCACGGGGATGGTGTGGGCATTGCTCCGGTTGTTTCTCGCTGCGTCGACAAGGGCTTGAGTGTGCGCTGGAGGGCGGCGGACAGCCAGCAGACAGTCGGTGCTCCCCTTGCAGTGCCGAAACGGACAACGCCGCTCGCAGTACTCCTCGTCCAGATATCTCCCTGCACCGATGGCACCTATCGCTATCGCATTCTAGGCAGCGACACAGTCAGACAAAGTGACTCTGCGTCTCTGACATTTCTCAGATGTCGCAAAACAATTTGGATCGATAAACATAATCAAGGCGTTATGTAATTGAGGAATGTCCAGTTTGGCTTGCCTATAGCTGCGTCATGGTGGGGTGATAAAAAAAAGAGACAAAAAGGAGGGGGAAGGGGGCATGGAGGGAAGCGGCTCAGTTTACCTGTATCGGCGTCGAAAAGGTTGCCTATCTCAGCTAGTGTTTGCCCCACTGCTAATCGCCGAAGGGGCGACGGCCGCTGTCGGATAGGCAAACCTTTCGCCCCGTTGCCTACACTGTGACGAACGCCGACGAGTGTCACCCGACGCCGCTGTCACGTCGACGCGGAAGCATTCCCATTTCGGACCGAGGCTTGCTCTTATGTGATCGCGGCGGTCCTGAAGGTCGTCTTAATTCCTTGCGTAATCAATCCACAGTCCGCAGGCTGAGCGGAATCCTAGTTCACTCCAGCGCCAAGAGCGCGCCGCGCGTCCCAGTCAGCAATGCAGGCACCTGCCACGCGATCCACCCAGTCACCGCAGTCACCCAGCGCCATTCAGAGGAAACGAATGATAGAATGCGCGCATAAACGCTGGAACTGGTTGGTGGAGTTGGTATTTGTTTTGTACGGTGCTCTCGATCGCGTGCGGCGAGCGTTGCCATGAGGGCCGGATCAGCCCCCTCCCCCCCGCCCCCTCTGGCCCGACAGGAGGAGGTCCTTCCCCTCCCGCGGACCGAGGATGGAGCCGTGGAGCCCTTGGACTTGGAAAATTCCCCCCGAGCCGGTCCGGTCCGGCCCGGGTGGAGTGGCCAGTGGGGGCGCCGTCGCAGGCGTCGCAGTGCCGCAGGACACACCTGAGCGATTCGCGCGTACTCTGTCAGGCCGAGGGCGCCGTTTCGGCACCGGCTGGTGAACAGTCTGTCTCACTCGCACTCATGGCGCGTTCGGAGGAGTGCGGGGGAGACGCAGCGGCGAGGCACTTTTCGGAATCGGACTACAGGCCCGGACGTCACACTTGAGACAAATCCGATAAAGCCCCTGTGAGGTGCGAGGGTGCCGCAGGGGCAGCAGGGGCAGCAGGGGCCGCGCTTAAACTCCAGTTTGGCCCTGCATGCCTCGATGCGGCCTGCCGTCCAGCACTGGTTGCTATGGCCGGACTTACGTAAGGCAGGACCTCCGCGCCGCCCCGCGCCGCGCCGCCCCGCGCTCAGCACGTCGCTTCTCGGCCGGGCATCAACTGTCAGAGGGGCGGTGGAGCAGGGCGGGGCGGGGCGGGGCGGGGCGGGGTGCGGGGCAAGGGCCCAGAGACTTGAACGCGAGCAGCACGCAGAGCGCCGCGCTAGCCAAGGCGCTAGTCGAGCTCAAAGACCGACTGCGCCCCGGCCGCGGTACGCGCGCCGTGAGTTAGTGTTTGTTTGTTTGTTTCCCTCCCGTCCGGATAGAACCGCATGGCCGCCATTGGGCCACGGCCCCCTCCAGTGGATTGGCTCGATCAGTGAGGCAGTGAGACCGGATTGGAGGGGAGGGGTGGGGGGAGGAGGTCCAGCCGGTCCCCGCGTAGGTCATCCCATCCCACTGCCACAAGTCAGTTCCGATTGCGGTTCCACTTGGTCAGCTGATACCCTCACAAAATCAATAATGCGAGATTTGCAAACAAGGTTTTGATGTATGCCTTCCAGAGGTAGCCGGAGCACGATGGCTACGGAGAGGACACCACTGCGCACGGGCGGCCCCGCGGCCGGCCCCGGCGCCTACGACCAGGCCCCGACCTATGTCTTCATGAGCAGTCCGGGCCGCGCGCACCGCAACAAGATACGCCAGTTCCAGTGCTGCGTCTGCGCCGCCATCCTGTGAGTACGCCGCGCCGGCCGACGGCCGGGTGAAACTACACTGGAAAGCGCCCTCCTGACGATCGCCTTGTGCAGGGGTGTGTTCGTGATGGCGCTGGTCATCACCATCTCGTACTCGGTGGAGCACGACGACGCGGACGAAGTCAACGCCACCACCACGATGCCGCCCATCCCGGTCAACGACACGCTGCAGCTGCTGCTGCGGAGCTCGTGGCCCAGGCCAGGTGAGGTTCAGCTGACGCCTGTCGCTGCGGAGGTAGGCCGCCCAGCGTGACAGTGCTGCATCGCAGCGAGTGGGTTGCCTACCTCCACGGCGCCTTCCTCACGTCCACCTGTCCACAGACGCTGCCTCGCCGGCCTGGCCTGAACCAGCGCCCGACGACGCGGCGATGCAGCGCGCCGTGCAGGCGGGCCGCGCGGAGCTGGCCACCCGCACCGCGCTCGAGGCCAAGATGACCCCCATGAAGAAGGACACGCCGGCGTACCGCGCCAACCAGGCGGTGCACACTCGCCGCGAGGCCACCGCGCTGGCGCAGCGCGCCTTGCTGGAGGAGAAGGCCACCAAGCAGCTCCTCAAGGCGTGAGTTCTCTACTCCGTGAACCTCCTGGTGGCTGCCCACCGTCTCGGGTGGCGGGTGGCTAAACTAGCGTGCCGGTGGAATCGACGGCGAAATTTAACCCGATTCCTTGGCCGGCCCCGCCGGTCCCCGCTGCCCTCGATGTGCGTGGCGGGCGGCGCGGCGGGCGGGGTGAAGCCCTTGGCGTGCGGCCGCGTGCCGCAGGGTGGCTCCCCTCCGCCCTTCCGCCCTTCGCCACGTGGGACGCGTTACACCGCCACAATCTTGTTCCACTTTCCCCCAGGTCCGGCCGGAAGCTCTCGCAGCAGTCCGGGGCGGGTCGCGGCCCTCGGCTGCGCCTCGCGGCGGCCGACAGCGCGGAGGCGGCGGCGTGCGCGGAGGAAGACAAGCCCCTGCCGTGCCCGGCCTCGGCGTACCGCAGCGCGGACGGCTCGTGCAACAACGTGCAGCACCCGCGCTCCTGGGGCGTGGCCATGCGCCCCTTCCGGCGCGTCATGCCGCCCGCCTACGTGGACGGCGTGTCCGAGCCGCGCGGCCTGGCGCAGGGGCTGCCGTCCGCCAGGGAGGTCTCCCTCGGGGTGCACCGCCCGCTGTACCGCAACGACCCCGACTTCACCGTCATGCTGGCCGTGTGGGGACAGTTCATCGACCACGACATCACCAACACCGCCCTGTCGCAGGCCGCCGACGGCACCGCCATCTCCTGCTGCGACCAGGCGGCCGCCGACGAGCACCCCGAGTGCTTCCCGGTGCGCCTGGCGCCCGGAGACCCGTACTACCACAAGTACAACGTGACTTGCATGGAGTTCGTGCGCTCTGCCCCCGCGCCCACCTGCTCCCTGGGCCAGCGCGAGCAACTCAACCAGGTCCGTGCGGCACTTTGCCTTTTTTTGCAATTTCCGTTGCGGCGAGTTGCAGTTGGATGAACCGCGAATTGCTGTTGCAGGCGTCGTCCTTCCTGGACGCGTCGGTGGTGTACGGGCCGACCCCCGAGCTGATGCGCTCCTTGAGGGAGGAGCCGTCCACGGAGGCCGCTGCTGAGGACGGCGACGACAAAGGCAAACGAGCCGTCCTGGGGCGCCTCAAGATGACCATGAGTCCGGACGGCAGGGAGCTGCTCCCCGTCAGCGAGGACCCCGACGACGGCTGCAACCGGCAGGAGATGAACGACCGAGGCCGCTACTGCTTCAAGTCCGGTGCGAACAAAATCCTGTCGAGCGCAACCCCGATCGGCGAGGTCCGGGACTGAGTGTTGACGACCGCCTTGTTGTTCCAGGCGACGGCCGCGCCAACGAGAACCTGCACTTGACGACGATGCACCTGCTACTGGCGCGGCAGCACAACCGCGTGGCCAGCATGCTGCAGAACTTGAACCCGCAGTGGAACGACGAGCGCGTCTTCCAGGAGTCGCGGCGCATCGTGGCGGCCCAGATGCAGCACGTCACCTACAACGAGTTCCTGCCCGTCATCCTCGGTGGGGATGAAAGACGACAGCGGATTTAATTTTCTCACAGTGTTGGCGCATACTAACTTGGCCGCTCTGCCTCTCCAGGCCCCCGCATGATGGAGAAGATGGACCTGCAGCCCAAGGCGGCGGGCTACGACTCGTCCTACGACCCCGAGGTGGACCCCACCATCTGCAACTCGTTCGCCGCCTCCTCGTTCCGGTTCGCGCACACGCTGCTGCCCGGCCTGCTGAAGCTCATCGGCAACGACACCTCCAGCACGGAGTACATGGAGCTGCACCAGATGCTGTTCGACCCCTACAGCTTGTACTCGCGTGAGGGCGCCGACCGCGCGCTGCGGGGCGCCATGGACACGAGCGTGGAGCGCGCGGACAACTACTTCAACCCGGAGGTGAGTTTCGGAAGGGAGTGGGTGGCTACATTGCAGTGTTCGAACCCACGGCTGACGTGCGCTTTGACCGCATCTCCTCAGCTGACGCAGAAGCTCTTCGCGCCGCGGTCCATCGGGAGGGGTTCTTCAGGGCAGCCAGCCTGCGGCCTGGACTTGGTGTCCTTGAACGTGCAGCGCGGCCGCGACCACGGCCTGCAGCCCTACCCGGCCTGGCGCGAGCACTGCGGCTTCCCGAAGCCCACGTCCTGGGACGACCTCGACGGCGTGGTGGACGAGGACTCGCTCAAGCGCATGAAGGAGATCTACAAGTAAGCGATGATGCTGCACGACATCGACAGTCGGTCTGCGGATCGATCTCTGCCATTTCCTGCTCGCAGGTCTGTGGACGACGTGGACGTGTACACGGGCGTGCTGTCTGAGTACCCCGTCGAGGACGGCCTCCTGGGAGGCACTCTCACCTGCCTCCTGGGCGACCAGTTCGTCCGCCTCAAGAGGGGCGACCGATTCTGGTACGAGACGGACCAGCAGCCGCAAGCTTTTACCCCAGGTGAGTCACGACAGGCGGTGCCCCTCGCCTTGCTAGACAAGAGAAAGCTGTTGGTTACTCCCGACTTCCTCGCCTTTGTCAGCACAACTGGCGGAAATCCGCAAAACGTCTCTGGCCGGTGTCATCTGCGGCACGTCCGACGGGGTGCACTCGGCGCAGCCCCTGGTCATGCGGCGCGTCCGGGCCGACTCCAACAAGCGCGTGCCCTGCGCCCAGCTGCCGCGCACCAACCTGCGCGCCTGGGTGGAGCGCGACGGCCGCTACGTGTACCGCCGCGCCGACGCCCTGCAGGCCACGGGCCACGCGCCCAAGGACCAGGACAACGTGCCCGACGAGCTGGTGCTGGTGGGGGCCAGCCCCGACAACGCCGGCCTCACCGCCACCACGGGTAAGGTCTCCCGGCGATGGAGGTTTCTAACCTTTTTTAAAAAATATCTCGTACGGTGCTATCCGATTTTTGCTCCTGGCACAGTGATGTTTTGAGTCGATCACTGACTGTGTAAATACTACGATTTTTTTGAAGGAAGTGTTTTCAGTAGAGTTAGGACTTGAGTTGGACAGGCATAAGGATATTTTGTCAATTTGAGGTATTTTTTGTTTCTTTTTGAAAAAGAAGGAATGATAACGATGATTGGTGTGCGTTCGGCAGAGTCTGGCGCAGAAACACTGCCCGCGGCGTAACTACGTATCAGGTATAGTGACACCGGAGGGTGTGCCGTAGACTAGAACGGTGTGGTGTACCCTGTAGTATAGAAATCGCACAACCCAAGGGAACAGTTTTGTTGGTGGATCAAGGAACCTCTTCTAGTCAGATTTTTTTTTATGTTTCTGTTTTGTGTCCGTCTTGCTTTACCACCTCAGCAGCACAGTCTCCCTGACCGGAACCACTGCCAAAGAGCCCCACCCTCTGCATGTGCTGTAAAATGGCAATTCCAGGCAGTGTCCATAGCGAAAGGCCGTCTAAACGTGGATCTTCCGCCGCTAACCCCCCTTGCCCTCCCAACCAGGATCGACGCCCCAGTTCCAGTCCCAGCCCCGCGATCTCACTCTAGTCCTTGCTCACTGCGTCCTTCTCGTGCTCTGCCTGCAGCGCGCGCGGTGCGCGTCGGCGGCCGCGTCACCTCCGGCTCCGTCGTCACGGCCTCGGGGACGTCCCTGTGGTCGGGCTCCCTGCCGACCGCCATCCCGGTGCCCGCCCTGGGCGCCAATGCCTTCCTGGCTGGCGGCGTGCAGTGGCAGGGCTCGCTCGTGTCCACGGGCGACACTGCCTCTCTCCGCGGCTCCTTCTCCGTGGACTCGTACTCGGCGCAGCCCGGCGGCCCGCCCCAGGAGGCCGAGAGCATCGCTGGGACGTTCTCCGTGCAGATGGACGTGCTGTGGGACTCGTCCAGCGACGGCGTCATCGACCTCTCCGGCTCCTTCCAGAGCCCCATCTTCCTGCGCGCGGAGGACGGCCGCGGCGACGCGCCGCTGGTCAACGCCAAGGGTGGCTCCGGCCCGATGGCACCCGTCATCCTGCACGGCAGCCACGCCGCCGACGGCAGATTCCTGTGGAACGGCAACGTGACCCTGGTGCTGCCCACCATGGCAGAAGAGGAGCCCGTCGACGACGCGCCGCCGCCACTGATGACGGCGTCGGCCTACAGCGTCGGGGCGCCGTCCAAGAACGCCCGCCTCGTCGTGGAGGTGCAGTCCGGCACCGTGACGGCACAACCCGCCGACGGGGGCGCAGAGGTGACCTGGTGGGACGGCGATCTCCCCGCCAGCATCCCCACGTCCTTGTTTGATGCGAAGGACTCCGCGGCATCGGGGGCCACCACAGACCCCGCAGACCTTGCCAAGCCCGCCGCACGGGTTGACGGCGTGCTCTGGACCGCCAAGGTGGCCGCGTCCTCAGCCACAACCGCGCAGGTGTCCGGCACCTTCAAGGCGCCGCGCTTCGTCCACGGCATCTACTCCGGCGCGGGCGTGAAGGTGCAGTGGTGGTCGGGTAGCTTCGCGCTCAACGTGCGCCTGCTGGTGCAGCCCGACGATGGCCTCGGCCTGGACTCGCTGCTCGTCTCTGGCCAGCACTTCACGTCTCGGCTGGTGTTCGAGGCGGACACGCCCTCCGCCCTGGACCCCTCGCCAGAACCCCGCGGCCCCCTCGCCCTGTTGGCCGCCGCGCAGGAGGTGGTCGACGGCGCGGCCCCCGCCCCCATCATCCTGAAGGGCGCCTTCTCCGCGGACCGCGCCTCCTTCTCCTGGTCTGGCAAAGCCATCCTCGTGCTGCCGCGCCCCGCCGCCATGCCCTCCGTGCAGCTGCTGGGGACCCCGAAGAAGACGGCGGTCTTCGCCGCGCCGCTGCGCGCGCCATCCGCAGGGGAGGTGAAGCTGGCCGCCACCGTCAAGTCGGGCAAGGTGACCGCGGCGCGCGACGGCGCGTCCAGCGAGAGCACTCTTTGGTCCGGGGCCTTCCCGGCCGCAATCCCTCTGCCCTTGTTCGACGCCGGCGCCGACGGCACCGCGACGACCCCCTCGGCGGGCGTCGACGGCGAAGCCCCTCTCTACGCTCACGGTGTCGTGTGGCAGGGCACACTCTCCCCGTCGGGGGCGACGTTCAGTCTTAAGGGCACCTTTAAGGCACCAAGGTACCTGCACGCTCCAGACAACACGACCTTCGCGATGGAGTGGTGGAAGGGAAGCTTCTCGTTCGAGCTCGAGCCGCAGTGGATGTCAGTGGCCTCTCTGGACGGCGTAGTCAGTTCGACGGCCACCTACTCATCCCCGGTGTACTTCAAAGCCTTGCGCGAGGCTTCAGTCTCTGGCACTGCTTCTGCCTCTGGAACGCAGCGCGCCCCGCTAGCCGCCTTCGTTGCTGCCAGCCTTGAGGAGAGCGAGGGTGCACTCCGCGCCCCTGTCATACTGCAAGGCACCTACTCCGCGGACAGGACCACCTTCTACTGGACGGGAGCCGTGGTCCTTGCCCTGCCGCGACCGGACGGCGGGCTCGTCGCGGAACAGCCGCTGCTGCAAGCGAAGCCTGGCAAGCCCGGCAAGCCCAGCAAGGCCGTCAAGAAGGACGACGCAAAGCCGTCCAAACCGTCCAAGCCGGTGAAACCCCCGTCGCTTCGCTTGGCCTCCATGGTGCTCGGTGGTTCCGTCAACGGCACTTACGACAACTCCACCACCGTCTCTGAGCTGTGGACTGGCACTGTCCCCATGTGGCTCCCCAGCCCGCTGTTCGGGGTGGCATCCTGGGACCTGGACCAGACCGTCAAGTGGTCGGGCACGCTGACGACACTGGACAAGACTGGGAAACTGCTGCAGCTGGATGGTACCTTCGAAGCTCCCTACTTCGAGCAGGGCACCGACGGCATGGTGGAGCACAAGTGGAAGGGCGAGTTCTCGTTGCAACTCCGAAACCTGTACACCTCCGTCACCCAGCCGCAGCTCCTGAAGCCCAACAAGGTCATGAAGTCGCGCATCGTGTTCGCCATGGCGAAATCGGCGTCCGGCGACTCAGCGATGCCTCAGCTTACGCTCCAGTCCGAGACGGGCGAGAACCAGGCCGTCATCGTGCTGCAGGGACAGTACTGGTTCTGGTCCAAGAGCTGGTTCTGGTGGAACGGCATGGCGTCCGTCAGCCTGCCCGTGGACAATGACGTCACGGAGGACCCGAACCAGTACGTCAAGCCCGAGTACAACAAGCTCAAGGCGGCGCCAGGCGCCTCTGGCACCAACCTGGCTGCCCCCAAGTCCATGGCCGTCACCGTGGCCGCCAAGCCCCCGCCGGCGGTCCGCCGTATCGGCATCCGTGTTACGTCGGGCAACATGTACGCGTACCCGGAGGGGGCGTGGTTCTGGCGCACCTGGTGGACGGGCTCGCTGCCCGCCTCCATCCCCGTGCCGGTCTTCGACTCCTACAAGTCCGAGTACGCGCCCTACCCCACGGGGCCGCTGTTCCACGCGTGCGGCGTGGACTGGACGGGCAAGATCACGGCCACGTCGCCCACCACGGTCAAGATCGAGGGCAAGTTCAGCATGCCGAACTACCAGCACGGCCCGGGCGGCGTTGTCATCACGTGGTACTACGGCACGTTCCTGTTCGAGGGGAACCTGCTCTGGAGCACGAACCTCAACGGCCTGGACGCGCTGGACGGCACCTCCTTCTCCTCGCACCTGTACTTCAAGTCGGAGAAGGTGGTGCCCATGTCCAAGTACCCCGTGCAGAGCTCGGCCTCCTCGCTGCAGCAGTTCGTGGCGGACAGCGCGGCCATCGCGTCCGGCGCCGTGCGCGTCCCCGTGGTGCTGGACGGCAGCTACTCCGCGGACAGGAAGACGTTCCTGTGGTCGGGCGACGCGGTCCTCACAGTGCCCGACCCACAGCCGCCTCTTCTGCAGGCCAAGGCCGGCAAGGCCATCAAGAAGGACGACGGCGCGCCGACCAAGCCGTCCAAGCCGGTGAAGCCCCCGAAGCTACGCATCGCCGCCATGGTGCTTGGCGGCTCCGTCAACGCCACTTACGACAACTCAACCGCCACCGAGCTGTGGTCCGGTGCGGTCCCCATGTGGTTACCTAACCCACTGTTCGGGATCTCGTCCTTCGACCTCGATCAGACTATCAAGTGGTCGGGCTCGCTCACAGTGCTGGACAAGACCGGCAAGATGCTGCAGCTGGACGGTAAATTCGAGGCACCGTACTTCGAGCAGGGTGTGGATGGCATTGTCGAACACAAGTGGAAAGGCACGTTCTCACTGCAGCTCCGAAACCTGTACACTTCGGTCACCGAGCCGCAGCTCTTGAAGCCCAACACCGTCATGAAGTCACGCGTTGTGTTTGCCATGCCGAAGGCGGCGCCTGGTGAACCCGCCACGCCGCAGCTCATGGTGCAGTCCGAGACGGGCGACAACCTGGCCGTCATCGTGCTGCAAGGACAGTACTGGTTCTGGTCCAAGAGCTGGTACTGGTGGAACGGTGTCGCTTCCGTCGCCCTGCCTCTGGACGACGACGTCACGGAGGACTCGAACCAGTACGTCAAGCCCGAGTACAACAAGCTGCAGGCGGCGCCAGGCGCCTCGGGCAAAAAGGCCGCCCCGGCCTCCAAACTGGCCGTGGCCGTCGTGGAGGGCTTGATCACCGCGGGCAAGGAAGACGACCCCTCGACGACCGCGACCTGGTGGTCCGGCGAGCTGCCCGCCACCATCCCGGCGATGCCCTTCGACGGCGACGCCTCGGACGCCTCCTCGCCGTTCAACCGGTCCGCGGTGACGCCCGGCGGCGTGGCTCGCGGCGTGTCCTGGACCGGCGCGCTGCGCCCACTGCCCGGCGAGGACGACGCCATGCTCGAGGGCAGCTTCCGCTTCCCCAGGTTCCTGCATCCGTCCGCCGCCGGCAGCAGCTTCGCGCTGGAGTGGTGGACGGGGCAGTTCTCGCTGCGCCTGCGCGCGCTGGCCGGGACTTCCCTGTCTGGCGTGCTCGCCAAGACGGCCACCTACTCGTCCCCGCTCGTCTTCAAGGCCATGTCCCCCGATGACAGCATCACGTCGCTGCTGCAGCAGCCCGCCGTGGACGTTGGCGTCAGCTTCGTGATGGCGAGCGACGCCAAGGCCGCGGGCGCCGCCAAGCTGCCCATCCTGCTGCAGGGCAGCTACTCTCCGGACGGCGGCTCCTTCCTGTGGACGGGCAACGCCATCCTGCAGGTGCCTGCGTCTGCCGCCAAGCAGATGCGCCCTCTCAAGCTAACGGCCTCCGCTACTAAGGTGACCGCCTCGAAGTCGTCCTCCGCGGTGTCGAAGATCGGCGCCGTGGTCACTTCCGGGACGGTGTCCGTCGGCAAGGCGGGAGAGGCCGCCGCCACCGTGTGGTCCGGGACCTTCCCCGCCAGCCTGCCCGCCGGGGCTGCGGGCCCCGCCAGCGTTCTGTGGTCAGGGTCGCTTCAGCAGCAGAGCGACGCGCTTACCGCCGCCACCTTGACGGGCACCTTCTCCACCGCGCTGCCCGAGGACAGCGGTAACGGCACGATGGCGTGGTGGAGCGGCGACTTCAGCCTGCAGCTCCAGCTGCTCTGGAACGTGTCTCTGGCGGGCTGCATCAGGCCGGGCGTCAAGTACGTCACGCCGCTGTACTACCGAGGCGCGGCCCAACAGTTGCAGCAGGGCCAGCAGGTCGCCGCGCTCAGCCAGGAGCTGGCCTCCGCCGGCGAGAAGGTCCTCGCGTTCCTGGACGGGTCGTACAACGCGGACAAGACGGCATTCATGTGGTCGGGCAAGGTGTTCCTGACGTTGCCCAAGTCCTGCGGCAAGCCAGGACTCGCCCCGCTCAACTTGAAGGCATCAGGCGACTCGACCGCTGCCGCCGCTGCCGCTGCGGGCCGCCGCATCACCCTTGGCGGCGTCGTGACGTCCGGCTGGGTGACGCCCAGCTTGTGGGGCGGCGCGCTCCCCGCGGCCATCCCGGTCGCCGCCATCCGCAGCGTCCGCCCGCTCACTTGGAGCGGCACGCTCTCGCGGGGTGCGGCCGGCACCGTCACCATCAAGGGGTCCTTCTCGGCGCCGCAGTACCACCACGACGCCGGCACCTTCTCCGTCGACTGGGTCACCGGCGACTTCTCCTTCTCGGCGCGCCTGCTGTGGGACTCTGGTGCCGCGCTGGACGCCGCCCTCACCGCCTCCGCCAACTACACCAGCCCCATCTACCTGCAGAACTCGGATTCGCTCCGCGCGCTGGAGGACGTCCAGGACCGCGTGCCCGCCGTGTGGGACCGCATGGTGGACAAGGTGACCGGGCCCGTGGCCCCGGCCGCCAACAAGGTGCCCGTCGTGCTGCAGGGAGAGTTCGCCGCCGACGGCGCCACCTTCTGGTGGTCCGGCGGCGTCCTCATCTCGCTGCCCGCCGCGGCGTAGCATGCCGAACACGGGTGCACGTTGGGTTGCCTAATCCTCCCGTGGCAGGCGGTCCGCGCCGCCGGCAGAACTTTGTCCGTAGTTTGAACATCTCTCCAATGTCTCAGCTGAAGGAGAAACTTGCTCTCCTCCATCACCTTGCCTTTAGCTAGTGTCATAGGACGAATTGTGTTGCTAAGGCACTGCAAGAAAAGTTTGTTCAAGAAATAGGAGTAGAAGTGAATTATGTGATATTAAGAATGGCCTTTATACTCTTGCAGTGCGTCTGCAATCGAGATATCGTTCATTCTACTTACAATTCTGTGCCATAATGTGGTAGTCATTCAAGTTGGAGACTTGTTCTCTGGTTTTATCTAACGGGAGCTTCACTGACGTGTGATTAACGTAGTTTTCCCATTAGTTTAGATGCCTAACTATCACTATGGAAGTTAGTTTAACTCAGATAATGTAAAGCAATCCTAACATAAATTATTTTCTATGCCAAGTGATATAAATGTAGCACCCATTGCGTATTGTGTTCATATTTGCAACTTAATACTCTTAAAAGATGGAATGTAATTTATTTGTTGTCACAATAATTTTGATGGATGGTATACGACGTTTTGTATTCAGGATAATATTGGTAAGGAAATATTGGCCGTCTGTACTGTAAAACTGTACGTTGATATGATAATAAAATAGGAAGATGTGTCAATGTTTGGTGTTTCAGATTAACTATCAACTTCACACACAACATTTCAGTTCTTTGATTAAAAGGGGAAATTGAATGCAAAATAAAAATCACTGGTCTACAAAAAAGCGATAAATGCGGGTGTACACCCCGATTTATTAGCAAAGTCCCAGATTGTTATAAAAAATACAGTTAAAAAAAGTACAAAAAAGTAGAAAAAAAAACAGTAAACAGTAGATAAATGTATTCCTTTTTGTAGTATAAAATCAGTTGCGAACTTTACTTCACATCGCGGGCAGCTCGACGTAGTCCCTGTCGGACCACGCGTCGTCCGGAGGCGGGGTCGCCGCCCCCGGGGGCAGCTGGTCCAGCAAGGGGCGCCCGTCCGCCCCCAGCCCCAGGTAGCTCAGCAGCAGAGGGGGGTGCGGGAAGGCGTCGGGGTGGGGCAGCGCGTTCTGCGGCACGGGCACGTCGTCGGTCTGCCACAACCAGTGCGTCAGCTTGCTGATCTGGAAGCCCTGGAGGAGTGAAAGGAGTCAGTCAGTAAGGTCCGGTCCGAACGCCGTGTTGCCGAAAACCACTCCCCGCAGTCACCTCGGGGAGGCAGTGCCGCTGCTGGCAGTAGTAGGAGCCCGAGGAGTCGCCGTGGCACCAGGTGCCGTCCGGGAAGTAGGCGTCCACGCCCATGTCGTTGAGGTCCAGGCGCGGCGTGTAGTACGACCCGGTGTCGCGGCGCCGGCAGAAGATGGCGCACGCCATCCAGAGGCGACCTGCGTCCCAGTGCCAAGGTTGCCAAGGTTCAAGGCTGGCCATCTGATTAGACACGGGCAAGGAGCCGCGAACCCTTACCCTGCTCGTGGGGGGCCTGCAGGCCGGCGCCCGCGGCGTCCAGGTCCGGCAGCAGGGTGGCGAAGTGGCGGCACTTGGCGCTGGCGTACTCCACGACCTTCTGCCGCCTCGTCTTGGAGCACACCTGCAAGCGCACGCTGAAGATAGAGAGCCCGGCCGACACGGACAGTGCCTCAAGCTGACAGCAAAGCAGTGCTCACGTTGTCGTCCTTGCAGAGCACCACGTCGACGCTGGGGCCCTCGCAGCCCTCGTCCGTGTTGACGGGCCTGGGGTTGGTGCAGGAGCGCCGCCGCTTCTGGAACCCTGTTAGGGAAACAGAGAGAGCAAACAAATGAGCATCCGGTCCGGGTTCGAATACTCGTCACCTCCTTTTCCTTTCGTCGTCCTTGCCTCTGGCCTTGGCGATGCAGCCCGACTGGCAGGGCTCGGAGCGCCACGGACTCCAGCCGCCCTTCACCACCTTGACGGGCTTCTTACGCTTCATGGCGACGCACTGCCCTCCCTGGCACCACTGTCAAACAGACCTCGTTACTGCTCGGGGCAGACCTCGCGAGTTCAAGTACACTGCGAAAACAAGGGGGAGGCGTTACTTTGGCGGTGCCGCAGCTCGTCCCCGTCAAGGCCGGCCCCGCGAAGTAGAAGCCGGACCGGTGCGGCGTCCGGCACTGCAAGTTGTCGCAGATTTCCTGAAAAAAAAAACCTAAGCCTCTGACCAAGCTAGACACAGAGACTCGCAACATTTTGCGAGTAATTGCTCAAGCTTTGTTACACTTGACCTAAAAAAAAAACAGAAACAAAACGAGTTCCGCAAGACGAGTCGAGTCCAGGACAGTTCGGGAAAAAAAGTTCAGGAAAGTCCAGAACGTCGCAGCAGATGATACCATTCTGTTCCGTAAAGCGTGGCTCGCATGATCTATTTGCATTTGAATTTTTTCTCAAGGTTGGATGCAGGACAAAAGTACAATAAATTAAAAAGATTTTTTTTTTCACCGTCCGGGCGCTCGGGTTCTCTCGGGCCAGCTGCAGCGAGAGGATCGTATCGCTTCGTGTCTGCTTCGGTAGCGTCAGTACGTGTTGGATGTTATGGCGCCTCACATCCTGAGAGTACTAGCATGCTACGTGTTTCTGTTTCATTTTAGGTCTTTAATGCATCATCTGCTACAAAGCCTTACCGCCAGCCTGCTCGGGTACCGCAGCTCGGCGTCGTGGTCGCGCAGCAGCATCTCGCACTGCTTCTTGGCGCTCCACGCCTGCCCGGGCTCGTCCTTGAACATGGCCATGTGGTCCATGCCCTTGGCGGGCCGCGGCCGGTCCAGCAGGCAGTCGGCCTCCGTCTGCTGCAGCACCTCGCTGGAGCACGTGGACCACACCGCCTCGCCCTGCGTGCCGCGTGACGGCGACATGATGTAGCCGTCCTTGGGGCAGCTGTTGCTCGTGCTGTCGTGGTGCATGCCCAGGCTGCGGCCGACACACGTCGTCACTGCACTGTCGGGGAGGGTGAAGGCAGGGTGGGTGGTGCGGGACCTACTTGTGGCCGATCTCGTGCGCCAGGATGTACACGGACGTGAAGCCGGCGGACGGGTAGGGCTTGCCGAACACGTTGACGGTGCCCAGCTCCGCGATGACGCACGCGTACCGGTCCAGGCATACTCCGCCCACCGTGGCCAGCCCTGCAACAGTGGACATTGCCAGCGCGGTTTGCTCGGCTTCGGGATTTGAGTCTGGATCAGAGTTGGAATCGTACCCATGGTCACGCCGCTCTTGCGGCCGTTCTCGTACGCGAAGAAGTCCAATCTGCAAGAGGAGGACTCGGGTTAGCTCAGGCAGGCTCGGACAGACAAGACCGGCGTGGATATTTAAATTTTCAGTCCCTTTTCTTTTCGGGAGTTACTTGCCCCGACACGTAGAGCCCCATGTCCCAGTGGGCGGGGTCGTCGTCGCCGCGGGGGTTGTGCCGCTCGTTGTACTCGCAGAACGAGTCCAGCAGGGGGCCGCGGTCGCCGTCGTGGTGCTGCAGGTCGTAGGGCTGCGTCCGAAACAGCTCCAGCCGCACCAGCACGATGTCCAGCGCGCGGCCCAGGCTGGGGTGGTGGTACAGCGCCTGCACCCCGTTGAGGTACGCCAGCATCATGTCGCGCAGCTGCGCCTCGTCGTTGGACACGAAGGGCGCGAACAGGCGGTACGCCGCCTCGTCCAGGAACAGGGCCGTCTCCAGCACCAGGCGGGCGTGCGCGCCTCCCCGCGGCTGCAAGCAACGTCGAGAAAGGGGGAGCCGATTCGATGAAGGTGAGGCGGGGCAAAAACCAACTTACGTCTTGCTTGCGGGCGGACAGGACGGCCTCTACATCCTGATGGGTAACTGCAACCAACAAATTAGAAAAATGAAAAAAATCTCATTCAACGAACGTTAATGAAAGCAGATGATCCATCGCGATTCACAACTGCTGTGATAGCCGAGAGGTTAGAGACGTGGGATCGAGTTACCGCAGGCCGGCGTTCGAATACCAGCGTCACGAAAGTTTTTTCGACTTGCTATCCTAAGGGTGGTGGTTCGAGGCCATGAGAGCGGAGCCGTGTGCAACAGGCCCACATGCCGGAGGTTCGACTCCAAACAAATATTTCCATTTAATTTTACTGCCTCACCCAGTGCGGTTCAAACCCGTAAACGTGAGCCCGCTCCGAGCATGGGACGTGGTGGTCCAGGGAGTAGAGGCGTCGGTTCTGAATGCTAGGGTCGGCGGTTCGACTCCCCCAACTTCTTGCGAAATTTTGACCGGGTCGGTCAAGTCCTGTTGCGTCAAGAACCCACCTCACGCCGATCCCCTCATCAAGGGCCGTGGTGGCCGAGAGCGTAAAGTCGTGTGATCCCGGTGGCGGGGTCCGGGGATCGAATCCCATCATTCCATTACATTTTTCGACCGCCTTCCTCCCAGTGCAACTCAAACCCGTCGTCCAACACACTGCCAGACGTACAAGCGTGATAGCGTAGTGGTCAGAGTCACATTCACCTGGCCACTCCGCTGTGGGTGTCTAAAAAGCAATCCGCTTCGGCGGGTTGGCCTCGGCACTGGAGCGATGGAGTATTTGATCCATCAATCCAGACCATCCGGTGTGTGGTTGCGGGTGGTGCCTCCTTGATTCGTCGGGGAGGCGATGATAAGTCCTTTGAAGCTGGCCTAAAACGCTGTATGTTCGGTACGGGAGCGCCGGACAGTGGGGGTACCATGGGGTACACAACCAACCCTACGAAAACAAGAAGCTCCCACCAAACCTCTTCTCTGTCTGAGTCTCTCTCTGTCTCTCTGTCGTCTCACTCTACGTCCCGCCCCTCTAAGAGCTTCGTACTGGGTGCTCTCACCCAGCTGCCTGAGCTTTGGGGTCCTACTGGGTCCCCCGGCGAACGCTTAGAGTCGCTGACGGGATTAACCCCAGGTACCTGATAGCACCGGTTCCCATCCCGAACACCGAAGTAAAGCAGGAGGCCTCCCCATTAAGACTGGGGAGGGGGTGTAGAGTTCAAATTTTTTCTTTTCCCTTTCAAATTTCTCGGTTAATACTCGTTTGGTTTCCTTATACGGGGTAGTGTGCGGGCTCATTCCAAAGATAGTAATTGAAATTGTGTATGAAACAAAATATATAGACCCGAGCGAGGCCTCGATGTTACCCGCAAGGTGCCTCCGAAAGGTCAGAGCAGGTCAGCATATTAATAGCGGGCGCCACCCGCATTACAGTGTAGCACCTCGAGCACCTCGCTCCTCGGGCCCGCATCACCCACACCAACTCGCGGCCGTCGTGTAGGTGTGCGCGTCGAAGAGGTGAGAAATAGGGGCGGCACCCGGGTCGATTAAGCGCAGCCGTGAGAGAAGATTATTTCCTCGTGTCACTGACCTCCCACGGCAAAATACTTGCGAGAATTCTTCCTTCTTACCGGCGTCGTCCGCGCTGAAGAGGACTCTGTGTCGGTCCAGCGGCACGCGCTTCACGACGTGCGGCGCGTGTCCGTCGGCGTGTCCCTGCAGGTCCTGCAGCCGCTGAGGAAGCGGCCAGATCTCCAGAGACTCGTTGCCGCGCAGGATGAGGCCGTGCTGGAGGGCAACGAGTGGAAGCAGGAAAGGAAGCAAGTTTTCTCGGCGGCTGCTGCTGGGACTCGAACCCGGGCCCGAGAGCAACTCACCACGCTTCTGGGGTGGCACAGGCTGACGGCGGCGACCATCCCCGCGTCGTCGCCATCCCTGTGCAGGAAGTGGCACCGCGGCACGCCGCGCTCCAGCCGAGCTGCGTCCGCCAGCACCGCCTCGGGGTCCGGGTTCGACTCCCCGCCGCGGAGGACGACTTTGAAGCTCGGCGCGATCAGCTGGTGGTTCCTCCTCAGCTTAAGTCCCACAGGGCTGCGATCAAGGAATGCTCAATCCGTGCACCAACAGGAAGTTGCTTCTGTTTGACTCAATCCCTTACCTGCCGAAGGCGTGGAACTCGTAGGGGAAAGCGATACCGTCAGTCAACGCCTCGCCGTCGTCGCCCTCCGCCACCAGGGCCTCCAGCTCGACGGGCATGGGGTGCGGCGTGGGCAGGAACACCACCTCGTAGTCCGGGAGGTCCTCGGCGAGGCTCTGGCCAAACACCTGCACCAGCTCCTCGGTGGTCATCAGCTCGTGCAGCCTCTGGAACAATCGGCACTTCGGCTGTGGTTTCTCGCTCGGCGAGGTCACCGCGATGGCAGGTAGGCTCACCCACCGTGTCCGAGGCCACGACGCCGAGGACGGCGGCCGCCACGCACAGCAAGGCGGCCAGGGCGGCCAGCGCAGGCGTCCGGGACGTCCTCATGGCGACGGCACTGCGCGGCGAGTAGCGCGACGAGTAGCGCCCTGCGGCCCACCTGCCCCTACGTCCCGCCAATAAAAGCGACAATTTTTCGCGCGCGCCGCCGACGGCTGCGCCTTCCAGGCCGATTCCGAAGCAGTGCCTCGTCGCTCTGTCTCTCTCGCACTCAAAGGCCTATCCGGAGGGGCCTGAGAGAGACAGTGCGACGAGGCGCCGTTTAGGAATCAGCTTGCAGGTGCCATGCGGGTAGGAGCCACGGCAGGGGCCATGGCAGGGGAGGGGCACCCCGACGCTACGACGCCCCGTCGCCCCGAGGACAACGCATCCTTTATTGCGACCGGCGACTAGCCGGCTTGCCACACCGCGCACCGCGCAGCGATACAGTGGGTGTGTTGCCCTCGTTAGTCTTGATGGTCTCGATCACCGTGTCTGACCGCCTCGCCCGCCGGGCCTGCCGGCCTCTATCGCGGTGCTATCGCCCGGAAAATAGAATGCAGTGCTCCGCCATGGCTCCGCCGCGGCGCGACATTCAAGCCGGGCCCTTAGCCGGGCCCGGCGAGCCTTCGCGCCCGTGAGCCGCCTTGGCTCATTTTCTGGGCAAGAATTTCAAAAGTCTCTCGCGTGAGGTACACATTGATGTTGCCTCCACGTCGAGAAAGACTGTTGTATTTCGCAAGAAACTCCCTTGATTCACGTGCACTTGCGTCTAATTATGGGCGCGGTGCCGGGCCACCCCGCGTCGTGGTTACCCCGTGCTTGAGAGACTTCGCGGGGAGCCTGAGCGCGCGAGCCGTCGCCTCGCCCTAGCGCGAGGAAAGGGGGGGAGGGGGGGGAGTCTATTTTTACTGGCCGCCGTTGTATTTTCGTGCCCCCTCGCCGCCCGCACCCTCACCTGCCCGGCCCGGCGCAGCGCCGCGGCGCATTTCTGCAAGGGCGCTGCGGCAGCACGCGGGCCGCCAGTGTGCCGGCCTGCTCGCCATGGTGGCCGTGCTCGAAGACGGCGAGCCGTTGAACGCGTCAAACGCGTCAAACTTGCACGTCGCTGATAAAAGTTGCCGCCCCAAGCCCCGGCCGGCCCCAGGCTCTCTGGGCGGCCCCAGCCGGGCCCAGCCCCAGGCAGTGACCTACTCCCATTCCGGCGGCGGCGGCCGGTCGCTCTCCGCGGCGCCCCGAGCCTGCCTTGCCCGCCTTGCCGCAGGCCGGCCGGCCACAAGTAAGTATCACATACAAAGGAGCACCGAGACGAAGACAACACGCTATTAGCGTGAACACGGTGTTTGTGATAAGCCGGCGGGCGGCGGGGCGCGGCGCAGTGCAGCCCAGCATCACGCCACGCCACTGTCGCGCACTGCCGCCGGCCCCGCGGCGCCGCGCAGCGTCCCGCCGCGTCCCGCCGAACGGCCGTTTGTCTCAAGCAGCCCCGCCCCGCCCCGCTCCCCCTCCCCTGACCAGCGCCACGAAACGGCGCACAGATAAGCGTTCAAAAAACAACGCAACGAGATGCGTGGTCGGATGCGCGTGCCACTAGAAAACGAAAACGACAGCGCGACGACATTATGTCTGTCGGGTTGAGGAACTCGGCATGCTTTACTTCCGGTATTTCCGCACTGACCAACATTCGGGCCAGGCCAGCCCGGCCGGCCCGGCCGCCGCGGCCCGCTCTCGACATTGCATTCGAGGGGCGCCGCTCGGCCGGGATGCATCGCGACAGGCTGGCGCAGCGCGCGCGGGCCCAGGCCCAGGCCGCGGCCCAGGCTCCGGGACAGGCTCCGGGACAGGCTCCGGGCCGCGGGGGCGAACTCAGTCGCAAGTCGGCGGGCATAGTCATCTCCCCAGGGAATGCCCGGGCATGGTGAGTGCGGTGAGAAGGGAAGCGGCAAGGGAGTTCGGCAGGACTTTCTCGGACGTGGTTCTGATGGGGCTGTGTGCTGTGTTCCAGGCGGACTCCAGCCACCATGGCGGGGGTGGGGCACTCGGAGTCTCCGCCCCGGGCGCCGCGGCTGGGCAGCGGTTTGGTGAGAGCGAGTGAGTACGACGTCGACGGGCCTCGCGCTGGTCCAGTAGCGAGGCTGACTGTGGGGGGTGTTGCAGACCAGGCGCTCGGCCGCGGGGACTCCAACGAGGCCACGCCGCTGCCGCCCATCCTGTCGCTGCCCCCCGAGGCCCTGGCGCACGTGCTCGGCATGCTGGAGCCGCTGGAGGTGGTGTCGGCCAGTGGCGCGCACCCGGACTGGCTGGCCGTGGCCAACCGCCTGGTGCTGGCGCCGCGCGGCCACCTCGTGGTGCGTCTGGGCGACCTGGGCGACCTGGGCGGCGCAGACACGAGCCTGGCCGCCCTGAGCCGCCTGCAGCCCGCGGTGCACACCCTGCACCTGGTGGCGACCACCCCGACGGGGCTGGACGGCGTGGCCATGCGCCGCACGCTGTTGGCCCTGGCCCGCACGCTGCCCCTGGACGCCGTGCACACCGTGTGGCTGCACGAGGACGACGTATCGGACGAGGGCCGCCACCCCGAGGCCTCGCAGCGCGCCGCCCTGGACGCCATCCTGGACTTGTGCACCTGCGCGACCAGCGTCAACTTCTCCAACGTGCGACAGAGTGCCGCCTTCGTGCGGCTCATGGTGGACGCTCCGCGGCCGCGGTTTCGGACGCGCTTCGTGTTCACGGAGCGCAACCACCACGCCAGCAGCGTCCTCGCGGCGTTGGACGACCTGGGCGCGTTCTTCGAGGAGTCCGTCGTCACCATCTGGCGGCCGCAGCTGTTCGTCACCGCCTTCTACCCGCACTACTGGGACCCGGCCTGCGCGTTGGAGCTGCCCTACCCGCCAGAGGTGCGCAGGCTGTGCCTGTACGGCGCCGGCCTCGACGCGTCCGCCTACCGCGCCGTCGCGGCCATGGCAGCCCTGCAGGACCTGCGGTTGTGCGACGCGGACGCGCTGGGCGACGACGCGCTGCTGGGCCTCGTCACCAGAGTGCGCCGCCTGCGCCGCCTCGCCGTCCACGACGCCCCCGGCGTGTCGTCGGAGGGCTGGGCGGCAGCGCTCAGGGGCCCCGCGCTCCGTCACCTCGAGAGCCTCGAAGTGGGCGGCTGCCTGCAGCTGGACGACGACGCGCTCGGTGCTCTGCAGGTACGTGTGGGCGCGTTCTTTCGCGGAGGCCGTATCTTTGGCTGCGCGTCTAACAGTGCCTCTGCCGGGCAGGCCGAGGACGCCCTGGAGGAGCTGACCGCGGTGGCGCTGGACCTGGAGGGCTGCGCCAAGGCCAGCGGCGCCGCGGTGGACGCCATCGCCGCTGCCTGCCCCAACGTCGAGACCCTCACCTTGGTCGTGGCCTTCTCGCCCAGCCTCGTGGACGCGCTAGAGCGGGCACCGCCGCGGCTGTCCCGGCTGCGGCGGCTCACCGTGCGCGTGCAGGGCTCCGCGTGGCCGGGCGACCCCAAGGAGGCCATCGCGGGGGTGGACCGCCTCAAGCGTCGCCTGCGCGCCGTGTGCCCGCCCGCCGTGCAGATGGACGTCAGCCTGACCTTCGTCAAGCTGGGCATGGCCGTCTCCAACACTCCCGACCACGACGACTAGGCGCCTGCTAGCGCCCGCGATAGGAGCGATACTGTCCCGTCGAGCGCTGGAGTGTCGCCTGGCGGCCTACCTCCCAGGCGATTGCGATTGCGATTAATGGCTGGAGCACAAATGATCGTCTGCCTTTCGGGCCCGCCCCGCCATGTCGATGATTCAACAGCACGTGACGGGCCGTCCGTACTGAGAAGTGGTTTTCTCGGGCCCTCAATGGGTCGTATGCCATTTTAAGGGGCCGGCACAAGAGGCTGCATTTACCTCGAGAAAATAAAGGCTTTAGAATTCTGTTCAAAATCTAGTCATTTGCATGTTGTGTGGCCACATGATTTAGAAGTATTTTTATGTGACGATTATTTTATAAGCTGTGATATTAACTGTATGTTCCAGTTGGCCAACGCATTATTGTATTTATTTGAAGGTAGCCTTGCTAAAGGCAGCTAGTGGGAAACTGTTCGTCTAGTTATCTTTCTTGTGGATATTCTGTGTGCTACTGATGAAAGACAAGCATAGGTTAAGGTAGACTGTGTGTGTAATGTGGAAACCAAATAAACATCTCAAATTCTGAATACAGTGTGTATTTATTTTCCCATTTTTATTGGTCTGGTTTTACATGTTCCATTTTTGCAATTTTTTTTTTGTTCGTTTTGGGTTTTGTCGGATGATGGTGGGCGGTGCTAGCCGGAACGCACCGTGCTGCGCAGGCTTCGCAGGCTGCGGAGGTACTGCGCGGGGAAGCACTCGGGGAAGGGCTGGACGAGGCAGTCCTTGCGGCCCTTGCAGGCGCTCAGCGGGCACGCGTCCTGCAGTCCGTTGCGCCGCGGGCACTCGCAGCGCCGCACCACCTTGCCCATGCGCACCTCGGCCTGCGCGGACACGGGCGTGCGCGCCGGCCACTCCTGCGGCAGAAGAAAAGGCCACCGTGAGACAAAGAGGCGAACAGAGAGAAACGGCGCGGTGACTAGCTCCGTTCAATTTTCGAAACCGAGGTAGAAGCTGCGGACCTGGACCGGTCACAGTGTGTCTATGAACGTGTCGAGCATCCTGAGGCTCTGAGAGCTGAGCGCGTGGAAGGGGCCGGCGGGGCCCACGGGGCTGGCGGCGGACGAGGCGGCCGACATCTGCGAGGTGATGGTGAACCACGAGTGCATGAGGGGCCTGGTGCGAGACTGCTGCTGGCGCGCTTGCTGCTGCGCTTGCTGCCGCACGCGCGCTTCCAGGAAGGCCGCCCCGGACGCGGTCACCACTTCCCGCGCCGGCGCGCCCCGTCGGCGGCCCACACTGGGCTGGTCGCCGAACGCGGGGGTCTCTGGGACGGCGTCGTCGTCGGGCAGTATGCTGCGCCACGGCGGGCGTCGCCGCGGCCTCGGCCTCGGCGTCGTCGCCGGCCTCTGCTGGCGGCGCGGTGTGGCGGGGACCGAGGCCGGTGCGGAGGCGGTCTCCTCGCCCTGCGATGCTGGCGATGCTGGCGGGGCGCTCCGCCGGGGAAGGCGTCGTCGTCGGTCCGCCGCGCTGGTTGCCGTCGGTGTGGGTGGCGCCGAGGCGGGCGTAGCGTCAGCAGAGGGCTTCTTCCTCTTCTTCTTGCCCTTGGTGACGCGCTGGCCGTACGTGCAGAGGCACGGCACGACGGGCTGCGTGGTGAGCACGACGCACTGCCGCGCCGCCTCCTCCGCACTGTCCACGCCCTTGCGCCGCCGTGGGGTCCTTGGAGACGCCGCGCCGGCGGCCGCGGTGTTGGACCCGGAGCGGCTGGGGCGGATCTGCTTGGGCACGGGGGGGTTGGAGAAGGTGGGCGAGGGGCTGGAGCCTGGCCTGCTGTAACTGTTCCAGGGCGGGCGCGGCGTCGCCACGGCGGAGCTCGTCTTGCTCGCGGACGGCCTCTTCTTGGAGGTGGTCAGGGTCGGCCTGGACACGGAGCCCACAGAGCCACGGCGGCTGGATGCGGTGAGGAAGATCCTGGGCCCGCTCTTGGACGTGGATGCGGTGACGCCCCTCACGATGATGCTCTTGTTGGGCTGGACGGCGGGGATGGCCTGAACTCCCTTCGCGGCCTCGCCGGCCTGTTTCGCCACCGCGGCCATGCGCGCCCCCGCCGCGCGCCGCGTAGCCTCGGCCAGGATGGCCTTCTTGTAGAGCGCCACCCACGAGGTCCGCAGTCGGGCGTGGTCCTCCGGCACGGCCGACACCGGCGGCGTCATCGGCCGGTCGCGCTCGCCTGGAGCGCCTGCAGGCGTCGCCGGCGTGGTCGCTGCCACCGCGGGTTCCTGGCCTTGCTGGCTTGCGGCGGGCTGTGGGTGACTTGCGTCGTTTGCAGAGACGTCTTCGCGCGACGCTGCAGCCGACAGATTCTGCGGCGACGTTATGATGCTCTCCAGGTCGACGCAGCGGTCCATCGACACCTCCGTGGCCTGGTCGTCAGGGACCTTGGCGTCCGCACCGTCGCTGCGTCCACCCTGCTGCTTGCGCCCCAGCACTGCGTCGCGGGGGAGGGCGGGGGAGGTGATGACCTTGGCGGGCGTCAGGGGTCGGATCCAGAGCGGGTGCGGGGTTGGAGCGCGCGCGTTGTACGCGCTGATGATGCTAGCCGTGCGTCGGGGGGCGGGCACCAGCGGCCCCCAGCGCAGCGACGTGGGCAAGCGGACGATGGGCGGTCGCTGCACTGGGCGCACGGCCCTGGCGGCGCGGTAGGCCACGGACAGCTTGTAGCGCAGCAGCAGCGAGGCGGCGGCGAGGTCGCGCGCCGCGGGGCCGGCGGGCGACACGCCCACGCGCGTCTTGGACACGCTGGCGACGGTGTGCTGCAGGTAGGGCGCCGTCCACGTCGTCCACGTCGTGCCGCTGCATTCCGAGTCCACGGACGTCCGCTGCCTCCGCACCGCGGCGCCGCCAGGGACGCCGTCGGGACGCTTGCGCTTCGCGCGCTGACGCCGCCGACCCCGGCCGCCTGACTTCCTCATCGGCTTCCTGGCGGTCCCGATGGCCGGGCCGGGCGCCTCATCATGCGGCGTCGTGGTGGCCGAGGCCGAGACCTCACTGGAAGGGCAACCAGACCGCCAAGCAACGCTCACGTCTCAGTGCTACGCGGCTACGCGCTGCTGCCGAGGGAAGGCCCCGCCACGGCCTCGCGGTGGTCGGCTTACCGGGCAGGTGCAGGCGTTGGCGATGGCGGCCAGGGGCGGCGCGTTGACGGTGCAGTCCGGGATGCACACGTTGCTCATGGGGCTGCGGGTCAAGGCGCGTTGGGTCAGCAACCACTCGCCAATGGGGGAGGGGGCACGCACGCCATTCACTGTACCTGGCGTCCAGCACGTTGGCCAGGTCTCGCAGCTTCTGCACCAACGCAGCGCGGTTGTCGGCCATTCTTGCTGCGGTGTTAGGTCCGGGTCGTGAATTTAGACTTAGGCTTGGCCGAAAAGTTTTGTTGGTGTAGTGAGTTGGGCCCTACACGCGCAGCGATGTTTCCATGGTAACCAGTGAGGCGGCAGAGGGGGGGGGGGCAACAGGTGTCCTGGGCACTGCCTTGGGCTGCTAGTTGTAGGTGAGGGCCTTGAGGGGCGAGGGCGAAGCCGGCGAGGAGGGCACGCAGGGCGGGCAGCACAGGGGCGGTTTGTCGTAGCCACAGTACTCCGGGGTGCGGTCGGGCAGCGCCTCGTACTTGGCGAGCTGCCGCTTGCCCAGGCCGCACGTCGGGAAGGGCAGCGCCCTGCAGCCCTTCTTGCTCATGGGCACCATGCACCGCCAGGACAGGCACGAGTCCTGCGCCCAGACGGACAGAGACATGACAGGGCTCGTCGAGTGAATCGTCGGCCTCCACCTAGGACCCAACCTGCAGGCCGTTGCGCTTGATGCAGCTGCAGACGGGGTAGTGCTTGCCGCCGCGGAGCTCGGCCTTGATCTGGGGGACGGGGCGGCACGGCCCGGGGTACAGCTCCTGAGAGACAGACCCGTCTTTGGAGCTTCCCTATACGCGAGACAGAGACGCACCCAGAGTACCGCCATGCCGCGTTTCGCGTGCTCACCAGGTTCACGTGCAGCTGCCCCATGATCCTCTGGCCGGTGGGGTACAGCGGCAGCCTCTTGCTCGACGGCGCCGAGTCCAGACGCGCTGGCGGCGGCTGCCCCCATTAAAAAAAATTGATTAATTTCTCTCCAAGAGCAAACGAAATGAGAGACCAACGTACCAGGTTCTGCTGGTACGGCACACAGCAGCAAGACAACGGGTCATTTCTGTCATAGGAACATTTAGTTCAACCACTGGGTTTAAATCTCATTCATTGCAGGTAAGTAGAGAGTGCTTACTTGACTGCTTCCCCCAGTTTATTTGCAAGTGCTCGAATGTCATCCATTTCAAATGAGGTCAAAAATGCTGGTGAATTTAGAGAAAGGTGGAGTCTGAAATTAGGTTTTCAAATTTTGAGAGATGATTATTTTGTTGATTGTCAAGCCATTGTTGCTTCCATAGCAGCAGTAACTAGGTTCACATTCTTGTCCAGTTAACTAAATTTTTTGGGATAAGGGTACATAATAATTAGAGATGCAATTTACATTCTTATATATTTTTTAATTATTAGTTTTATTATTAGAAAAAAATAAGAAGCAGAATAATAATTTACATAAGTTTTGATGAACTCTATTTCTTTCTCTTTGCTGATTCTTCAACCTGCATAACAGCCTTTTCAAGTTCATGAGGGGCAACTAAAAACCATGCCCATAAAAGACGTCTGTTTTTCAGAACAGGGTACTTTTTGAAAGCCAACTGAAACAAAAACATATTTTTACTGCACCTCCAAAAAAATTATACTTTAACTCCTAGTTCAAAATCACATACCTGCTTGCTTGAGAAAGTTGTATCAAGCTTTTGTATCTCCCTGTTATAATTGTTCAATTGACACTCCACCTCTTCCATTGCGAGATACAAATCTTTACTGACAAGGTTTGGTTTCTTTGTTGGACCGTCAGATAAATAAGACAGGAGTTCATACACAGAGTTTTCTCTGGATAAGAGATAACAAATATTTTAAAATGCAGAATTTGCAGGAAAAATTTTGGTTAGTATCTCTTTATTGCAGCTTACCGGCCTGTATGATTAAATGGTTCCAATATAGTAGAGAGCTGAATCTGCTCAAGTTCTTTGAGATGATGCTCAGATGAAGTGCCATTGCCTGAGTCAAAGTTGTCAACAGAAATCTCCAACAATTTTTGAACAGTGCTCACCAATGCAGCTTGGCCAGGCCTCAATGCCTCTGAATATGAGGCGTACTCATTTGATATAATGTTAAGATTATTCTATAAAAAGAAAATAATGTACACAACCACACTTTTGTAACACGTTACTTTCAGAATCTTCAGTAATAGTCTTACCATAACTGTATTATGCTTATTTAATTCATCAGTGAAATATTCTGTGATTTCTTTCAGTAGATCAGTTCCAAATTTGAACTTGTGACTTTCCTGAAGCATTAACATCCAGATTAAGTCCGTGAGATACAAGATTTTGTGTGTCACATTGGCTGCTATGCACAGCTTCCTGAGACTTATTTGTCTACGCTCAATGCGAGCTCTGGTAATGTTTTCGACCACAGAATAAATATGTTGGAGAACAATGTGCTCTGCCATGTTATGCACTTCGTGCCTCACTAATAATTCAATATCATCAGTCAGTCTTGAAATTTCCTCTTGAAGTTTAGTCAAATCCACCCTGTAACACATACATGCAATCAACAAATCAAGGTAAACAAAAGTATGCTTCAGTTCAATTGGTATAGAAGAGTACTCACTTCATTTGCAGGACATTATATTTCTCCAAAAGACCACTCTCTTTTAATTTAGAGAGGGTGTTCATTGCTGTTGAATATCCAACTAGTGTACCTTGCATTGATATTCTACCAATTTCAACTTTCCACATTCTAAAAGGAAAAAATAAGAACAATTTACAACAACTAAAACGAGAAAATAAACTTGTAATAAAAAAAAAATAGCATCCTTACTTGTGGGGTAATCCACTTGTCATATCACTTGATGACATAGCAGATCTCATGGAAGAATCCTCTTCCAGGAAGGACATCAGTTCATTTATTGTCTTTTCACTCCTAGCGCACTGAAAACCATACACAAAATTTAAAAAGAAGAATTCTGAAAAAACACTCTGCATAAACCACTCCTATTGAAAATTCTCCATATTAAACTCACTTGTTCAAAGTTTCGCTTGATATATAAATTAGCATATTCGTTGAATTTATCACACTTATTTATTATGTTTTCCAAAGGCATATTTGACATCAAGCAATTTTGAACATCCTGTATTCCAAGTAACAAAAATATCAATATTTCAGTAGAGAAATACCATAAAAGTATCATTTTGTAGAAAGAAAAGCTTAAAACTTACCGGGACGTTAGAATCTTTTAAAGATAAAACTAACTTAGAAAAGTTAGAAAACAGATTTGTCATCGTTGCCTTTAAGGGGACGTTAATCTTCATTAGATTCTGTCCTTCTTTCTGACAAAATGCTTGAGCCGCTTTCAATTTCGCTTCATTAGCATGCTCCTTTAAGCTCAACTTCTGAATTTCTTCACTGAGACATGGAAAAGCCATGGGATAAGTAACTGAAATATAATGAGATTGGTAGAAGTGGACACAAACATTTCTTACCTTAGGAGTGTTTCTATTTCATGTCCAACATCATTTTGAGTTCTCAGCTCATCCAATTCCTTATCAAGTAGCTCTAAATCAAGTTGGGACAGATTTGACGACATACATTTATTCACATCGATCCCGAACTCCCCAAGGGCTTCATCTAATGCTTGTCCGTATAATTGGTCACCATCTTGACACAACTCATTGTACCTACGAAGGTTGCAAAAATAATAGATAAGGCTTCGCGCATCCAAATTTTAAAAAATTAATCACAATATGCCAATGCAATTACTTTCGAAACTGTATCTTATCAAGACAGTTAGAATTATCGGTGTATTTCATAAACCATTCCAGGAATGCTGATAATTCTGTGACTTCCGACAACCATTTTACTTCATTTGGCGACAAACCATCAACATCACAGTGAAAGGATGAAAATTTTTCAAGTAGTTCAGCCATGATGTGTCAGGAATGCCTCATTGGAATTCTGAATCTGAAAGAAAAAGAAGATTCAATCTTTGTTTGTCTTATAATTCTACAAAGAGGAAGCTGTCACAATAATAAACCCATAACAAAGCAATAAGGTTAAAACACCCAAGAAATCACATTTCACCTGGTCATGAGGAGCTCAAATCATACTTACGAGTGAAATAACCGGAGTGAATCTGAAATACGAACATCACCGCAAATCTTAGAGTCCTCCATACAATTCAAGACACATCGCAATCAAAGGAAAAGTCTTTTCACTGTACACAAACAGCAACAAAAATTTGAAAGCTTTCCCACCGTCCACCGTCAGTGCTGCCAACCACTGCGCATGCGCAGTTGGTTCCGAAAAGCGCCCTCCTGTTGTGACAGTGTGAACTGGAGTGGGGGGCTGCGTCGTCTGCTAGTAGTCTGCTAGGGCCGTGGTCTTGAGCTGTCATGTCGGAGAGTGAATACGCTCACGAGTGTATGCGAGCTGAGCTTTTGGGACTGCCGAAGCCCGACAAAGACTCTATTCCTCCTCGTCCAGTTGCTTCCGAAGAAGACGAAATCGAATCCGATATGGCTGAGGCTGACCAAGCGAAAGTCCCCGCTGAGGTAAGGCAGCAGGAAAGGGAATGTCTAGTGTGGCTCGACGTTCTGCTGGCATGGGGCATGGGGTGCAAAGGGGTTGGTTCATCCCTAAAGTGGAAAATCATTAGTATCCGTTTCAAGGGCTGAGACAAATCATCATTTGTTTGATTTTCCAAGTGAATGGAAGAACTTTCGTGTTTCCAGCTATCGCGAAACAGCGTGTTCATGCATGAGACCTGATGCAGTTTCTTATTGATTCCTGCTACAACCCCCACCTCTTACCACCCTCAACCCCTCTTGAGATAAAAGAATTCGTTTCACCTCGAAGTGAGCTTCACTTTTCATGAAAGTTCAGTTTCTGATCGAGAGGAAATTTCAATTTTTGTGAGGGAAGTCCCAGTTTTCATAGTTTTGAAACTTTTAGTGCCTTAGAATAATGTGGGGCATCTTAATAAGGATTGTGGGGCAGGGGGGCTATTCCATGGCTACTCTTACTGCCATTACAAATCATTTAGTTTCAAAAATTGAGGTGCAAGTTTTTCAGAACTTGAATGCACTCAAGCAAATTAGTTACTTTCAGGAGAAAAATAAAAAATTTGGAAATTTGCAAAACAAAAATTTATTGCATTTTATTAACTTTGAAAAAAAAAATTGCAGGAAGGAGCAGAATTGCAAGATGAACAGAGGGCTCAGGGCGGAATGGATGGGGTGCACAATATTCTGTCCCTTACCCAGAAAAAACTCAACAACATTAAGGTATGAACACTATGAAATATTGTTGCTCTTTGTGTTGTTTTGCCTCCTTGTTTCAAATTACTTTAGAAAAAAATTCTTGTTTCAGTGTGGCATTGGTAATGTAGGGAGTAGTTTCAGCTCAAGCCTGAGTGGTGGTCTGAGTGGTCTAAGTGGATTGAGTGGTAGTTTGAGTGGGTTCATCAAACAGCGTGTTGGTGGGGGAGAAGGGGGCCCCTCAGGAGGCGAAATTCCTGAAGCAGGTGAGAAGTGAATTGTTTTCATTTTGACTTAATCAAATCACATTCTTATTGTAAGATTTGTTTATATTGTGATTCTACATTTTTGTTATTCCCTCAGCAGATGAGACCATGGAATCATCTGGTGCACCATCAACTGCCCTTGATCGTCAAATGTTGAAATAGATGCAGATGGCATGCACTTATTGCCATCTGTCATGTGTGCCACTAGGCTCCTATTGGACCCTATTCCATATTGTAAGGTGTAATATGTTTCATGGTCCCTACAAAACACCAAGTACTCTAGTCATCGAAATTAAGATTGGATACTTAATTTGGTACCTGCTTTAGTTTTCTCAGTATTATGAGGCTGTATAGAGACCTACCCTGTGCTTGTAAGCTGTATTGGTTGCATGGTCTTTATGCAAGTTATGTTACCAATATGCACTTTTATGAAGTACATTGCATTCAATGACAGCAAATTATTGCATATTGAATTGGCAGAGTGTACAGTAAAAGATTTCTCATTATTTCAGTTATATTGACACATATATATGTATGGTACAAATACAATAATTGTAGGGCCTTAGGTTTGCTTGAGAAATTTTTTGCTTTGATTCTCAAGCGTTCCTGATGTACCAAACTGCATCATAGTTCTGATTTTTTAGCAATATTTTGACTCCTCACATTCTATAAACACAGCTGTTTTATTGTGATAGTTTGTATATTTTAAGATCTTGTTTTACTCTGTTGTAGCATTTTAAAGAGTCCCACTCTTGGGAACTTTTCTGTGACACAAAATGCCAGTCTCCTTTTCTCCTTGGCACTGGTTGCCATGATTTCCTTTTATTGCCATTCCAATATTTTAGTTTAGTTAAATTTTATTCTATTTTATCTAGAAAAAAACACATTGCTTTCCATATATTTAAATGATTCGGCATATCAGTATCTGATGTATGCAATGCAATCTGTACTTTACTATAAGCACTGTATAAACCTTTGATGTACAGTATTTTCACTAATGAATAGCCTAAGTCAGAGGTACATGGTACTGATTGTAGCCATTTAACTATTTCAACCTTATTTATCTCTCACTGGTTGGGCATACAGTATGTTGAAAAGTTCTTATGTTTTACCATTTTGTTGAATTGCACTACTGGAATTTTCTGACAGCATCCTGAATGTGCTACTCACATAAAGGAAAAAAAATCATTGTACACAAGTTGGTTCCTTTAATTTGGTGTGTGCTGCTTGATGACATTGTATTGCATTTGTTGTGTAACATGTCTTTCTACTCATGATTAGATTTTGTCAAGTGCCTTCAACCCACCACTAAGATCAAAAATATCTTGGCAATCTTGGACTTACACACTTTTGCGCCCATGTGTGACATTTTTATGAATGGATTTACAGTGCACAGATTTCTAAGAACTTTAAGTTAACTATTTGCATATGGTTTGTATTTCTGTCTGTTCCACAAAATATTCACTATTTTCCAGCACATAAAATATCTTGTCTTAGTTGTGGAAATAAACCTGATTCTCACAAATTTAATTTCAGCAGATAAATCTTATCCTCAGGTTTGCTAGGAAATGCCAGTATTACATCTACACTCATTTATCAAGGTGTTGTTCACACATTCCTGTACATTATTTGTTTTGCTATTTGTTTGGATATATCTTGTATCACTGTAGGATTAATATTTACTTTCTGCTTTTAATATCTGCTGCTTTTGGAGAGTGGCTCAGATTCATTGTAAGTGTTCCACGTACAATAATGTTTTTGATTTAGTGTATAGAGCATATGTACAAGTACACATGTACTTACCTTGATACAAAAAATACTTGGATTTTCCCTTTTACAATGAGTGGGCTACTCTCTAGCTTTACATGTATTCATAATTTTCCCTCATCTATCTATGTTATTTCTATTCTATTTGTAAGTATGTTAAGAAAGTCAGTCTCTTGCAGTTCAGTATCTGTATTTTCCAATAGTCTGTAGGGGAGGAAGATACAAAGCTTCTTGTCTTTGTCTTCACTCACCTAAAATGTTCAAGTAATTTAATTTCAAGCTATTTTAAGAAAATTGAGCAGAAAGTACAGCATATCTGACGTAAGTTAGATGTTATCCTGCTGTTTTCATTGTGATAGAGCTGTACAGAGAAGGAGAGTTTAGAAGAGTTCTATCAAAACAAATAATTCAAATCCAAATACTGTCATCACTTGATGACTCTTCAGCTTCTAAGCAAAACAAGCTCTAATGATACATCCGGAAAAACAAAGGTTTTACGTAATGGCCTCAATTATACTGCATTTTAAGACAACGCTTTTATTCACACCCCGATATATTCTCAACTCTGTACAGCCAGAATATTAAATGTTTTCACCCCAGTTCATTCTATTTTCAAGTCGTTGGTATTTGTTATTATCGTGATGTAGTAATTCAACTTTGTTGCATGAGACAGAATTAACCTTTTAGCACTACCAAAATTGAGAGCAATAAGAAAAGGACTTACGTAGACTGATGTTAGTTCCTTCTTTGCTTAGATTATTTTTGAAGTATAGTACATACTTCAATTTTGCCTGATTAAGCACTATAAAACTAATGGATTCACTCATTAGCCTTCTTATATCGTAAAGGTTACTATTTTCCTCTCACATTGTGTGTTCTTGTTATTCCCAGGCTGCTTCTCTGTGAGAGGTGACCCAGGTTGATTGTTGGCTGTTGAATGTCTCTAATGCATTATTATTGTTATTTAATATATTGTTGAAGTTTGTTAGAGTTTGACAGAGAAACAACCTGATGCTTGAAGAAATACTCCATCACCTGAATGAAAGTTCTCTGGTACATTAACTGTTGAAGAGAGCAGCGGGTCAAAGTTACATTAGAATGTTGTCCTTGCATAAGCAGTTCATCGTACAGAGAAAAGAGAGCAGTGAATACCTGTATATTCATTAATTTATTAATTCCAGAAGTGCAGGCCTTTCCAGCATTGTTGTATGTGATTGTAATTGCAGCAATAATAATAGAGAGGGATTAAGGATTTGGCACACTTTAACAGAATGCTTGGATTTTATTTTGTAGCAACGGCTAGGATTTGGTTGCAATGAAAAATTTTTCCTGCAGCACCCACGATAAATAGAACTCCAACTTTTTCACTAACAGCTTGAGTTTATCACGTGGTATCTGGCTGTCAGCCCCATCTGGAAATCGTTGTGAAAATGGTCCTTTGGCTGTTGGAGGACGATGCCTTACTGCTGCTCGAAATAATGAAAGCAAATCAGATAATGCTGCTTGCAAGTGTGAAGGTGATGAAAGAATGCACTGTGCATCAGCTTTCATTGTTGACAACTCTTCTTCACTTGAATTTTCTTTCTGAAAAGTTAAAAATTAAGTATGTAAAATTAAGATTTAAAAAAATACTGTTTTTGATGGAGATTTTTCCTTACAGAGGGTTACTGATGTGATGTACAAAGTATTCTGATGTTGAAATACATCAGGTGGAAGAGGAAATTGTATTTTCATTTCACAATTCCCAACTTTCAGTCACAACCACAGTACAAAAGAAAATTTTTAATTACCTCAGTCATGTTGACCGCCACACTGGTGATAGCATCCATCATGTTATCAAAGTTTTGATTCGTATTTAAAGAACCACTTAGGTTCCATGCAATGTAGGCAGCTTGAGATGCCCAGTCAAGATGTTCTCCATTGAAACATCGGACTGTATAAACATATGCACCAATTATGTTTGTGGTGTTAAATGGCAGACATGGTGAAGCAGGCTTTTTCTTTAAGATAAAAAGAAAAAAAGAATATATAATGAAATTACAAATTATTTAAGAATGAGAAAATTCATATTCTAATACTTACACACAAATCCTTGAAACTGGAAATATCCTTTGCAATAACAGGAACAGTGCTGTTTGATTGATTTTCAGGCTGGACTGAAACTGAAGTGCCGTCATCATTAGATTTGACTTCCTCAACAAGTTTAGCTTTCCTGGAAATGAAATGCATAGCATAATCAAACATAATTTTAAAAAAAAAGAAAAAAATGCTTATATGCTTGTAAAATAACTAAAATAAAAAAAATGTCATACTTTTCCCACCATGGGCTGAACTCTGGGAGAAGCTCTGTAATTCCACCCGTTTGTAACAGCTTCTCAAATTCTGCACGCTCTGAACTTGACAATCGTTGCCACACTGCGTCAGCATCATCCAAGCTTACACCAGCTAATCGGGATGACAGATCATCATCACTTCCTTCTTCTTCATCATTCTCATCATCAGAATCTGTAAAATTGAAGGTCATGCAGTCACAATCCAGGTGAGCGACGAGTACAAGCTAAGCGGGGGGAAAATATAGCTGAAACTTTACCTAAATTCTCAATTGGATTGGCATCTGCAGCATAAAGCCTTGATAGGATTTCCTCCATATGACGACGTCCCTCAGCATTTTCTTCATTAGACTGCGACGAAAGAGTAGAAAAAACCTGGTCCTTGTAAAATGATTCGGAGCAGTTCAAATGCTTGCTGTCTCTATAACATGCCACTGAGCAGTACGGAATATTGCAGCGAGGACAGACATACAAGGCCCCATTAGTGCTGCAGCTGGAAAAATAAAGCAATCTTTCAGTGAGGAAGTTTCAGTAAAAAGTAATACATGTTCTATGGCCCTCTCTGACAATCTATAGTCACTTACATATTACAGATGCCCGTTGCCTTGACAGCTTCAGCTTCGGCACTCATCTCGAAGGATTTCTTTTAAAAGGCATAAAGATCAAGCCACAAGGCCAATAAGCTGCAACAGAGTTGCACTTTTCCCTTGTTTACAAACTTTAAGAAGGATGCACAGGAGTTGTTTAGGTTAGTCTCAAGCTTGAGCAGCAGCAGCGCCCTCTCGCAGATTAACTGAACAAGCTGGCGGGAGATTTTGAACTGCCACAGATCATGATCGCAGACGCGTGGTGTGGTTTTATGAAGGGTACCGTGCATGGGCATGCCAAACACCAAAGTGGCACCCATGACGTATGATGAGTGATTTTGAAACAACCACGCATGTTTCTTTCCAGCTTGCCCGGAGCCTTAGGCGCGAGGAATGATCGGCTGCCTACCTCCAGGCGCACAAGGCAATTTCAAATTTGGCCGAAACGGCGCCCAACACGCACTCGTGGCCAGAAGCGCGCGGGCAAAAGAGGGTTTCTTGTGTGTATTTGTTTCTGCCGGCCTTTCTGCCTCGCAATGATGTCGACGTTTTGGTTGTCTGTCTGACATGGACGGGCAGCGAAGTGGCGGGCACGGTCGGATTGGGGAATGGGGAATGGGGATCGGGCGAGGCGCCCAGTGACAAGGAGGAACCGCCGGCTGTGCCTACACACTTTGCTTTTAATATTCGTCCAATGGGAGCTTGGGAGCTTAGGAGCGCCTCACCCCACCAACAGGAGTACGGAAGACTCTGGGCTGCGAGCTCTGGAGGTCTGGAGGGACCCCACCCCTGCTCCCGCCAAGGACTCTGTGCACATTTTAAAAAAATAGGACAAAAAAACCTGAGAAGCAAACAAGAAAAAAAACATTACAGCACGGAAAAGTTCTCGTGTGGCGTGGAGAGAAATTGAGAGGAAAGGGTGTACCTCGTCGTGTGTACGGGACGGGACGTTTCGACTGACACTATACTTGACCCATTTGACCGTGTCCGAGCTAGCGCTATGACTCCCGAGCTCGCTGGGCATTCCGTAGGGGTGCGAGAGAGACAATCGGGCCGCAGGCTCGGGGGATAATTATTCCCGGACGCACTCCGCGCTGCTCCGCGTGTGTTGAGCGCCGCGCGTGCGCGTGGGCCGCGGCGTGCGCCAAATTGAAGAGCAAAGAGGCGCTCCGTCTCGCTCGCACCCTTCCGGACCGCCCCACGAGAGGGAGGGAGACACACCAACGGCTGGCCACTCCGGCGATACATCTACACATCTCTCTCGCCCCCTCAATCAGAATCAAGAGCGCGCGCCGCGACGCGCCGCGACGCCTGCAGAACAAAGGCAAACAACAAAACCACTGCGGTCCTGCGGCCGGAACCCGCCAGCTTCATGTGCTTGCCTGTTGTCTTCGCTCTTGCGTTGGTGGCCGACAGGCGAGGCAGGCTTGGAGGCTGGCGACAGGTGGAGCCGCGAGGGTGGCCTACCCACCGGCGCCACGCACCGTTTGCACTGCTTCGGCCCATTTGACTGAGCTGGGCGGCGCTGCGGCGCATAGCCTTCGCCTGCAGGGTCAACAGTCTCGTTCAAGGAAGCCGGCCTGCCCGGAGTCGTCTGGAGTCGCCTGGAGTCGAACTGGAGTCGGGCAGAGCCGCATGTGTTGTTTTGTTCAATTCAGATCGGAGGAGTGAACTGCATATTCTGCCGAAGTGAAGGCCGCTGGAGATCATAACATTGTCATCCGTTTTCAGCGTTATTTTCCTGAATAGTGGAAAAGGTGGTTCTCCTGGAAGGGCGCCTGAAGCTGAATGAGCAGTCTTATTTCGCGAAAACGATAACTGAGCCAGACGACCCCCCGCGGTCCCGCTCCGCCCCGCCCCGCCACCGCGCCTCCCCGCCCCGCCCCGCCAGTCGCGGCGTTGGCCAGAGTGGCCAGGTGTGTCACGGTCAAGATCGGCTCAAAAGCGGAGGAAGCGGCCGGGCGGTGCTCAGTGCGCTCCGAACTGCAGTCCCGACTCGACCTGTCCCGCACGCCCTACGATCACGGTGAGTGGCCAACGCCGAGGATCGCCTCGGCCTCAGGCCTTTAGCTGGAATGGTGGTGCACCGCGGTGGCGGTCGCGCGTTCCGTCAAGAAGACCCCTATCGTGTGTGCTGTGTTTCCCATATCTGCGTGTGCCCAGTTCGATGAGTGGGGAAGTTTCGGAAGGGGAGTCCACACCCTCCGTGAAGGGCTATGGTGACCTGGGTCGGCATGCTCATGCAAACTTGGAGGTGCATTGTAAAAACGCGATCGTGTCCTTCTGACCAAAAGTTACTTTGACAATGTACTAAAATTGTTTGAAAATTTTCTCGACGTTTCAATTTTTTTTCACCACTCTGCTGCCCCCATGCGGTTCCGCCTTTGCCTAAAGAGCGCCGCGACAGGTGCTTCCCGCCGCGCCGCGCCGCGCCGCCCCGCCGTGCCACGCCCCGCCGCGACCCTGGCCGAGACCCCCACTGTCCTTGACACCCACGCACAGTTGTCACCTCAAGCGCCTCCGGAGAACGCGCCCGAACCTGGCAAAAAAGCGACAAACGGCACTGTCAAAAGCGTCCTATCAAATCGACGGGAATTGTCAGTTCTTTTGACTGAAGTCTCCCATCCTGGAGCCATTCGGCGCGTATCCTCAGAGGATCTAAAGCGGCCCGAAAGTGGCTCGGGTTCGTCTCGGACGTGTTCCGTCGGAGCCACCCTGGAGACCAAGGGGGTACGGGTCGATGAAAGAAAAACCCTAAAACTGTTTATGGTATGGTGTGTACATTTAAACGTCATTTTCTTCAACTTGATTGTTAGACTCTTTGAAACGGTGTGACCCCGTGTCGTTGGAAATGGCACAAAGACTGAAAGTGAGAGAGGGCGTGAGTGGGGCGCCTTGCCCGCCTTGCCCCCCTCTGCAGCCGCGGTCTGGCCTGGTCTGGGGGAGGCTGGGGACCGAGGACTCGGAAGCATGCCAGGGAAAAGCCGGGCTAAAGTGCAGCCGCTGCGGCACTGGAAGTAGTGCATCGTGTGGGAGTGTGCAGAGTGTGTGGAGTGCACGTGGTGGCGGCGGAGCCACAGGCCGAGCCACACGCGTGGGCGCTGGCATGACGCGCCGTCGCGAGTTACCTTACGGAACGAGTGTTTTTAATAATCGGTTCTGGAAAATAACATAAATAAAATTCTGGTAAGCGGCGAGGATGGCGGATGACGTAAGCCGGCACTAGAAACTGGAAGCGCGACCGCCGAGGCGCGGCTAACTCGCGGCTAAAGCGCGGCGCCGCCCGCGGATCAGATTCCGCGACGGGCAGGGCAAAGCCCCGACCTTCTCAATAATTTACTTTTATTTTCAGTATCGTTGCTTGTCCGCCAAGTCGGTTTGAGCAAATTAAAAAATGGTAATGAGCGCGACCCCGCGCGACCTCACCTCACCGCCTTGCCGCCTCGCCACCTCGGTCGTCGTGCGGCTTGCGACTTCCTGCCGGATGGCAACTCGAACTCTATTTCGAGTTCGGTTCGACCGATCGAATGAATCGGCCGCGGCGCCCAGAGTGTCGCGCTACCGCCATCCCGCGCCGAAACCGCAACGAAGAACGAAACTGATGAGACGGAGAAAGTGATTGGCTGGCATCTCGATAGGGGGACCTGACCTGGACTTCCCTCGGACGCGACGCGGCGCGACTTCGCGCGAAAAACGAAACGCGGTTTGAAGGCGCGCTGGCGAGCTGCGCCTCGCGTGTGTGAGAAGGGCCGGGGCGGGGTGGGGCGGGGCGTACGGCGTTCGTGCGGCAAGTCCTCGCCGGGATTTGAACCCGGAACACGCACTGCAGCGCGCATGTGTGCGTGGGTGGGTGGCGGACCGAAGCCACGGCGTAAAAGAGGACGGAATCGCGATTAGCTCGCCGCCGTGACCCCTGGCCTGGCCCGGCCTGGCCTCACGTGGAGTGCCCGATCTCTGGATTCCTAAGTGCTGGAGCACTGGATTAGCGAAGTGCTGGAGCATTGGACTTTCGAAGTGCTGGGGTCCTGGATTCTTGGATTCCTGCAGCCCTTCGTTGACGTTTGGGTCGTCATGGTGCCGCACTCTCTGGCGGCCAGGTCGTCGCGGAGGTGCTGCCGGTGCACTGTCAGCTTCCGGCCGCGTCCTTGGCCGCGCCTCACCCGCGGCCACCCGGCCAACACCTCCGCGGCGATGACACCGATGACACGACACGGGTTCGACTCCCAGGTGACCGACTGAGCGGCGGATGGCGGAGCGTCGCGGGCGTGGCGGCACGCCGCGGCACGCCGTCCCGACCGAGCGCAGCCTATATTTGGCCACGGCACACGCCGCGCAAGGAGAGCCGGGGCTGCGTCCGCGGCGAGTCCACTGCTCGTCGAAGCCACTGCTCGGCAGAGCCAGGCAGAGCCAAGACGGCGGCGGCGCGGCGGCACTCTCGGACGCGTCCCCGGAGGATGATCCGCGATGCGACGCTCGCTGCTTGTGGCGCTGCAAGGGCACCGGGCGGTGGGTCAGCGTCACCGGAACACTTCCTGTTGTTGTCTGGCGCAGTGGTGTCATCGGCGACCAAGGGGCATTCCTGGAACTGGGCCGGGCCGGGCCACTGCACCTGCGTGGCTCTGGCGTTCAGGTCTCTCCTCGCGAGCATCCTCGGCGTCCTCGGCCCCCCCCCCCCCCACCCTCCTCCTCGGGCTCCGCTGCTCCGCATCCGCGACGCTCCAGAATAAAATCGATCGGACAGGAGGAGACGGGCGGGGCCTTGGCAGTGACATAATGGGTCGCGATGAGCAGCTAATGTGTCGGGGCGAGGCGGCCAGGCGGCCAGGCGAACTGGCGTCCGGCGAGGGGCGTTTGTTGGCCAGCTTCCTGAAGCAGCTGGAGGGGCGGGGGCGCCGCCGCTCTGCGCCGCTCCAGCACAAAGGCTGCCTTCGCGTTCGTCGTTCGTTCCGCGGGGGCGTCTCTCCGTACGACTGCTGGCCGACGGTGTACTGTTCGCGCACTCGGACACCAGTCATTTTTCTTCTTCTTCTGTTTTCCGTGTCGATCGTGATTATTGTTGATTTTTTGGCGTCCCGGTTATGAAAAATTGGATTGTCTGGCGGTGTGCTGCTTGGTCCTCTAAGTCTTCCGCCACGGGCGTTGCCGCCTGGTCGCCCCGCCCCGCCCCGGGAGCCGCGTGGGCGCGGTGCCCGGACGCCGCCGTCGACACGGCTGGGCCCGGCCAGGACGCCCGGCCATGAGGCCCGGCCGTGTGCTCTCGTTTGTTATGACTACGAAAAGCGTGTCACTTTGATTTGCATTCGCTGCCCTCCGCTCAAGGCCCGCCGCCCGGCCTCCAGGCCCGGCCTCCAGGCCCGGCCTTCAGGCTTGGCCCAGCCCGAAGAGTGGCGTACGGAAAATATTGGCGCGCCGAGGAATCGATTTCCAAGCTAGCCAATTAACAAACGCGCCGAGCCGCGAAAGAAAAGAAAAAGGAAGCGGCTGGAGGGGCGGGGCGGGGCGAGCTATACATCACGATTGATAAACGTCGATAACATGGAAGGTGTGCTGCGGCCCCGCCCCGCCCCGCCCCGCCGAGCCGGCGTGTGTTTTGCCTGACTTTGACTCGTTCCGCGTGGGGGGCAGCTGAATATGAGCGTGGCATTTTATTCTTGTCGCAGATCTCTGCCTAGCCGCTGAACTTGATGCCCTGTCATCACAGTGGGGCGACGCGGAGACTCCGCGACGCGGGGAGCCAGTAATGGCAATGGCGCACTCGGCTGCTGTTATTACCGGCTCCGTTTTCGCTTCACGCAAATGGGCATCGCGGAACAGGGGGACGGGCCGGGCCGGGACGGGCGGATAGGATAGCCAATGAACACACGCACAATGGGTGTGGCGGGGCGGGGCGGGGCGCGCCGGCGTCCTTCCGCCTTTTTATTCTGGAGCACTTAGCGCGGGTGTGGGCGCCAAGCGCCTGAGCGCCAAGCCGAAAAGCCGCGTCTTGTGGCGCTTGTGCGCTCTGGCCACTGGGTGCCACTGGGTGCCACTGGGTGCCACTGGTCCCCGCGGACGTCCGGAAGGACCCCAAGCGCGCCGCGGTGACAGCAGCGGATCTTTATTTGAGTTGCGTCACCGAAGAATGGCGAGGGGTCCGCGACGAGGCCGAGGCCGGCCGTGGGAGGCGGCGGGGAGCGGGGAGGAAGCTTGCGCGTGCTTGCATCCATTGAGACAAAAGTCTGCTCACAAAGCTGCCCCGTATTAGGACTCCTGTTTCTAATCCCCTTGCCCGCGTGTTTGTGTTGCAGATGGTTCACAGCGCAGGCCTCCTGGTGGCCGCGCTGGCGGCGGTCTGCTTCAGCAGCGTCTCAGGTTCGATCTACTACTACCAGTCCACGCCCGCGCCCTACACCCCGTACCGCTACTCGTACTACCGAGCTCTAGGTTTGTCGGTCCGGCCCCTCGCGGCCCGGACCCCGGCATGGACCCAGCATGACGTGCACCGGGCCACCGCCGCACCGCCAGCATGCCCTCCATGCCCTCCATGTCCTCCACCGCGCCGTCCAGCTCGGCCAAGGCTGGCCGTTGGGCTGCCTACCCACCCAGGCGGCGGCGGGCGGCTTAACCACGCATCAACGCATCACAGAGCCGACTTAACTGCAACTCGTCAATCTGCATTCCAATCCAGCCTTTTTTTGCGCGCCATTTTCCCCCCTTCCGGCGCCCATGCACTAGCACACTAGCGCACTAGCACACTAGCACACCGCACCGACGCGTTCATGATGGATGGCTGCTAATGAAAGGCTCGTGTTGCCATGGAGACGGTCCGCACGGTCCGCACGGTCCGCACCTCGCATTCTGACACCCCACTCTGCAGAAACACGCCGCACCTTTTGTACAAAGCCTTGCACTCGCAGTTCATGTCACTGAGACTGTCACTCGTCAGAATACCTGTAGAATGCTACATGATCGTCCGTCTTTCTCTCTCTCTAACGCGTTTCCCGTTTGTTCGTCGCTTCGGCAGGTATGTCCTCTAGCGCGGACCCCTGCTACCCCAACCCCTGCGGCCGCAACGCCCTCTGCAGGGAGGCCAATGGTCGGCCCGTCTGCTCCTGCCTGCCCGGCCACCAGGGCAACCCCCTCACCTACTGCCAGCGCGGGGAGTGCCAAGGTACGCCAACGCCAAACGAACATGACAAACCTTTCATGTCGACGTGAACGTAATGGACGTGCTTTACTTCGCAGACAGCAGCGACTGCCCGCACAACCGCAAGTGCCAGAACTACGAGTGCGTGGACGCGTGCGCGGGGACGTGCGGCATCAACGCCAACTGCGAGGTGCGCAACCACATCCCCGTGTGCTCGTGCCCGCCCCAGCACACCGGGGACCCCATCAGCAGCTGCCGCCGCATGGACCCCCGTGAGTACCGCTGTCTCTCTCGCACTCAGGACTCAGAGCGAGGACGACGACGACGGCGGCTGAGGACGTGCTTGTGCTTGCAGAGGAGCTGTGCACGCAGACGACGTGCGGCCGCAACACGCGCTGTGACGTCATCAACCTGGTGCCGACGTGCTCGTGCCTGCCGGGCTACAAGGGCTCGCCGCTGCAGGGCTGCTACCACGAGTGCGAGACGGACGCGGAGTGCGGCCGGGGCCAGCAGTGCCGCGACTTCACCTGCTCCGCGGCCTGCACGGCGGGCACGTGCGGCGACAACGCCAACTGCGAGGTGCGCAACCACCGCGCCGTGTGCTCGTGCCCCGCCGGCTACCTGGGCGACCCCTACACGTCGTGCCGCGCCGAGTGCCTGAGCCACGGCGACTGCCCGCGTGACCGGCCGTCGTGCGTGGCGGCGCGCTGCACCAACCCCTGCCTGGGCGTGTGCGGCATCAACGCCGAGTGCAAGGTGCGGGACGCCACCGCCATCTGCAGCTGCCCCCGCGACATGACCGGCGACCCCTTCGTCTCCTGCAGGCCCTTCGAGAAGCGTAAGTGGTCGCGCCGGACCGCTCTGGCAATTTTCCGCACTGATGACTTTAACTGAACGAGCTTCCCCCCACAGGTGACCTCTGCGACCCGAACCCCTGCGGCGAGAACGCGCAGTGCCAGCCCGGCTACGACCGCTCCGGCAAGGACCGGCCCGTGTGCACGTGCCTGCCCGGCTACAAGGGCGACGCGCTGAGCTACTGCCGTCGCGGCGAGTGCTCCACGTCGTCGGACTGCGCCAACCACCAGGCCTGCCTCAACTACGAGTGCCGCGACGCGTGCGCCGGCCAGTGTGGCGTCAACGCGGACTGCAGGGCCAGGGACCACGTGGCCGTGTGCACCTGCCCGCCCGGCTTCACCGGCGACGCCGTCAGCCAGTGCAGCGCCCTGCCCCAGGCCCGCGCCAACGAGTACGTCTCGTCCAGGTCCGGAGAGTACGTCTCCACCAGGTCGGGCGGCTACTGGCGCTACGGCCGCTACTACTACTAGCAGTGTGTGCGTGTGAGCCCGTTTCCCGCCGGGATCTGTACATAGCCTCTTTCACTCAGGATTTTTTTTTTGTTCTCCTATTTTATTTTGTTTAAAAGAAGGAAGAAAATTTTTCATACGTGAAAATTTAGTTTCGAACGAGCGCCCCTCGAGAGCGTGCTGATTCAACCGCATTAATCCCATTAATCCAAAGTTATCGAAAAGGGAAGAAAAATAACATCACCTGGGAAAGAAATGTTCATATCTTCAGAACGATTTTTTTTGTTGACGCCTCTGAATAAAATGTTACGTTTACGAAGCTTGTACCTCCTTACTGTTTCCCAACCAGCTCCGAGCGCGCTCGGGCGCCCACGCCATTTTCAGAGCTCCCAACTTGGCAGTGACTTTGCGTCGGGGTAGAGCCGGCCCGATAAGAGAGAAAGGCCACCTTCTGATTACCAATCGGCTTTCGCTACGTCTGACAAAGAAAGCAAAAAAGAGAATATGGACGGGTTTTCATTCTCTAGAGTCACCCTTGACCTTGATAGGGGGATTCATGTCCATGTCTCAAGCGATCCGACTTTCTCCCATGGTAAACATGTAAACATAGGCAACGATGGCCGTTGTGCTTGCCTCGATAATGAGCCGCTGAAATGGCGATCCATTTTTTCATGAAACCACATCGGCGTAACACTGAGACTGATTTGAAAAAAAAAAAAATAATCAGACAGTCATACTGGATATTTTCTTGTCGGAACACAAAACAGGACGCATTCCAAATTAAAATTTTAAACGCAGGGAGAAGGAACCGCTGGTTCAGAAACGAGTCTTGTGAAGGGCGCCTGACGAACGGCAGGTAGGCAACCCGCTAGACTCCTGTGCGCACTTTGCCTACACTGCAGGCGCTCCTGGGTCGCCTGACGAACGGCAGGTAGGCAACCCGCTGGACTCCTGTGCGCACTTTGCCTACACTGCAGGCGCTCCTGGGTCGCCTGACGAACGGCAGGTAGGCAACCCGCCGGACTCCTGTGCGCTGATTGCCTATCCTGCAGGCGCTCCTGGGTCGCATGTGGGCAATCTGCTCAAGTCACTTGCGTTCATCAGCGTGCACAAATAGAGAAATCCGCAAGGAAATTGGAAGAAAAGAAATCGGATAAATGGGGGGAGAGAAAGCTTCGGGCCCTCACGCCGACCTTCAGTGACAGACAAAACGACCATGACAATTTCGAAAAAAAAAGGCGATTGAGCCGCGCCATTTGATGAGCCTCGAATGCGATAAGAGCGAAGAAAGTCAGTGCAGGGGAGCGGGGCAACGGGCGGGGGCAGCGGGTGTGATAAAGGACGGCGGGATCGAAACATAAAATGGAGTTGCGGCGCGCTGCGGCTCAGTTTCAATCGACGCGACCCCGAAACCGCACCGCACCCACCGCCATGGCACCTCAGGTCAGTCCTCTTCTTCTCCTTCTTCTCCAGGCAGTCCAACCCTGTCCCTCGCTGCCAACCGGGCCGTGCTTCCTCTCTAGCATCCAGAAGGGAATTCCCAAGCAAGAGCTTTTTCTGGATGAGTTAGGATGTCTAACTCACAGAGGAAAATCTGTTGGCGGCAGTGTAGGTTAATCTCTCAGTCCCTGACCGGCCCTTGCCAGCCTCGCCTCGTGTCTTTAACTTTATAGTGTGGCGTGTCGTCTCGGCGCCAGCGGGTTCACGCGGGGCAGTGTGTCTTGGACGAGCCTATCACGCGAATCGGGTGGAAAAAGAAAGAAAGCGGTCAAGGGAGACCCGTTCCGTCCCGTTCACATGGCAGAGTACGGCGTCAGGGATGAGACTCCCACAGTGTCGCCGCCACAGGAGGCTAAGCTCGCCGCCGAAATTATTTTTCTTAGGGCACTGGCTGAGTTTGCGCGTGGACGGCCCGCGAATCAAACACGGCTACGAAAGCAAAGTTTTCCTCAAGAGCGTCACTCTTATTTTTCTCGAGTTGCGCAAGAAGCTCGCAGTGGAGGCGCAGTGGAGGCGTAGGCGGGGTTCGCGGGTCGCGGTTCGCGGGGAGGTCACGCCGAATTGGTGTAATGCTGATGCTGCTCATGCTGTGATAACGCCACCAAAAAGGGGAGGGGAGGGGAGGAGGGATGCCAGCGTGGGGAAACAACTATTGGCGACAGTGACGCGGGTCTGAGGTTCAAATACCGGGCAGGGTGCAAGGATTTTTTTCCCGATTTTTTTTCCTTGATGGCCGATGCATTTCCTGCAGATTAAGAAGGGCGACGCCGAGGTGATGCTGGACGCGTCCGAGCTGCTGCGGCCGGAGCCCACCTACACCACCAAGCCCGTGGCGCAGTACCGCGACTTCAGCGTGGACCCCACCGACCCCATCAAGGAGCGCGTCCGCCTGCTGTACCTCGACATGCACACCCACCAGACCTACGACTTCGTCAAGAGTGAGTCCCAAGTGCCATTCCCGGCCATTCGGCCGTGACGCGCGTGTTTCGTTTTCAAACCTGGATCTGGCTCAACCCCGCTCTCTGCTCCGCATGGCTAGGCCGACACGACAAGTGGCTCAAGTTCGACCACTTCAAGGGCACCATCATGGACGTGCTCAACAGGCTGTCCGAGTCCGGCCTCACGGACCAGAGCGACCCCGACGTGGACATCCCCAACGTGTACCACGGCTTCCAGACCGCTGAGGGCATCCGCAGGGAGCACCCCGACAAGGAGTGGTTCCAGCTCACCGGGCTCATCCACGACATCGGCAAGGTGCGCACTGTCGCTGCGACACGCCACGGCCAGGCCGCGCCGGGCGAGAGACCTAACTTGCTTCCTTGCTGCAGATCATGGCCCTGTACGACGAGCCGCAGTGGGCCGTGCTCGGGGACACCTTCGTCGTGGGCTGCGAGTGGGGGCCCTCCATCGTGTACCGCGACACCAGCTTCCACAACAACCCGGACGGCAAGCACCCCATCTACAGCACCAAGAACGGCATCTACAAGCCCCACTGCGGCCTCGAGAACGTCATCATGTCCTGGGGCCACGACGAGTACCTGTACCAAGTGCTCAAGCACAACAAGGCCAAGCTGCCCGAGGAGGCGCTCTACATGATCAGGTTCCACTCCTTCTACCCCTGGCACGCCGGTGGCGACTACATGCACCTCTGCAACGAGAAGGACAAGAAGATGATGGAATGGGTGCTCGAATTCAAGTACGCATCACAGCTTTGACTTTATTTTCGGATTACTTTTTTGCTGCCTTAATGGTGCATTAATGGGACTTTAATTTATTTGCAGCAAGTACGACTTGTACACCAAGTCGGACGAGGACCTTCCCGACATGAACCAGCTGACCTCCTACTACCAGGGCCTCGTCGACAAGTACATCCCTGGCGAGCTCGAGTGGTGAACACGAGTGGCGAGACACTTTGCTTCTTTATGGTCCGCGTGCCACTTGTACAATTGTAAATATCATCATGTATGTGAGTGTGTTATGTGTGTACAGTAATTATTGGTTAAGACTTGGTTACCCTTCGTCATGTCCCACTGTCAGGGACGAAATCTGTAAAGCGAGAAGACTGTGTATTTAGGATAAGATATAATCATTAAATAAAATTTACGCTTCGAACAATTACCACCCTTTTCATTCTACCTGGGCGCATAGCTGCAGCCATTTGAATCCACCCGCCTTTGAGTGGGCATGGAGTGGGGCTTGGATGGTCGACAATCGAATTGAAACTTTCAGTTAAGGTTTTATCAAAGTAATAGGATTTTCATATCAATGCTATACTACTTTAAAAATCAATCCTGTAGATGAAAAAGTGGTGTGATGAGTTATTGAACGGAGGTGGTGTGAGGTGTGGTAGGACTGAGCAGTTGGTACACTTGCAAGAAAAACAAAACACAAATCAAACAATAACAAACAAACTCTACTTGTTTCCTGCGTTGCCCTGTTTTTCCTTTTTCTTGCGAAGTTTAGACTAGTTTTATCGAAAATATTGTGACTTATTTTAGCAAATATGAGTAATATTTACATACAAGAACCGCCTACCCACGGCAAGGTGATAAATCATTGAAAATGTTTTGACTTAACCTTCTTATGTTTGCACCCAACTTCTGCTTACTGTTAGTTTTGTTCCTTGCAGGTACTTCTAAAGACTACTGTGGGTGAAATCGACATAGAATTATGGGGCAAGGAAACACCCAAAGCTTGTCGTAATTTTGTGCAGCTTTGTCTAGAGGGCTACTACGATGGCACTATTTTCCATCGTGTTGTTAAAGGTTTTATCGCTCAAGGAGGAGATCCGACAGGGACAGGAACAGGTATGTACCTTTTCATTATGTTACATTTTTGTGCCCTGCCAAAAATATTTTCTTAGTTTTCTCTTTTGGTTTTCAGGAGGAGAATCAATTTATGGACATACATTCAAAGATGAGTTCCATTCAAGACTTAGGTTTATCCGAAGAGGATTGGTGGCTATGGCAAATGCAGGGAAAGATGACAATGCTTCACAATTTTTCTTTACCTTTGGAGCCACACCAGAACTTCAAAACAAACACACTATCTTTGGGAAGGTACAAATTTCTTTCCTTCACAGTTAGTGAAAATAAGAATGTTAAAATATGAAGCATCACCAAATTTATTTTGCTTTCATAGATCACCGGTGAAACCGTCTTTAATATGATGAAGTTAGAAGATGCTTTGGTAGATCGTGATGACCGCCCACAATACCCTCATAAAATAATCAGCACAGAAGTGTTATTTAATCCATTTCCAGATATTGTTCCTAGAGTACTCCCAAAGCAGAAGGTATTTGTTGATTTATCTTTGTCTGTTAGTTGCATTTAATGTAACCAAGGAATAAAACTTGTTATCTTAATTTAACTATAATTAGGAGAAAAAGCAGTCAAAAAAGAAAGAGAAGCAAGTTGGAGTCAAAAACTTTAAGCTCCTCTCATTTGGAGAGGAGGCTGAAGAGGATGAAGAGCAAGTTACTAGTGTCAACGAAAAATATAGTGGAAAGGGCAAATCCACTCATGATGTCTTAGATGATCCAAGCTTGAGTTCTGTTCCTGCTGTTGAATCAAAAAGTGTCAAAAATAAATCGGGGTCTGATTCCGAGGCCCTGAGTGGAGACCAGCAAAGCTCAGATAGCGACAGTGATGGTCCTGAAAAGATGTAAGACTGTCTTTTTTGTTTTGCCCGTCATATTCTAAATAATTCTAAAGTTATTAATTCCTCACTGAAATTTACAGGAAGAATGTGGAAGCTGTGAAAAATAAACTTAAAACGATTGGTGGAAAATCAACTGCTCCCAAAGAAGCTGGCAGTGACAGTGAGGAAGAATTTTCCCTGTCAAAAGAACGAAGAGAAGAGCGAAAGAGAAAAGTGTCAGTACAATGAATTGCAATTTTTAGAACTCCCTAGTTTTGTTCATTGCTTGAAAATAAATGCAACTTTTACTTGCAGGGAAAGCATTAGAAAGGAAATAGATAGTTTGAAAAAGAGTTATAGAGATGATAAAAAGCGTTCGAAAGTTGAAGTGGAATCTTTGGATAAGAAGTCAACTTCAAAGAGTTCGTCCAGCCAAGAAAATAATGCTCTATTTGTTGCTCATGAAGAGGAAGTGAAGAAGTTTAAAGAGAAGACAAATTTTCCCAAGAAAGGTTGCCAATTATTTTTTTTTTTAAGTTTGTGTTTTTATATCATAAAAGGAAATGTCTTAATAGTTGTTTCCTGTACAGGTGCTTCTAGAGAAAGTTTCACTTTGGGTCTCCTGGATAAGTTTAAGAAAAAGCTCCAAGCTGCAAAGGAAAAGGCTGAAACTGAGGGAGGAGAAGCTGAAGATAACCCTAGTGATGAAGATGACACAAGTGACAAGTGGTGAGTTGGTTCGCTGACAGAATTTTTTATCTTGTTCATTCAACAGAATTTTGAAAATTAATGCTTCTTTTGTAGGATGGTGCACAAGTTGAATTTCAAGACAGACACGCCTGTACTTGCAAGGGATGCAAATACAAAGGATGACGATTGGTATGAGATTCATGATCCTAGAAGCAAAATAAACCAGCAAAAGAGAGAAATTAGTAAGTCTCTGATGCAAAAGAAGGATAAAGGGGGTAAATGATTTATAGTCAAATCAACTTTTACTGTAAATTAAAAAAAAATTTATTGATTGATGATGGTACAGTTGAAATTAATTTTAAATACTTACAATAATAAATTATGTAATTCCTTATCATATGAATTTCATTTTTTTTTGTTTACGTAGTACTATACAAGCTGACAATCACTGGACCGGTTTCTTCACATTTAATAAAATTATCACCATTCAGTGTCACTTAATTTTTAGTAGGAAGGAAACAAAACAAGATAAAACGTTAAAATATCCCAATGTCTGTGGTTTGTGAACAGAGATAATTCTATTGAAATGTGTTCTGCTCCACACTTGTCCAATTAAAAAGAACTCACAATAGAATCACTCACACATCACATTGTTACCAAAGACTTAAGTAACAGGACACAAAATTCCTGCAAGATCTTCAGATGTGACTTAAAATATAAATTTATCTTCAACCAAGTCCCATAATACCCTGCAGAAATTCAGATCCTCAACTTGAATTGTCCTAATTTGCCTTTCCTTGAGTAAGCACACCCATGGGATCCCAAGGTGGCAAAACTCGAGGTGTTTTTTCATACACAGCCAACACTTCCGCAGAGAGGTACTTCTTGTCGATTGTCACCTCAAACACATACTGACGGAACCATTCAGCACTCATCGTTATGTAACCCTTGTCACATCTGTCTTCTCCCCAAGAGTTCTGTACTCTCCATTTGGTGGGACGGCCTTCACTCTAAACATTTTGATCAAAATTCATGTTAGTCACAACACATAAGAAATAAAATACTATCATTAAAAAATACAGCATAAAAAAAATTTAAAATCTTACATCAAGGGAAACTCCTGTTATGACCATGGCATGAGTCATGGCTGAATCATGGTACAAAATGCGTTCTTCCCTCGTGAGAGGAAGTGAAACATCAGTGCCTAGAAGTACTTCATAGTCATGCCTATAAACAACAACAAAAAATATTTCAATATTGATAGAAAGGCACTTACTTAATGTTAGCCATATCAAACATACTTACACATCCAAGTCGCTAACTCCCAACTTAAGGGCAAATCGTTTCAAGACTTCACATCCAAACCACACAGCTTCACCTTGTTTAATGCTTTCAGCTACAGCTTGTTCAAGAATTTCTATAGGCTGGTTGTTGTAAAGAACAGGTTTGCCACCAACAACATTGTTCAAAAACCGTACCTTATACAGTTGGTTGTAGGGGTTTGTGTCTCTTGGATCTGTGACCAGGCAAACCTAATAAAAAATTAAGTGTAATGATTTACATGAAATTTTAATGTCATGCAACAAAATTCATTTATTTCTAAACAACCCTGTGCTAACCTTTTCTTTCACGTCAAATAGAGAACGCACATGCTGCTCATAAAACTCCAATGGTGTTATGGGTCCTAGAGATGCATAGGTATTTTTGTTCTGGTAGTACTCCCAAGTGAAGGTGGTTGGAGGCACACCAAGACAGATCCCAACAATGCGGTGAATAGTGGTCATCTGGCGGTTGAGAAGTTGCTGAAGTGAAGGTTTGTCTGCACCTTGTGCCGCAGCTTGTCTAATTTCTTTGGCATATTCCCTCAACTGCAAAATAAGATAAAAATATGAGTGACAAAATTATCTTAATGTAAAGAAATATTAACAGGAAATCAGCATTACAAACCTTGCTTTTCAGGATGTTATTCATGCGAACAGAACATTCTGCACTGAAGCTTTCTGGGAAACATTTTTTAGGCATGAGCCCATACTTGGTGATGAGATTTACCATCATGTCCCATTGGCCTCCATCATTAATTGGGTCCTTAAAAAGAAGGGAGAATGTTATGAACCAGCTCATTTGGGAATGACTTTTTTAAGAGTAAAATACATGATAGTTATAAAACTCACAGACAGGAGAAAGCAAACAGTTCTATCATCAATAGGATAATTAGCAGTTTGAATGATGCTATGAAGAAAGTGGTTGCTCCTTTCGACCTGAAACATTAACATCATGTCCAGAAATTCTCGATACGAAATTAAATGACCAAGTTTCAAGCTTTTGGGAAAATTATTTACCTTGTCCCAAAAGAAGAGATGTGCTTGGGAGAATTCAAACTCCGTAAGATTGAAGGCATTCATAAATGGGATCCTAATGGCATTCAAACAAGCATATAACCAGCACTGCCCACTGTTTTTCTGGTTTGTCACAGGCTTACCCTCCACTTCCACCTGAAATGAACAGTTTTGGTAATAAACAAATAAGAGACTTAATAAATCATGGGGAAAAAAAACAGCATTAGAAATCTTTAAATACCTTGTGAGTGAAAACATTATTTATTTCTGAAACTTTTCTTCTGCTGATGGCCAGTTCCAACGGATCATGGCGAGTACAGACATTTTGGGCCAGAATGTTCTTAGGATCGCTGTAGAAGTTCTGGTTTAATTCCTTCACAAGATTGTCATCTATAACAACTGGAAGAAATAAATCAAAGAAGTTAGTTTGACACAACAATTTGAAATTTTAATTTGATGACTATGGTAAAAGGTATACATACGGTAAGGCCCAGGTGCTGGGGCTTTTCCAGACGGGTAGCTGCCATCATCGTACTCCAAACATCCATCGGCATTGTAGCTCATCATTATGCCTAGTAAAACAAAGAAACTTATAAATGAAACAGGTGACAGGAGAAAGCTTTTGACCTATGTTGGGACTGATTCGTCAGTCGATTTTGTAAAACGGGTTTTATTCGAAAAAAATTCTAGAAAGCAGGAAACCTAAATCACAAAATCGTTTTGAAATCTCCTTTTTCCATTGGAAATCTGTCTAATGTAGCAAGAGAAGTTAGGTTATGCAGGATTGCATTGGTTCGCGGTACTAAAAATGTTCCACACGGCCAGCAAAAAGATAAAGAAACGCATGATGCGTGCGGTTTACACTGGCGCAAAAGCCCAGCGGACGGTCGGCGATGGCGATTCCATCTCAAAACACCTGTCGTAGTGACAAATATAGCTCAGTCACCGCTACCTTTACCGATACAGCTGACCGTCAATCAAAACATCAAACTTTTCCGGGGATTGTAACCTATCAGGCCGCCGCCTTCCGGCGCAGCTCTGTTAGTTGTACGAACCATGTTCACTCATTCTGAAAGTGAGGGAGTTTCTAAACAAAGCGACGAGTAGATTGAAATTTCAACAGGATCAATGGAGATCCTGCAAGCCGTCTGCAGTCTTGTTGGCAGCAGAATGGAGATTCCCCCCACCCCCCTCCTCCTGGTTTCCCCCCTCCCCCTCCCCTCCCAGGATGCAGGCAGGGTGCGGGTGCAGGGCAGGGATGATGCACGACCGCGATCTGTTGACCTCGGGCAGCCGTGTTGACCTCGGGCAGCCGAGCAAGAGGAGAACAATACCAGCCACACCCAGAATAAAATTTGAAAACAACTTCAATTAACCAAAATACATTCACTTTTTAATTACGCACATAAAATTTCACAGTATTGTTCAACTATCTTCCAAAAATTCTTTGTCCATTTTTTCAAACTTTTGAACAAGATCTTCTGGCACCTCAACAGAGTGTAAATTGTCTTCACCAATTTCTTCCTCTTTCCTGAAAAACAAACAAAAATGTATTCCATATGTCCCAGGGCTCGTGATCACGATTATCACCAAGTAAATACCAACCTGATGAGCAGATCGACCAAGTTTTCACATGCCAGTAGCACTTGACGGTCTTTCTCCCATTTATGAAGTTCTCTTAAAATGATATACACATTATGATCTCTCATATATTCTCGATGAACTTTAGTGGCACAAAGTTGCTCTAAGGCCTCTAGTAACATTCTTCGTATATCAGGGTCATTCTCTCTCTTTTTATCTTCAGGGAGCCACTGAAGATCAACTGGAAGTTTACTGTTATCTTCATCATCAAACTCTTCTGGACCAGCCAGAGGCAGCAGCAAATGTGGAAGAATATCAACATCTTCACCCAGAAGCCAGGAATGTTCGTCTGCAGCAGAAAAAATTATGGGAGATGCAGAAGATTATCTTAAGAATTAATGCGTATTTTTATTGGTTTAGTTGAATTAAAATCACAAACCAAGATCAAAACAGCAATTTCTCAAACACCCTACAACACCACCTCGACGCACAAGAGAATCTTGATATTCTGTGAATGGGATAAGCCGATGAATAACTTTTTTTTCGTGATTTAAAATGTACCTAAAAGATATAGAGGAGGTAATTATTATGACTCAAATATATTGAGGGTAAGGGCAGAAGTTCTCGTAATAAGATTGGTATACTTGCCTTCGTACAATGGGAAGCTGGCTTAAGTTACTAAGAAGAGGTCCTAAATAATGTAAGGAGGCTCCAACATTGTTATATTTAGTGGCAGTGAGAGCTCCCAAGAGTCGCTCCAGGAGTTCATTTACCTTAGTCTCATCATAAGTATCATCTCCATCATCCCGTACCATAAGAGCCAGGACTTTGCCAGTCAATTGGGATGGACGGGTGACATTAGACAAAACCATAAGAGCAGGGTCAGCCAGAGGGGATTCACGGTCAAGGGCTAATTCTACCATCTGACCAACAAACTCCAGTCGTTCGGATCTAATATGCTGAGAACACAGAGACAAACAATTAAAATACTGTGCAAATCATGAAATGATAATTTAAATTTTAACTAAGTCATACCTCATCAGAGAGAATTGCTAGAGCTCCTTCTTCGTCCGCAGACAAATTTACCAGAGCAAGACAAGCATCTCGAGCCACTCCAGGCACTTTGTCACCAGTTAATTTTGTCAAATGCTGTAATACCTTTAACTCTTTGTGCAGGAGAGTTCGACCTTCTTCCTTTCCTGTCATGCCTGAAATGTGATTAAAAGGACAGAGGGTTAATCTCGACAAATAATCAACACAAACATGCTATCGAAATGGTGTTTACTATGAGTGAAAGGACACTGAGGTTAATTTCACAAAAAGAAGACAATAAATGGCGACTTACCCAATACTTGTTCTACAGCAAGGACTTTCAGATCCAAACGTGTTTCAGGGGTGAGAAACTGAAGAAATTCTTCTAAAGATTCCATTTTAAAGGGAGTGTAACGTCTTGTCGTCTGAAGAGAGTTTACCACGTGCAAAAGGGGTTGTGTATGAGAAATTTATGTTCTGCAACAACAGTAGTTTTGTTTCTCATACTAAGCGCGAAGCGCGAAGATAAGTTTTCAATTTTGAATTGCTGTCAAATGCAGTCAGAAGCAGTCATGGAATTTTCTGAGCTGTTTCATGGAAATAACTGTACGTTTTCTCCCTGTGGGAGATTCCTCGCTTGTATTTGTGGAGACTTTGTGGAAATAAGATATTCCGACACATTGTTAAAAGCATTCAAATTTGAATGTGGTGGTGTTGTAAAGGTTAGTTTAGTATATAACTGCTTAATTATGTCCTATTGGTGACAACTGCCTTGAATCAAACTAAATTTTATCCTTTCCATAGGGTGTTTCATGGTCTTGTGACTCAGTACTGCTGATATGCCGTGTTGGTGCTTTGACCCTGAAAATATTCAGTTTACGTGATGGCACCTGTATTGCATCTCTGAAGCAATCCACCGGTAATCTAAGGCAAATCAGATGGGCTTTTGATGGGAGAACTGTGTTATACTTAGAGCCTCTACTGGTCAGTTCTTGAAATAGATTGTATTGCAGGTTGTTACTGTGGTTTCAGATTATTTTATTGTTTTTTCTGTTTTACAGTTTCGTGTTTCTGTTTGGAAAATATGTGATCAGTATGGTCAACTTGGTCTGGACTTCATTGACAATGTGCAACCGTGGGCAAAGCCAAGTTATGCATTAAGTTTAAATGGAAAACATTTAGCTGTAGTATCTTCTGGTATAATGCATTCTATAGAGTCTACTAATTTGAACGAAGCGGGTCTCGCAAAAGCAGATGACATAGCTATTTTTTCTGCTATTTCTTGGAGAATAGAAAAGGTACTTGATAATATTTCACACCATTTCTAAAATTTTCGTGTTAATAAATCTTATATTTTGTTTGTTTCAGAGAATTTCATGCAATGGAATTCATAGGGTAGGGGGAATAGTATGGAATCCTAATAGTAACTTTATTGTGGCTTGGCCACATGACCCTCCTGATCCAGTGCTCATCATCTGTGTCCGTTCAGGCACTATCATAAATAGCTGGAAGTCCTCTGACAAATTATGGCCTGGAGTTTGCAGAGTGGACATCTCTCCCTCTGCTCAGTTCATGACAGTCACAAGTAGGAATAGTAAAGTATGTTAGAGCTCTCAGATGGTTTGGCCTAGGCTTTTCTGTTTGCATTGTGCTAATTTGCCATTTCCCATCCAGGTTCATATTATTAATTGTGTTGCGTGGTGTGAAGAATTGGAACTATTGCATGATCCCTCCATATCAGATTCAAAATGCCTTGTGTACAAACAAGCAAATGAATTGGACAACCCCCTATGTGAGCACATTTTGCATGTTCCAGTGTATTCTAAAATATTTATTTCGCTTGTTGAATTATGAACAATTCTTTTCTTCTTTTTTCCCAGTTTTAAAAGTGACAGATCGACCTGTTAGTATTTCATTCTTGTCAAGTCTTGCTAAGACCAGGAGAAAGTCAACTATTTCTTGGAGTAGTGGAGGACGATATTTGGCGTCATGCATCACTCTTGCTCCAGCTGTCATTTGGATTTGGAGTACAGCACATTCCTTCCATTTGAGCTGCATAATAGTTACAAAGCATCCTGTTCAAGGTAAGAGTGCTTTTTATCCATTATTAGAATACAGTACATTTCAATGGTAACATTTTTGCTTTTTAATGCAGATTTTTGCTGGGACCCCGTATGTAATGTTTTGGCTGTCGTTGATGGCCAAGATTCTGTCGTTCTGTGGAATGCTGACGAAGCCAAGCTATCATGCTCATCCATATGTACACCCGTCACAAAAATGCTATTTCAAGCAAATCATTTGAACTGGCGTCATGATGGGAAGATGCTTGTCACATCTTCTGAACAAAGTTCTTCTGTCCTAGAGTTACCTTAGTCTAGTTGCATGCAAAATTCATCTGTTCCTGAAGTTTTGATTAAAGATGTTTTATATTGTTTGGAGAGTTGAAACTCGTCGTGGTTCATTTCTTTTTCCTACCAAGACATCCAAAAGCTCGGGCCGTGCCACGCCGCGACACGTGTCGTCAGGAGTAGAAGCCTGTGCTACCAGGGAATGCCACGGGAGGCTGAGGTGTGTGTGTGTGTGTGTGTGTGTCTATGTTTGTTGGTGGGGTGGGCGGCGCTTACGTGGAGCTCGGTGGGGGGTCAAGGCCTGGGCACGCGTGGCGGTTAGGGACCCCTTTGTGGTTCGAGGGCCGATTCCAAGTGAAGGGATCAACTATTTGCAGCTCGGAAAGGAAAAGGGGAGGGGGGGGGGGGTCACGTCCTGTCATGTGTTGCGGGGCATATCGACCAGGCCCTGTGTCTGTGTGCGTGCCAGTGTGTGCGTGCGACACCGCTCGCCCGCATGGTTTACACACACACGCACACTAATGAGTCCACACCTGTCGTCGGCGAGGCGGGCGTTTGTCAAACGAGGTGGGAGGGGGGCTTTGAGACGGCCGCGGAGGCAGAAGAAACGAGGTTAGTCGCCCTGGAAATGGCCGCCACGGCCAGCCACGGTGCGTAGTGCCCTTGCGGAGCCCTTGCAGGGGTGAGGCCTGTGAGGCCTGTGAGCCCCGAGGGGGGGTCTCTAGTGATGACGCAGCGGCGGCGCGGCGGCTCAAGCCCAGCCCGGCCCAGCCACCCCCAGCGGGGCGCATGCGCGACAGGCGCGGACCGCCCGCGACCGCCTGGATAGGCAGGGGAGGGATGGAGTGGGGTGGAGGCCCCACGCGCCGCCACGCCCCGCCACCGCTTCGTTCTTCGTACACTAGGCCCCGTGGTGTTCGGGCTGGGCTGGCTGGGCGGGCGCAGGCTAGCCTCGCAGCACCGCGCAGCCTCGCCAGTGTCGCTCGGCCAGGGCAGGGATGCGGGCACAGAGCAGTGCCGCCCCCAACAACGAGCAGTGTCACAGTGACGGCGACGTGACGGCCATGCTGCAGTGAGCTGCCCGTCGCGCGACTGGACTGACATCGCCTCGGACCGCGTGACGAACCTCGTGACAACCTTCGTCACCACCGCGCCGCCGTCGCCACCAGCCCGCAACATGGGGGACGCATCACCAGGTACGACACAGGGCCGAGGCCCCAACGTCAACACAAACACACACACGCACATACGGCGCCACTGTCACGCGCTGCCAACGTGCGCACGCCAACACGCGCCGCATATGTGGACCGCGTGCACGCGACACGCCTGCCAACTGCAGCGACCTGGGTCTGGGGCGGCCAGGGGCCACTGCAGCGCGACGCGGCGACCGCCGACTGCAATATGGTGCCGTTGGCCACCATGCCCCCTCCTCGGCCTAAGTCTAATCACAGGGGAGGAGGGGGCCGTCTTGGCCGACTTGGCCTGGCGTAGGCTCGGCGTCCGTATGGCGCGGCGGCCGAGGCGGCCGAGGCCCCCGTCCTGGCCGATAGGGTGCTTATCCTGGGCCGGGGGGCCGGAAGCAGCCTCCCACTCCCGCCTTCGCCTTTCGCCTTCGCAGTGGAGGTTGCTTCGCCTCCGCCGCCTTCCAACGTCCCCGTCGAACGGCGAACGGCGCCGACCAACAAGTCGCCAACCAGGCGGTGGGGGCTGCAAGGGCTGGAAGGGCTGGAAGCCTTGACTTTGTAGGACTGCGGGAATAAAGCCGCCCACCCCCACCGCCCTGGCGCCCTGGCCGTCAAGTATTTGTCAACGCTTTCACGGCCAAGGGCTTCGCGCCGCGCCATAGGCTTCGCGCTGGGCGGGCTGCTCGCGCCGGGGTCTTTACTAATGCCGAGCACACCGCCACACCGCACCGCTGCCCTGTCGGCCTGTCCTCGCGGCTCCGGTCGGTTATCGACTGGCTTTCACGTCGGCCACCCTGCCCTGCCTTGCCCTGCTGACCGCCACAAACAGAAAGCAATTTCCCCGAGTGTACGTCTGTCAGTTTGTTCCTGGCCTTACGCTGGTTGGCTGTCAAATGCCGCTGCACGGCGGTGGCGGACTGGCGGCGTGGGTGCGCGACAGTGTCGTGGCGCGGCGCGGGGTTTTGATCTGGCCAGGTGGCGACACGGTGACGGCGCGGCCCAGAGATTAGTTTTGGAGTTGTGAGATTAACCTCCGCCCCGCCCCACCCCTCACCCCTGTCTCCGCGACACTCACTGCTGCTCGGCGCGGACGGAGCGGACGCCGTCAGCTCGTCGGCTCCAGCCTCCAGCATGCTCCGCTTCGAGGCCTTCCAGGCCGGGGCGATCCCTGATGCCTCACTAACTGGCACCACCACCACTGCCGCCGGCTCGCAGTCCTCCCAGTGTGCCAGTGCCTGTGTGGGGGCCCGGCAGCGCGTTTCCATAGCTACGCCGATGCCGGTGGAGGGGGTGCCCCGCTGGGCCCTGGCCGCCCTGGCCGCCCCGGCCACGCCCATGACGAGTCTAGGAGGTGAGGAGCCAAGCGGCGTAGCGGCGCAGCCATGGCGTGGCCGAGCCAGAGCCAGAGCCAGATCCCTCGGCCGCCAGGTCGCCTCCCCCCGGCCCGGCCCGGCACGCTTATCTCGCTGGCGAGGCGGCGAGGCGTGGGGCCCTACAGTGGCGTGGCACGGCGCGGCGCCAAGCGGCAACCGCCTGCCAACCGGCGGGTAGGCAACGCGGCGGCATCGGTGCTCGGCGGGGTGCCTACCCGGTGCCGCGCGGGCGCTCCCTCTGCCCCGCCGTCCCGCCTGCTGCTGGTCCTGCAGCCTGATTCCGACAGTCGTTTACGTCGCTGTCTCTCTCGCACTCCATGGGGGTCCCGCACGGGTGCGAGAGAGACAGAGCGACGAAAGCGACTCTCGGAATCGGCCTGCTGCTCTGCTCCGTGTCTGGTCGCTGCCTCCGCTTCCCGCCTCCCTTTGGGATGACAGGGCCGCTTCCCGGTCCCCGCTGATGGGATTTCGCCGGGACGTCATCCGGGACCGGGACGTCCCCGTCGCATCATCGGCACCAGCGAGAGCGGCGAGGGCCTCAGCGCCAGAGTTGACGGACGCGATAAATAAAAACGAAATAAAAGGAGGTAAAAAAAATAAAATGCCGAGCCAGTCTTGATGGCTTTTGCGCGGCTCGCGTTCGCAGGGCTAAAAGGAAAAGAGGACGAAGCGTGTCCGGAAAGATGGAAAAAGGGGGGGGGGGTTCGATCGCGTGCGCTTCGGTTATGGAGTGGCGTCTGGTTCACTCGTGTCGCGTTATGTATGAGCGAGGAGACATTCGGGCGCGGCGGCCGGGTACGGCCCTGCCGAGCGCTTCAGGAGAGTCGCCCCTGTCTCTGTCGCACTCGCGGGGCTCTCCATGAGTGCGAGAGAGAGAGAGAGAGAGAGAGAGAGAGAGAGAGAGAGAGAGAGAGAGAGAGAGAGAGAGAGAGAGAGACCTCCGGGGCGTCGACCGACACGTCGACCGACACACGCAGGATTACTGCCTCGCCCCGTCTGTTGTCTGTCCCCACCGCGACGCGGCTGGCCCTTATCCCACCCCAGACTGGCGGCCCGATACGTACCTGGCCCGACTGGCCCAATGGCGCTGTCGCGCAGAACAGAAGAACTGAAGACGGGAGGAGGGGCTCGCTGGCCCATCCATATTCATGCGGGCTGCGATGGCTGAAGTGTAAGGCGCCGGCGCCGCGGTCTGAACGCGCGTGGCGGCGCGTGGCGTCGCCAACGGGATTAGTGGAACGCCCGCACCGCATGCAGCGGGCTCATTCCGAGCACCGCTTCCGACGCCGTCGCTCTCGCACCCTCGAACGCAACGCCCTGCGAGTGCGAGAAGGGCAGAGCGACTCCTCGGAAGCAGCCTGCGGAAGTGGCGTACCGCGCCGAGCGCCAACGCCAAGCCCCGCCTCGTTCCTGGGTCCTCGTCGCGGCCAACGGCGCGGCCAACGGCACCGTAAAGCCCTCTCAATCCGCCGCTATCGCTCTGCGCGCTCCTCGCGCTCTGCGGCGTCCCCGCTCGCCGTTCCCACCCAGCTCCTCGGGGCTCTAGGCTCCCACCTGGAGCACTCGAAAGGCTCGGCCAGCGCCACGCTAGCGCCCCGCTAGCGCCGGCAGGCAGGCAACATTGTAGCGCGGGCGCGCGGCGGGCGGCCTATGCCGCCGAAGACAGGGGCTCTCCGTTCCGCCTCGTTCCGCTCCGCTCTCCACCCTCCCCTTCCCCGCTCGCGGTCGACGCGTGCGGCGGCCCATGCCGGTCGCCGCGGCCAGCAAACGGGCCATTTGGAACGCAAACCTGGCGAACAAAAAGTCTGACTCGGCCCACAAAAAAAGGGCAGGCAGTTGCCTCCGCCGGTGGTGAGGCCTTTGCCGCGAGGCCTTCGCCGTCAACCCCCGGGCGAGAGAGGCGCTCCGCAGCGCTTGTTTTTCTCACCGCAGCGGTCCCCCTCCCCCTCCCCTCTTTTCCCTCTCGTCGTCTCTTTCTCGGCCCGGCAATGCAGCCCCGCGCACGGCGCAGCGCCCTGCCATCGGCCCCGCCCTCCGCGCGCTGGCTCGGCCTGGCTCGGCCTAAGCCCTGATTAAAATTTGGGCCCGGTGGCGCGATTAGGCTAGGGCCTTGCGACGTCTCCATCCAAGCCTGATTGCCAAGGCTTGGGCGAGGCCGAGGGAAGGGGAGGGAACGGAAGGGGACGTCGAGATGGCGATTAACAGGCACGACGTTATCCCTGCCCGCTCCCAGGCCCAATCCCGTCCTTCCTCCTCATGTCCCGCCCGCAGCGCGCCGCGGCTGCAGCGGCCTGACTTCGTTTCGGCCCCCGGCAGCGCGGCGCTGTCGTCGACGTCGCCGGCAACGGCCTCGCTTCGGCGCGAACCACAATGGCCGGCCGGCGGGTGTGCCTCCACACCACGCGGGGGAAGGAACTTTGGCACCGCCTCTCACTCGCCATTCGCCGCGCGACCGAGCGAGGGAAGGAGAAAGAGAAAGAGAAAGATGTGACTGCCGATGAGAGGGCGCCAGGTTGCCTGCGGGGTCGCCTCGCCTCGCCTCGTCGGGTACCAGGTGCAGCGGCACGGCGGTCTCCTCGGGATTACCTCACCTGATGCTGCCGGAGCATTACGACTATTTATCCCCAGGGCCGCGCCCCGCCCCGCCCCGCCCGCCGCCCGCCGCCCGCCCCGCCCCGCCCCCCCGCCCCGCCCGCGCCCCGCCCGCCCCGCCCCGCCCCGTGCGGGCCGCTGCCTCCGAAACTCAGAGAAATAATAACGACAGCCCCGGCTGGCGAGCCAGCAGTGTTTTTGTTGGTGGACTCGTTTTTTTGCAGCTTTATCCTCGCAGATTAGAAACTGAACTCGTGGCTCCTGGCTGGCTTGCTGGCCGGGCAGGCTGGCCAACAGAATGAGAGGAAAAGTTGACTCGCTTCGGCGGAGTTTGTCCTCAACAGCGAAGCAATTCATTTGCGCGCCGAGCTGGCGGCCGTGGCGGGGCCCTGGCGGCCACCGTCACACTCAATCTCGCTAAATCCCCTTACCGGCGAGGTGACTCATTAACGCGCTTCTCTCTCTCGTGTTTCAGACAAGAACTTCAAGAAAAAGCTGATCGACAATGTCAAGAAAGAGGTAAGTGGAATCGACGGGCCCGGAAAGTGAAGGACGTACGGACGATTTTAATTTGGTTTTTGTTCTTTTCCTGGAGGGAGGGAGGGCTTATTGTTCTTAGTTTGGGCCCCCCGGTCCGCAGCTCGCCGTGAGCGCTCCCCTTATTCTGCTAATCAGCAAATTGTCGGCTAATGAAGGCCTTGACGCCTGGCCGCGTTTATTTGCCGGGGGACTCGGGACTCGAGGCATTGCCAGCCATGCCCAGCCACGCCGAGGGCGGCGGGCGAGGCGGGGCCCCGCGGGGAAGCGAGGCACACAAGAAACGGGGATGCGGGGCGAAGACAGGGAACGACGGGAAGCGGGGCCGGCATAGGGGCCTGTCCCGCGGGATCCTGCTCGACGGCCTGGACGGCCGTGTCCGCCGTGTCCGCCCCGGGCTGGTGGCTCGGCCGGCTCTGCTGGGGTTCCTGCGGCTGCCTATGTTGGCGTGTCGTGGCGCGTTGACAGCTTGACGGCCTTGGCGGCCTTGACGGCCTCCTTGATCCCCGACCGCAGCAGCCCTTGGCGCGCCTTGGCGTTCGCCCGATGCCAGGCGGGCCTGGAAGTCGGACCGGCTGCCGCGTGCGCAATGTGTGTGTACCTCCGCGACGACCTTATCCTGTGTGTGCCCCCAGCCTCCAGCGTGGCGCGTTGGCGGTGTGGTTTCCGATTAGGACCTTGTCCGCTGGAAGGGGCGGGGCGGACCGAAATACGTCCCCGGCTGGAGGGCGGCGGGGCGGCAGTGCCGCGGCACGGCGTGGATGCCTGGCGCCCTCTCACGCATGCCATCGACGGCCTCGCTCGGCCTCGCCATACCGAAGTTGGGAGAGAAAATAAAAAGGAAATACTTACCAAAAAATGCACTTAAAAGTTAGTTCATTTCGTACAGGCCACGCCCACTCCATCCGAGGCGGGCACCGCTGGCGCCGGTTAACTGCTACCACAAGCTTTTTGCTTTCTCGGTGCGCGCGGTGGTGGTGGCGGCGGGTGGCGGTGCGTCGGCTGCAGGGCTGCCTCGGTCTCCCCGCGCAACAAATTGACGTGATGGATGACGTGGTCGACGTGGTACTGGCCCCGCCCACGGTCCATGGGAATCGATTTCTGCGGCCCGCGGTCCACGGAATTGGATTTCTCCAGCCTAAGCCCCTCTGCAGCCCATCGATGTATCGCCCTGCCGCTCTCCCAACCCGATCGCGTCGAAGCTGTATCTGCCGCCGTTCTCTCTGCGCCCCGCGTGTAGTGTAGTGTAGTGGTTGTTGTTTCAGTATTGGGAGGCAGCGCCTAGAATTCGCGATAAAAAAATTACTCACGAAAAACGCTTTTGCGCGCGCCCGCGCGTGGCCTCGAAAGTAGAGGCAGGAGCGGCGCTGCTGTGCAAACTCCAACAGCAGCGCGTCTCGAGGCCATCCCTGTGAATTCCGGCCGGGCCAGAGTCAGACCGCCGGGCGCCCTTCCCCCCCCTCCCCGCCCCGCCCCTCCCCGCCCCGCCCCGCCTCGGCGCGTTTGAAGTGGCATAGCGCGGCCGGCCGCCGGGGCGGTGGCGGTCCAGACTACACCGCCGCACTCCTCTTATTCACCCCACCTGCTGAGCCAGCGGCGGCCTGCAACGGAGCGCATTCTCTCGCTCTCTCTCTTTCACACACATACTCAGACATAAACGCACACACACGAGCCCTGCGCCGAAATTGAACGCGGTGGAATTTAATGCCGCCCCTCGGGCTGTGGCTGTGTTTCCCCTTCCCTCCGGTCCGCTTCTATTTCCGCATTCTCGCCCCCGTACTTCACTACCCGCACCCGCTCCGCCGCCCCGCCGTCCGGCCGCCTGCCTGACTGCTGTGCGAATGCGGGACCCCCTGTAGTCCTCCGAGAATGCTTGCCTTGCCAGCCTGGCGCCACGGGGCGCCTCGTGAGTGCGAGAAAGGAGACGGGCTCACGAAAGCGCCTCCGTCGACTGAGCCTGTTGACGCCGTGGCCGCCATGGCCGCCCGCCGTGCGCGTGAGTGGAGCAGTGCCCCGTGTCCGCGGCATCCGCGCAGTCCGCGGGTTGCATAAGGCTGCGGCGCCGCGGCGTGGTGACGTCAGAGCAGACTGTCCGGCCTCTGGACCTGGCCGGCCATCCAGAAGAACGGAGAAAACGGGGAGAAATTGCGGCCGCTCTGCGTGCCGCTTGGCGCGCCGCGTGGAGGCGCCGCCGCCCCGGCAGGGGGAGGGGAGGGGAGGGAGGGGGAGGGGGAGGGGGAGGGGGAGGGGGAGGGGGAGGGGGAGGGCGTGGCGGCGTGGCGACGGGGGCGGAGGGGCGGCTTCTCGCGGCGCTGTCTCTGTGTCTGACGGCTCTGACGGCCACATTGTGGCGGTCTGGCGGCTTGGCGTGCCGCGATGTGTGCCGCGATGCCGGCCGACAGCTCGACGGCCTTCTCGGCGGCCTTCTCGGCGGCCTTCTCGGTGGCGCGCGGCGCGCAGCGGGGCCCGCTCTCAAGTGGCCGCCTCGCCGCCTCCGCCTCGCCACCGCGTCTCATTGTTCTGGACTTCGGCGTCGTCGCCGGCCTCGCTGGCCTCCTCGCCTCCCCCAGCCGCCCGCCCGATCCGATTTGTGGCCGTGGAGGGTAACTTTGGCCAACTATGTCGCACGGAGCACGTGAAGCAGGCCGCCGCCATGGTGCCTGCGGTCGGAGCCGCCGCCCCGCCACTCCGCCCCGCCCCGGCGGCGTGTTGACTGAGACAGCGAACCCGCGGCTTATTTTGCTTGTTTCAACAAAAAGTTTGCTGTGGGTATTATTGGCGAGCGAGGCAGCGGATGGCGGCTCGACTCTCGCCGCACTGGAGCCATTACCGTTACGGCCTGGAAGAGAGAGAGAGAGAGAGAGAGAGAGAGAGAGAGAGAGAGAGAGAGAGAGAGAGAGAGAGAGAGAGAGAGAGAGAGAGAGAGAGAGGGGCGGTGCATCGCGTATTGGATGTTGTTCATTAGTCGCTGGCAGGCAGAGCCGTTGCAACCCACCCGCCCGTCCCGCCCGAACCCCAGACAGCACTCCCAATAAATAAGTGCCCCGCTTTTTACCCGGCCGTGCAGAGAGCGCTGATGAAAGGCGCCGCCAACCTCATTTCTCTTTTTTCCCATCCCCCTCTCTCTCTTTTTGTATGATTTCGAAGCACGCCCGCCGCACAGTACCCGACGCCGCAGCCGCTGGAGCGGGCAAGGCTGGCAAGGCACAGTAGCGATTCGCTGGGCGTTTCGCTCGCCTCGCGCGAAAAAAAAATGAACCAAACAGGTCAGCTGTTGAGTGGCATCTCCCTTTTCTGAGTGGCCAGATGGCCAGACGGCGAGCAGAGTCGTCCCGGACGGGGAAACGTCGCAGAAAGGCGTTCTTGCCTCAATTGCGGCCCTCTGGTCCCGGCCCCGGTCGGCCCTCTCTCCGCTCCGGCATGATTAATGATCCAGGCTCCTAGCGCCCATTAATTCCCAGGCTCTTCCTTCGACATTTTCGCCAAGTTGTGCGGACGAACTACCCTCCTCCCCTTCCCCCGCTCTGCTGGCTCTGCTGGCTCCGCCACGCCATGGCCACGCCGCCGTAGCGAAGCGTCCGCACGGCTCCCACGGCGCTGCTGGACCTGGAGAGCGAGGGCCTGCCTAACGTCCTTACTGCGCTGCTCTGCCAGGCTCTGCCAGGCTCTGCCTGCTCCGCTGTCGTCCGGGGACACGCCGCTCATCGCGGTGCTGCTCCAAGGGGTGCTTTCCATAGCTTTCCATGTTTTCCATACTTTCCATGCTGCGCGAAGGAAAAACTTTTATTGCAGCCCGTCCGGCAGTGCTACTGCAGCATGACAGACTCGCCAGCAGGCGAGGCGGCTCTCGCTGTGCTCGCTGTCGTGTGTGGGATGGTGTACGCTACGTGGCATCCCACGTTTGTTTTTGCTTTTGCTGTTTTTTTTCTCAGTGCTTTTTTTTTGCTCGTTTGGACCCCCGTCGTCGTCGTCGTCGGTCACTCTTGTTTCTTTCTACTGCACGCGGCCTTCGTTTTGGTGGCGCACTGCCACCGCCTCCCGTCGGCGTGATCCGAATGCAGACCACAGAGAGGGGAGGGGTGGGGGAGGGGGAGGGGAGGGGGAGGGGAGGGGGCACCAAGCAAACCGGGGAGTGACTCGCTGCGGCTAACCCAGTAAACTGATCGGCGAGGCAGATTCACTTTGGATGAAAAGGCTGGTCGTTAGCGACGCCCCATTTCACGTTGTGAGCGGTTGTGCGTCAGCCACAACGAAGTTGGTTTCTCGCCGTCAACCAATACCTCTTCAATCGATCCATTTTCTTCTATGAATCGCTTTTAGTTGCGGCGCCCTGTTTTTTAAAAAATAAATAAGCTGAGCTCAAATGAAAAACCACTGGCGTCGAAGAACCATTTTGTTGATGTCAATGACATTGTCGTTCCCTGTGTTGGCTCTGACAGCAGACAGCAGCCATTATAGTATCTGCTGTTGCGTGTCTGGTCTGGTCTGCCCGTTGGCTTTCGAGTCTCAAGTTCGGTCCGTGCCGGCGGCGTGCCGGCGTGGGCGTGCGTGAGTCGCAAGTTGGCCGTCAGCCTCTGTTTGACTGACGCGGAGCCTCCCGGAGCCTGCAGGCTGATTCCGTGCGCGGCTCTCGTCGCTCTGTCTCTCTCCCGCTCTTACGGGACGCCCCATGAGTGTGAGAGAGACAGAACGTCTCGGCGCCTGTCGCAGAAACCGCTGCCGCTCCAAGAGCATGGCCATCACGACGGAGGACGTCGCCGAGGGACGCGAAACTCTGGCGGCGTGGCGGCGTGGCGGCATCGGGTGTCGCGTCGTCCTCCTCGTCCTCCTCGTCCCCGTCGTCCTCGTCCTCCGACTCACGGAACTCGAGGCCGGCGTGCCCGACCTCTTTGTAACGACAATAGCGGTCGATGCTTCCACGGCCACGGAAAAAAAAGGAAAAAGAAAAAAAAGTATATTGGAATTTGTTAGCATCGCTGCGCCCTGGAATTTCGGCAGGGTGGAAGTGTGTGTTGCCGACCGCGGAATCGCTCAAGACTTAAACAGTCAGGCTGCCCCCCCCCCACCCCGCCCCACCCCGCCACGCCCCGCCCCGCCCCGCCCCACCCCCGCCGCCACGCCAGCTTCAGCTCGCCCCGCTCCGTCCCGCCCGAGGCGACTGACAAGCTGTCTAATGAAGCGGGGCCGTGTGCCTGGGGGCTGCTGGGGCTGCTGCTGGTGGGGCTGCGTGACGCTGGCCTTGGCCGGCCCTGGCTCGCCTTATGGCTCCAGCCGGTAGAGTTCCAGTGGCTCCAGGGCGCCGCATCCCCACAGCCAAGCCGCCAAGGCCCGTGTGATCCGCGGCAGTGCTTCCTGGGGGCTTTTCCGCAGGGGGAGGCTTGTTCTGTCGTGGCGCCTTATCTGCTCCGTGTTCTTTACTGCGCCACTGCGCGGGTCTCTCCCTGTAAGTGTGTGTGTGTTTTTTTGTCTTTGCGTGCGTGCGTGACTGACTGCGGAGGAGTACCGTATCGTGCAGCACGCTTGAGTCGCCCTCTCGCGCGCTTCTTCGACTGCGCGCGCTGTGCACGGTCACAACGCTTTAACATTGGCCAGCGAAACGCAGTAAAACGGCTCTGATTGGCCCGAGGCAGCGGCCAGCCAGCAGCCAGCCAGCAGCCAGCCAGCAGCCGGAGGTCGGACGTGGCGCAGCCCGTCCGTCCGTCCGTCCGGGTGGAAGCGGCACACAATGGGCTGGTCTCCTCGAATCAGGCATTCGCCTCCATTGGCTTCGACTGCGCACGGCGCCACGCCACGCCACGCCGCGCCACGCCACGCCGCGCCACGCCACGCCGTCAAAGGCAAGCTCAATTAACTCGGGACGGCGCAACTTTGGCCTCCACGTGGACGAGCCGCAGCGGCCACGGCGCCGCGCTGGCGGAGCGCACGCCAACATGGCCAAAATGAACGCGAAGAAAGCAATTTATTTGCAAAGCGGAAAGTGTGGTCGACGAGGAAGGGGCGGCCTGGCGGCCCTGGCGGTCCTGGCGCCGCGTCGCGCGTCGCGCGCTGGGCGGCCAGGAAGGCGGGCAAGGCGGGCAAGGCGGGCAGGGAGGTAGTGGTGTGTTTGCACACGGCCCCGGGCCCCGGTCGCCCCGTGACGCGTCGCAAACAGAAACGGGGTGGGCGAGAATCGACCCCCTCACCTGAACGAGCGGAACGTTGTCGCCGCGCGGGAGGCAGTGAGCGTTGCAGCATCACGTGAGTGCGAGAGAGACGACAACGGGAGGTGAAGTAAAGGTCGCGCCTGGCCGGCGTCCGCGCGACACCCCGTCCGATAACGCGGCGCTTTTGTTTTTAGCCACATCGCCGTGCACGCTCCCCTCGCCCCCATTAGCGGTGTAGTGCCCTGGCTGGCGATGCCTCCCGTCTCTCCCTGCCTTTCGCCCGCCCCGCTCAGCCCCGAACCACGCCGCTGCCGCTCCTCGCGGCCCGCGAGTTAAAACGCGGCGCGGGCTGACAGACAGACAGGCAGCCTTGATGAAGACGAGGGAAGCGGCCCGAATTCCAGCGACGACGCGCAGCGTTTTGTTTTAATTTGCTCGCGAAGCCTTCGCACGCGCCCGCTGTGCCGCTGTGCCAGCCTCAAACAGCGAGGCTGTGCCAGCCTCAAACAGCGAGGCTGTGCCAGCCTCAAACAGCGAGGCTGTGCCAGCCTCAAACAGCGAGGCTGTGCCAGCCTCAAACAGCGAGGCTGTGCCAGCCTCAAACAGCGAGGCTGTGCCAGCCTCAAACAGCGAGGCTGTGCCAGCCTCAAACAGCGAGGCTGTGCCAGCCTCAAACAGCGAGGCTGTGCCAGCCTCAAACAGCGAGGCTGTGCCAGCCTCAAACAGCGAGGCTGTGCCAGCCTCAACAGCGAGGCTGTGCCAGCCTCAAACAGCGAGGCTGTGCCAGCCTCAAACAGCGAGGCTGTGCCAGCCTCAAACAGCGAGGCTGTGCCAGCCTCAAACAGCGAGGCTGTGCCAGCCTCAAACAGCGTGGCGAGGGGGAAATCACATGAAGTCACATGTTTTGAAATCATGCAGACTTCCGGTGCATTGGACAGCCGTTCGATCAAGGACTCCACTGGTGCCGTACTGCATGATTCGAGTTCTATTCGACGACTCTCAGCTTGAGTGGGTCTTCCAGCACGTTGCGGCCTTCGGCCTGCCTGGGGCCTGGGGACGCCGTCTGCCTCTCGAGTGCGCGCCGAGGTGTCGGAGAGGGCGTCTCGATGTATCGAGAGGGAGGGGGAGAGTGGCGCAGTGGCAATCCCAGTGAGGGACCTCTCGGCTTTGCGCGCGGTAATGGTGCACTGAAGGGCGCGCGGGCCGCACATGGCCACGTCCTCGCCAAGGAAAGGGCCATCAAGGACTGCCAGGGCACGGCAGGCATGGCCAGGCAGTTCCGCGAAGGGGCGGCGCCGCGTCCTGGAGTAGGGCCACCACCTGCGGTGCCCTGCGTGTGTGCGTGTGTGTCTGCTCGCTTGTGCATGTGTGTGTTTGCGAGTGTGGGTGTGTATCTGGGCCGTAATATCTCTCTATTATCCCCTCCTTCTGCACTCGGCCTCGCCCCGCCCCGCCCCGCCCCGCCACTCGGCGCGGCGCCGGTTTGGCATTGCGGACACGTCCTTGTGTTTGTCCCCCGCGGCGGGGCCGAGGCGGGGCCGGGGCCGGGGGGCCCTGGAGTGCCCTGGAGGAGGTCGAGCGGACGGGGAGGCCGTGCCGGGGGGCTGCGCGGGGCGGCGGAAATTTGATGAGAAAGCCGGCCCCGATTCAAACCCCTTCCGTCGCCCCTTCCTTCCCTCTTGTTTCGTCTGATTCGAGGCGCCGCGAGCGGCCGCGAGGCCCCGTGTGCTCGTCGTGGTGCTTCCGGCCGACGCGCTGCCTGACGGCCTGACGCGCCGCCACCCTCCAGCTGGACCGAGGCGCCTCTCGCTCTCTCTCTCTCGCTCTCGCTGAAGGCCCGACGAAGTGTCGGCCGTGGCGGTGGAGGGGGTGGGGGCGTCCTTCTCGGGTTTCCATCCTCACTGCGCCAATGAGACGCAGTCCGCCTTATGAGCTGTTTTTGTGCGTGGCCGTCCTGGCCGTCCTGGCCGTCCTGTCGAGGCCCCCCTCCCCTCGGAGCCCCTCGGTGCCGTGATAGTGATTGGACTGATATCCGGAGCGTTATCCTCCCCCCGTCCAACACCAATCACTCAATCGGCCTCGCCCGCGCGCCCGCGTACGCGCCCGAGTCCCTCTTTCTCTCTCGCACCGCCGGTCGACCCATGGGTGTGAGAGAGACAGCCTGCTGCAGTCGGCGCTAATCGGTGCTGTCCGTGGTTGCAGGTCAAGCAGATCATGGAGGAGGCCGTCACCAAGAAGTTCGTGCACGAGGACAGCAGCTCCGTCACGTCGCTGTGTGGTGAGTCTTCTTCCCCTTCTTCTTCTACCTCCATCTCGGCCATCGCGGCCATCTCGGCATTCCTGGCCGTGCCTCGCGTTGCGATAAAGTGATGCCCGCACTTTGCATTGCACGCGTCGTCCACTCCCCCCGCCCCCTTTCTCGCTGGTTCTTGCCCCTCTGGGGCCACCCCGCCCCGCCCCGCCCCCCGGAATGGGCGTCGTTACTAACGGCCAGCTCGTTGGCCGCTGTGCCGCGTACCCGCAACGCGCACCGCAACGCCTGTTGCCAGTGGCGCGGCGGCGCAGAGGCGCGCAGTGGCGCCGTGCTTTGCATTGCCCGGCATCGCCCCGTTTCCCACCTCGCTGTTGTCCCTCTCCGCCCGTTGTTCCCAGTGTGACGGCTGTGTGTTTTGGGCGTTTTGCAGCCGCCGTGGAGGCGTGCCTGAGCCAGGGGCTGCGCCGGAGAGCCCTCGGCTTGTTCAAGACTTCTTCGACGACGGCGCTGCTGCATAAAGTTGCCAAGAACTTCGCGCCGGCCGAGGTCGTGTCCCGGCGCGTGCAGGAGATCGAAAACTCGGACCCCACTCGGTGAGCGCAGCACTAGAACGCCGACAGCACCACTTCACTTTTGGAAAGCAAACAAAAACATTTTTTTCCTATTTATCTCTGGACGCATCGACCGTACGACAAAGTTTACTTCCAAACAGGGCACGAGCATTGAGGGTTCTGCTGGACGCGGCGCGTGGAGTCTGTGTGTGTGCGTGTGTGTGTGCGCGTGGCAGAGCGGTCGAGAGTGTGTTATTGGCGCGACTGAGGCGCATAGGCCCGTTGCCTTTGCTTCGTTTCTCTCATTGTGGCCTGTTCCACACTGTTGCATCGCTGCCAGGACGAACGCCAACGGCCGCAAGCCGTGAGTCTCATGAGTTTCATTCACCGTAGCGCGTAGCCCACCGCGTAGCCTACCGCGTAGCCCAGTAGAGCGCGCTAGTGTACAAATGCAGTGTGTTTAGGATGGCGGAGTGTCCGGGCTGTCGGGGCTGCAGCGAAACGTCCCCCCCCCCCCCTCTCTCTCTCTCTCTCTCTCTCTCTCTCTCTCTCTCTCTCTCTCTCTCTCTCTCTCTCTCTCTCTCTCTCTCTCTCTCTCTCTCTCTCTCTCTCTCTCTCCCCCGCGCTGCTCCGCGTCGATAATGTTCTTGTTTTCTCTCTTTCCGGGAAACTAGAGCAGCCCGACCACCTCGGAGGCGAGTGCCTTTTGCGATTACTGCGCCGCCACCGCTGAGGTATGGTAACCCCGCTTGTGTGCTTGCCGGGGCCTTGCCGGGGCCTTGCCGGGGCCTTGCCGGGTCCCCCGGGACTCTTTCGCCCTCCACCCATGTCCTCCGTGACCCCCACGTCGGCTTTTGTGAGACCCGGCCCCCCGGCGTGCGTCAAACCATCGCCCTCACGCCTGTTCCACAGCACGGCGTGCCTCCTTGTGGTATCCACCCGCACCGACCCAGGCACCCCGCCGCCGATACCCCATGCCGCCCATTGATTCCTCTCCGCGTGGGGTATCGACGACTTTCTTTTCTTGTATACTTGTATGCATACCTGCCCACCACACCTGTTGAGTGCTGTGCAATTCTGCACCCACCCCACTCCACCCGAGTTTAACGCGACACCAGAACGTTTGTGTGGGGCTTGCCGTGCGTCGTGGCATGCCTCTAGTACTCTGTAAAAAATATAAAATGGCAACAACTTGTCGGTGTGCAAACTCCTTTTTGGCACAGATGACAGCCAATGCACCATGCTTCCACTAGCTGTATTCTACGCAGCCACGAGGGCGGTTCGTGGCCCAGCGGCCCAACCCCGCAGGCACTGCCAGGCCGGCCGGAGGTGTACACGCCACTGTCGTTGTTTGTTGAGCTTTCAAAGCGGAGTTTGGCTGCTGCGTGCTCATGCTAAAGTTGCAGTTGGAGGTTGTCGTCGTCGCAAATAGAGGGTTGTCCGTTTGATGCATGTCTGTGTTGCGAAGCTGCGAAACGCATTCATGGTATAGCCGTAATACTCTTCGTCATTATTTCGCTTCTATGTTATTGTATCATTGATATTATTATTAATAATACTGTTGAGGAAAAGTATTCTTTGTACTGCGCATATAACTATTGAAGAGTTTTCGTGTTGTCGTAGATTACAAGGATGTCTAGATACTACTGTATAGCAAGCTTATGTTAAGTGCTGTGTCAGCGCACTGCAAACCTACAAGATAGAAACTGTAACACTGTTGTGCCGCTCGAATGTGTAAGTGTATACCTCTGTAATATAGTCTGCTTTGAGGCTAAATTTGGTACGGTGTCTGCAGGTTTACTCCGCACACACTATGCAGGACGCGCGGGTCTAGCAAATAGGTCCTGTAGCGGCGTCTCTAGCTTGATGTAGCCACGTAAACTGTGAACCGTAGTTAATTTTCCCGACCAAGTTTCCGGCCAGAAATTACGCGCAAGACCGCAATCTAAGTGAGGCGCTCCGTGTTTGAGCTAAGACCCCCCGGGGACGCTGGGACCGTGGCTGGCACGCTGGAACGGCCAGTGATGACATAAGGAGATATACGGCGGCTCGGGACTGACCCAGTTCACAGTGGCCTGGAGGCGCCTGGAGCAAAGGGGAGGGGGAATGGGCCTCCGGGGACGCAGCCTCGAGACGTGAGCCGGATTTGGTTCCATTCATTTATTTATTTATTCGCCTCGCGGCGGCCGCGGCGGCCTCGCGGTGCACTGCGCGGCAAGCTGTCCCGCGACGCGGCGCGACGCGCGGACTTTACCGCCCGGCGATTTGTCATACCTGAGGCCGCCTAAGCCTTGGGGACGACGGGGTGGGTCCTCCAGGGTGGGTCGCGCGCCGCGTCTGCCGAGGGTCTGGCCGTGGGGCCGTGCTGTACAAGCGGTGCACACTGTAACGGGCGGCTCTGTCGCAGGCGCTCCTCCTCGAGCGGCGACTCCACCAGCAGGCCCGCCAAGCCGCCCCTGCAGAAGAAGAACTCCTCCGGGGCCGTGCTCGCCTCGCCGCGCTACCTGTGGATCCGCCTGGCCCTCTTCGAGAAGCACCTGGCCAAGATCATCGACCACCTGGTGCAGAACAGCACGTGAGTGTGCCCCCCGACCTCGCTACACACCCAACAGAACTGACGTCACAATCTCAAACCGAGCCTTTTCAGTCGTAACGCGACCTATTTCGACGTCCTTTTGACAAGATTTTGACCCTGTTGAGGCGGCGTGCTCATTTGTATCTTCTGCTTGCAGCAAATACTACGAGAAGGACTCGCTAGTGGCGGACCCGGACTATGGCTCCATCCTCAGCTCGCTCTTGGGTAAGGCCCCGAACGGACTGACGGTCGGTGAGGTGAGAGAAAGATAGACGGTGGCGCTAACGGTTTCCTCTGCCTTTTCACAGTGGGGCCGTGCGCCCTGGACTTCTCCCGCACCAAGACCCAGGACCACTACTGGACGGACCCGCCCGCCGACGAGCTGGTGCAGCGACATCGCATCTCCAGCGGCCACAACACCCCGCCGGCGGGAAGGCGGCCCGCGCTCCACGTGAGTACCCAGCTCTCCGCCGCTCCAGCTCTCGCGCTGCCACCAAACGGGAACCCACCTGTTATGTCTCTGTAGAAATTAATTTAGTCGCGGCGCTACTCCGCGCCAGGGGCTCCGGCCGGGAGGGGGTATTGACAGAGACAGATGGGGCCGCAGGGTTCGGACCGGACGGGGACGCCGCGGGAAACCCGGGCAAACCCAAGTTTGATGAGCGGAGCGGAGTGGAGGCGTGTTTGCGGAGCGTGGGGCGCTCCAACGGCGGGGTGGGGCGGGGCGGGCGGGGTGCCCCGGCAGGTGCCGTATCGCGTCGCAGTGGTCGTGTAATTGGACGCGAGGGTGGAATTCAAATGAGACGACAACTATTTGCATGCGAGATATAGTGGTGCTCGTTGCCTTGTGTGTTTTCGAGAGAGAGATAGAGAGAGGGCGGGAGTGTCCGCGTGCCTGTGTTTCCGAAAACAAGTCATTGTTTGCGTTTCTTTCGGCAGTTCCGCCGCTCCATGCACGGCGTCAGCTCGGAGGAGAGCCTGCGGCAGGCGCCCAAGGACTACGTGGAGTCCCTGCACCAGAACAACCGGGCCACACTGCTGTATGGCAAGAACAACGTGCTCGTCATGCCGGTGAGCGACGACCAATTAACTTGGGATCCATCCGTAATTGAATTGGCCCGATTCGGGCAGGCAGCTTTAATCTTTCAATCGTCCGTCTCTTTCCTCTGCCCCCGCGCGCCCCGCAGCAGAAGGACATGCCGGAGCCCATGCCCGGCTACCTGTCGCTGCACCAGACGTTCCACTCGCTGACCATCAAGTGGACGCCCAACCAGCTCATGAACGGCTACTCGGAGGCCGAGGACAAGGACAAAAGGTTGGTGCTGGCCCTGCGGACCTCGCCGCGGACCGCCATGGGCTGCCGTACCGGCGTTGCTGCGTAGTGTGCGCGTGCCCCTTTGTCACCGTTAATTAAAACTTGGTGCTCAGCAGTATCTACTGGGACTACGCCATGAACGTCAAGGTGGATGAGATCGTCTACGTGCACTGCCACCAGCAGGGTGAGCCCTCTACCCTTTTTCTTTGTTTCCCAAAGTTGGGGCGATTCATTAAGAACGCTGTCCTTGGCAGGCGACAACGGCGGCACGGTGGTGCTGGTGGGGCAGGACGGCGTGCAGCGCCCGCCCATCCACTTCCCCAAGGGCGGCCACCTGCTGGCCTTCTTGTCGTGCCTCGAGACGGGGCTGCTGCCGCGGGGGCAGCTGGACCCGCCGCTGTGGTCGCAGCGCGGCAAGGGTGAGTTGGAGGGACACTGGGAGACCAGTAACAAACATGTTGTGCCAGTGTGTGAGTGTGTGCGGACCGTGACGCCTCTGTTGCTCCTAATCTTATCAACCGTCGACGGCGGCACGGCGGCACGGCGGCTAGGTGCCCCTTGGTGCCCCTCCCCCTCCACCGCTTCCCCCATGGGGAATGCGTGGCCCGGTCTCGCTCGACACGTTCCCCCGCCGCGTTGCCGCGTCTCAACAACTCCTTTTCTCCTGTCTTTCGCACGCCGCGCTCCGCGCTGCCGCTGCAGTCGCAGAGTTGAGGGAGGAGCAGGAGGAGCGGGAGAGAGAGGGTAGGCAGCATCCGTTTCCGTCGCACCGTCGCTGTCGCTACTCCGCGCCGCTTGTTCTGCAGCATGCCAGGCCGGGCTGTGGCCGCGCGGGGTATCTCCAGACTCAGGACTCGTCGATACTCCCCGCTTGCCCTTCCGCCTCGCTTGCCGCGCCCTCGGCCGCGCCGCTTCCTCCAGCCTTCAGCCTTCAGCACGGTGCAATCAGCTTCTCGAGTGAACAGCCAGCCGCCCAGCCTCAAGCCCAGCCCCAAGCCCAGCCTCAGCCTCCCCGCTTGTTCCTTCCATCTTCAGACACTATCTGGCCGCGCTGTAGAACGCGCTCCGAGGCGGCATGACGGCATGGTGCTGCTCCTGGGCATGACGGGCCTGACGGCCGGGCCCCTATCCTGCTCATCTCGCCAGGCTGCCAGTCTGCCAGTCTGCCAGTCCGCCAGCGCGGCCGGGCCGGGCCAGGCCGCTTGCTTGACGGCTGCCGATATGTTGCAGGCAAAGTGTTCCCGAAGCTGCACCGCCGCGGCCGCAACCAGCCCACCACGCGGCTGGAGGACTCGGACGAGTCCACCGACTACGTGTTCCGCATCGTGAGCAAGAGCAGCCACGAGGACTTCCGTAAGCACTTGGATGCGACGCACTGCTCTCCCGCCTCCCGGACACGGAGTTAACACCGTTCTTGTTGCAGTGGCGGGGCAGGACTTGCTAGAGCCGCGGTCCTGGACTGACGCGGTGGGCCAGGCGCTGGGGCAGGGCGCGTCGCAGGCGCGCGGCCGCGTGCGCGCCGCCCTGGCGTCCACCTCCACGGCCTCGTCCACGTCCTCGTCCAAGTCGCTGTCCCTGGAGCCGGGCGGCGTGATCCTCGCCGCGTCGCAGGGCTCGCAGGGGTCGCAGGCGAGCCAGGACCTGCCGCACGCCCCCAAGCTGACGACCGGCGACTCGATCCAGCTCGTGTGCGACACCATGAAGAGGCAGCTCATCTCGCGCGCCTTCTACGGCTGGCTGGCCTACTGCCGCCACCTGCGCACCGTGCGCACGCACTTGTCCGGCCTCGTGGCCACCGCCATCGTGTCCCCCGACGAGCCGTGCGACGCGCGCGCCGGCGTCACCAAGGAGCGCTGGGCCGAGCTGGGCTGCCGGGAGGAACTGTTCCGGCTGGCCTACTTCGGCGGCGTGTGCCACGACATACGGAAGCAGGTCGGTGCCCTGGACAACCAGTTTGCATTTTGAAAACCGCTTTCGAAGCTGACAGCCGCGTTGACGCCGCAGGTGTGGCCCTACCTGCTCGGCCACTACGTGTTCGGCTCGACGGCCGAGGACCGGCGCGCGCTAGACGCCACCACGCGGCAGAACTACGAGACCACCATGTCGGAGTGGCTGGCCGTGGAGGCGATCGTGCGGCAGCGCGACAAGGAGACCATGGCGGCCAACCTGGCCAAGCTGAGCTCGGAGAGCACCTCCGGGGAGGCGCCTCCGCCCACGCCCAACCTGCAGCACGACCTCAGCAACGACGTGAGTGGCGGTGGCGGGGAACGCTCGTCGACGCGGTGCCCAGCCGTGCACTCACCCACCTCTCTCCTTCCGTCAGGTGTTCGAGGACAACGTCAGCCTCTCCGACGACGACAACGACCCCGTGGTGGTGGACGGCGAGGACGGTGCGGAACAGAACGACACTTCCGGTAATGGTCTGCAGGCCCATTTTCGCCGCAAGGAACTGTTGCCATTAGCAGCTCGGCAACGGCCCCAACGGCCTAGCGCCTGCGGTCCCGGGGGTCGGCCGCGCGGTGCACACGCGTGTCGGGCGTGGTGCTGGCCCCGCGGTCCCGCTCGGCAGCGCTCCGCCTCGACGGGTCGGCCCATTCGTTAATGCCTTTCTTTCCCTTCCTTCCCAGACGCCCCCGAAGCAGTGTCCACGGCAGCGGCGGCGGCGGCCACCGTCGCGGTGGCGCCGACCGGGGCGGAGATGACGTCGGCGGCGGCCGTGGTGGCTGCGGCTGGGGCGGCTGCCGCGACCACGACTGCCACGGCTGCTGCAGTGGCGGCCGAGGCACCGACTGCTGGCGTGGTGGAGGGAGAGACAGCTGCTGTGCAGAACGGCGAGGTACGTGTCTGAACGGCCTGGTGGTGAGGTTTCCGATGTCGCGACACTGGACGATGTTGTTTGTTTTGCCCAGGTCGAGGAGGCCGAGGCGGAGACTGTCCCGGAGGCGCAGGCAGAGACGGCGGCGCCGGAACCAGAAGCGGAGCCGGACGCGACCGAACCGGGCGAGGCGAAGCAGAATGGAGCGGAGGAGCCGGCCGAAGGGGTGCCGGAGACCGAGGCTGAGAAGGCTGAGCAGGCTGACCAGGGGGAGGAGCTGACGGAAGCCGCCAACCTGGCCGCGGAAGCGCGTGACTCTGCCGAGGCGCCGCTCAAGAACAACTACGCCGCCGCCAACGCCAAGATCGTCATGACCAAGCCGTCCGTGGACGCCGTGCCCGGTGAGCGGAATGCGCGGCCCAGTGGTTCAGACTAAGTGCCTCGGACACGCTAGGCCAGCGGTTCTCAACCTTTCTCGGCTCGCGACCCCAAATTTGTAGCCAAAAATTTCCGCGACCCCCAGGAAAAGTTTCGCGACCCCACGGGACCCCTCCTTTAGCATGCCACTGCGTCTGATCCGAGGCGGGCATTTTGCTCCCTCAACGGGCAATTGGTCTTTGGACCTTCCTTTAGCATGCCTCTGTTACGGAGTGCGATTATCAGTCTTAGTTTGGGAGCAGTATTGTCTCAAAGTTGGCCAAAACGCTCAGAAATGTCTTAAAAAATCATGTTTTGGGTCGATTTTAAGCAGCCACTGCGTCTGATCCGAGGCGGGCATTTTGCTCCCTCAACGGGTAATTGTTCTTTGGACCTTCCTTTAGCATGCCTCTGTTACGGAATGCGATTATCAGTCTTAGTTTGGGAGCAGTATTGTCTCAAAGTTGACCAAAACAGGCACAACGATTTTTCAAAGACATTTCTGAGCGTTTCGGCCAACTTTGAGACAATACTGCTCCCTAACTAAGACTGATAATCGCACTCCGTAACAAAGCCATGCTAAAGGAAGGTCCAAAGACCAATTGCCCGTTGAAGGAGGACGAAATACCGCCTCGGGTCAGACGCAGTGGCTGCTTAAAATCGGCCCAAAACACGATTTTTCAAAGACATTTCTGACCGTTTTGGTAAACTTTGAGACAATACTGCTCCCAAACTTAGACTGATAATCACACTCCGTAACAAAGGCATGCTAAAGGAAGGTTCAAAGACCAATTGCCCGTTGAGGGAGCAAAATGCCCGCCTCGGATCAGACGCAGTGGCTGCTTAAAATCGGCCCAAAACACGACCCCAGCTACCTCGCCGCGACCCCTTAAAATTTTTTTCGTGACCCCACTTGGGGTCGCGACCCTAAGGTTGAGAACCACTGTGCTAGGCTGCAACTTTGATGATTTCCCTCCTCTCCCTCCTTCCGCAGAGACAGAGAAGCCCGAGGACTCGGCCAACAAGCTGGCCGGCACGAGCCAGGGCCAGGGCAACCGCTCCAACTGCGTGTCGCCCGCCTCCAGCCAGGGCGGCGTCTACTCGGTGAGTGCTGGGCTGGGTGCGCGCGTCGCGGTGCGCGTGCAAGCCACTGCAAGCACTGGAGGGGGCTGACGGCCTGGCCGCTTGGCTTGCTTTGCAGACCGAGCTGCTGGAGACGTTCGGGCTCAACGTGCACCGCATCGACAAGGACGTGCAGCGCTGCGACAGGAACTACTGGTACTTCACGGTGGACAACCTGGAGAAGCTGCGAAACGTCATGTGCACGTACGTCTCCTGGGAGCCTTCTTCGGACTTGGTTCCGGCTGCTGTTGGTAATGCATGGTGGTTCTGGCAGGTACGTGTGGGAGCACCTGGACATCGGCTACATGCAGGGCATGTGCGACTTGGTGGCTCCGCTGCTGGTCATCCTGGACGACGAGTCCTCCACGTACGCCTGCTTCTGTCGGCTCATGGACCGCATGGGTGCCAACTTCCCCAACGGCGGTGCCATGGATACTCACTTTGCCAACATGAGGTAAGACCTTCGAATTTTTCAACATTCTTCCGACAGAGTCCTCACTGTTTGGTGTTTGCAGGTCCCTGATCCAAATCCTGGACTCGGAGATGTTCGAGCTGATGCACCAGAACGGCGACTACACGCACTTCTACTTCTGCTACCGCTGGTTCCTGCTGGACTTCAAGAGGGGTGAGTCCGCCGTGGCGCGCCGTGGCGCCGCCGTCGCCCCGTCGTGTACTTACTGACCACGCCGTCGTCCGTCCTCCGCAGAGCTGCTGTACGACGACGTGTTCAGCACCTGGGAGACCATCTGGGCCGCGCAGCATGTCGCCTCGTCCAACTTCGTGCTCTTCATCGCGCTGGCGCTCGTGCAGACCTACCGCGACATCATCCTGTCCAACTCGATGGACTTCACGGACATCATCAAGTTCTTCAACGGTGAGCGGGCCGAGTGTTCCTTGAGCGTCCCTGGCGCGCCTTGGGGATGTCGACGTGACGTCACAGCGCCTTCTTGTTGCAGAGATGGCCGAGCGGCACGACGCCAAGGCGGTGCTCGCGCTGGCGCGGGACCTGGTGCTGCAGCTGCAGACGCTCATCGAGAACAAGTGAAGGCGTGTCTGCGCCCTGACCTCCGTCACCTCCGTCGCGTCGACCCGTCTACTGCGGTGGCTGTAGCCTCGTCCCTTCGTGCTGCAGCTGTTGTCCTCCTTCCTTTTAACTTGTTAAAAAGTGTTTGTTTTTCGTTTCTTTTAAAATAACGTTTGCTGAGGAAAATTATGAAGGCTACATGTCTGTGTGGGACATATGCTTTGAGACCTCTGCTGGCAGAAGTTTCTCAAGAAGCATTGTAAAACTTCCTGTGTTTTGAACAAGCCCCTCTTTGGCGCAGGATGGCTTATTTTGTGAGGGTGGTGGCTTTCTAAGTGCGTGCATTAAAGGTATATTTCTTTATGTATTTTTTTAAACGCCCCATTTGATGAAGTTCGAAAATCCCATTAATACATGGTAAACTGAAACTGAAATTCGGTTGATTGGTAGAGTTTACTTAGTCATATTTGACTTTCTCATCATTATCTTAGCTATGCATTCATTGGCCTGACTTAGCAGCCTCACTGCATTTCTGAGAAATCCCCAACGTATCTGTGTTCCTGATTGTGTTTTAAGCAGGTTAAGATGTTGATTTATCCTTTAGCCGGCTCACTTCTTATGTGTGTCAAAATCTCTTTGAAAAATATTTTATTTTTTTGCTTGGACATTTGCTTGTGGTCAACGGTGTTCTGCGTTGACCATTCACTGCTCCATTTGATTAAATTATTTTTGATACCAAACTACCTATTTTTAGTTCACTTTTAATTTGTGTGTTGCTGTCTTCTCCGTTGTTGTTTTTGTTTTTTTGACAAAGTTGTCTGTTGTTGTTATGTTGTGCTAGATGTATATTGATCAGTGCACCGCAGTAATGATGTAAGATTGTTATCCTTTCTCAGTAATTTAAGGAAAAGATATTGCTAGAAATATAAAAAAGTATATTTCTTTGAACTATTATTGAACTATTATAAGAGTTAATGAAATATTATTTTTTACAATGATGTTAAAGCATTTTGTTTCACTGGAAGTGTTAAGTATATTAAGGTAGCTACCCCTTGTTAAACTTCTTTATTTTTTGACTCGATTTGATGTTTGTATGCCAAAATAGTCAATTAGAGAATTATTTTCTAAGGAAATACTGTGATTGTGTAAATAATTTGTAATGCTATTGGCATGCATTTATGAAGTAATTGGATGGTCAAACCAATTGCTGTGGATTTCGTGCAGAGACTTATTTTCTCGGTTGTGTGTTACATTATTTTTTCATTATTTTTTTTGCTTTGGGTGCCAATAAGTGTACAAATAGATAAGCTGATTTTAACATACCTTTGAAGTATTTCCTTATCAATTTTGGCGGCTGGCCGCTAGGTGGCTACATAGAATATCATCATTCACTTTCCATCAGAATGTGGGCTGCTCTGCATTGTCCAAAAAACTTTAAACTTAAAATTCTTTTTCTCTCTGAAGTAGTTCCTGGCCAAAGCCGACTTTTTTGGGGGCGTGCCATTCACTTTTACTCTAATGGAAATAATTACCGCACAAGTACCTTATGTAAATAATATGTACTCAGTATGGTGCATACTTACTTTATTCTTCTATTCTCCCAGTGTATACTGTTGCTATTTATTCAGCTGCTTTCTTGTCTATAGTTAATGTAAGCCATTGTTGGGTCATAATGATCTTTTTATATGACTGAAATACGAAATTCGCATTGGTTAATTGCTGCACATAGTCCCGCCCCCGCCCCATACTTCTCATGATGTTACAATTTGACCTGAACGATTTCTTTACTATCTTCGTTCTCTTTATCTTCATGTATCATATGTCCGCCACTTTTTTTCAATACCGATAGTGGACATTTTGTGAAAAACAGCCATGCTGGTACAACATTTGTGACAATCGGGATGTCTTGGGAACGAGCAAGTACAACGTATGTGTGCACAATGTTCCACTTCTCTAAAGACTAATAAATCATATCTTGTTATTTTGTATTTCGCATCTTGTTACTCCGCACCCCCCGCTGGCTTTGCCCAACTTTGACTGATCACCGCTGAAACTGGATTTGAAGCAGTATCACGAGCTGCGTTGTGCCGGTCGCAATTATCTGGAACAGCAACAACAAACACAACAAAAACAATAAACAACAACAATACAACAAGAAGACCTGCATGTCGGCCCCGACGTGTGGCCCCGTCTCCCAGGGCGGCCACCAAAGTTGATCAATTTCCGCGGTTAATTGATTTGGCTGGTGCCGAACCCACGCACGGAGGCGGGCAGCAACCACCCCACTGCCCACCTCACAGGACTTCCAGATTCATTTCATAATTACGATCACCTTCTAGAAGTGGAGGAAGGCTTGATCGTGGGTTCACCGTTCTCCGAGTTCACGCAAAAAAAGACACAAAAAACAGCTTGGATTCGGATGCGGTGCTACCTAGTGCCAAAATAGCACCCCCACCAGCTTTGGTCTTGAATCAGTACCCACAGAATGGGTGGCTGTGTAGACTTACTCCGTGCAGCACCCTGCGGTCCAACGGCAAGAAGCTGAGCGCCACGCACCGGACGGGCAGGTGCAGGAGTTGCAGCCTCAGCACCTTCAGCTGCACGACGGCAGAAGGTCAACATCAACCATACTCAGGGCTCTGAAGCCCGCGGGGAAACGACAACACGAACCTCCTCCAGCGCCTCTTGCGGAAAGGTCGGCAGGCTCAAGGTGTCCTCGACCTCCTCCAGCAGCTCGTCCGACTGCGGGAGCGACAATCTTTTTATTCGAAGCAAACCCGAGGCAAAATGAGATTAGCTTACCGCCTTCTGCGCGCCCTGGCACGCGGAGAGCGTGAGGGTGACCTCCACGGCGCACAGCAGCGGCCAGAAGACGTTGACGACGCCGCTCTTGGTGTGCAGGCAGAAGTTGAAGAGGTTGTACAGCTCGCAGATGCACTCCACCATGACCGCGGACACGGCCATGGCCACCTGTCGGGCAGCGTAACGCGCAACGCGCCTTGTTTAGCGCCCTCTGACACGTTTGCCAACAAATACGCTGTCGACGGCGCGGAGTGGCGTGCGCAAGGATGGGGCGCATGCATGAGAGCACGCGGCGCGGCGGGGCGGGGCGGGGCGGGGCGGGGCGGGGCGGGGCGGGCTGCTCTGTGTTTGTGCAGTCGGGCGTCGCCTCGCACTACTTTTATGTTTGCCGCGGCCTAGCGGCTTCTTTCCCGGCTTCCAAAACAACAAGTTGGTCGAGAAGTAGACCTGCGTGGTCCGCGGCTTGGCTGCGCGCCGCGCGCCGCGCGCAGGGCCCTTAGCCGCAAGTTGCCAACCCCCTCGCGCTCCGCGCTCCGCGGTTCGCTTTTCGCGGGAGAGAAGGAAAATGTTGCGGGGAAGGGAACCGAACCACCGACCTGGAGGAACAGGGCGCGCTTCACGTCGTGCATCGTCTCGAAAATGTCCATGTGCCTGCGCCGGAGCTGGCGACCGTAGTGCGTGGGCCACTTGGTCTAAAAAACAAACAAAAAAAAAATAAAAAAATAATCATGAAAACATAACGAAGAAACAGTGACGGCACTACTACGGATCCTGTCCATCCAAGTGTAATTGTAAACACGCTGAATCGCTGCCTCACTTTCCCCGGAGACCTCCACCTCCACCGTCGGCCAGCATCCCCACTACACTGGGATGGGGCAGGTGCACCATCAGCACAGCACAGCACAGCGACAGCCCTTGCCGCTCCTCGCCAGCACTACCACTACACTGGCGGACCCGTACGACGGCCTCACACCAACACGCACACACAGGCGCACTCTGACTCCCGATGTAGGTCAGACACATACTGATCACTGCCCGGCAGGCAGGCAGGCGGGCAGGCAGGCTGGCGGTGACTGTAGCGACCAGATGACGGCACCGTGTGAACATGCAGGCGCCGGGGGGCGACCGCGGCGGGGAAAGAGGGGGGGGGGGCTCTGCCGCGGTTAACAACTGCGGTTGGAATATGCATGGCAGGCCGAGATGCGTTTGCGTTAGGGAATTCCACTATCGGAGCGTCAACTTTCTGCCCGTCTGTCCGCTGACCTGCCTGGCTGCCTGCCTGGCTGCCTGGCTGCCCGACAGGCTGCCTGACTGACTCTCTGGCAGGCTGCGTGACGGACATGTGTTGAAGCGCCAACTTTTAAGCCGGCGTGCGGCGCGGCGCGGCTGGGCAGTTTGTCCGCAGTTGCCTCCACTTCGTGCGCCCCAGTGATCGCGGCTGTTAGCAGCTCGGGGGCCGCGCGGGCCGTGGCTGTGGTTCGCGCCGCGGTCGGCCTCGGCCAACTCGACCAGCACCCGGTCTGGCCCCGCGCCCCGCGCCCCGCGCCCCGCGCCCCGCGCCCCGCGCCCCGCCGAGTCGCTGGATCACCCGCTCTGTGCGGAACCCGTTAGAAACGAACAAAAAAATCCGAAGACTTTTTTTTCCCATCCCGAGTGGTATTTAAACCCGTGACATGGCCGCGACCGCCGTACCTCCTCATCCACGCGCACGGCCTGCACGTCGCTCGTGAGGCCCCTCAGCCTGGCGGCGAGGTCGCCGACCAGCATGGTGGTGAGCAAGTTGACGGAGCCGCGCACCGGGACCCAGAGGCACGCCTCCAGCACCACGGTGGCCATCACCAGGGCGCCCATGTCGTCCGTGTGGCTCACGAAGCGGAAGGACACCCAGGCCGCCGCCAAGAAGGTGGGCGACAGGTACAGGACCAGCCGCCACACGGGGACCGAGCCCGGCACCTCCAGCCGACCGCCTGGCCACGGAGAGGAAAGATTCACGTCGTCATGACATAGTAAGAAAAGCCTTAGGAAATGGGTGTAAAACGAAACGAAAACTAGTAAAAACTTGAAAATGAGAAACTCGGGCGTACCTCTGGCGGCGTACTGGCGGTTGAGCGCGCGCGCCAACTCGCCGCGCCGCCAGAAGGTGATGATCCCCACCGCGGCCCACGTGGCGTGGCGCAGCAGGGACAGCGTCGCCAGGGACTCCACGAAGAAGCTGCGCGCGCGCTGGCTCTCGGGGCACTGTAGCGGAACGCACAACAGCGAGGTTAATGGAGGCTGGATTAGTGCGGGCCGGCCGGGCGAGCGGACAGACGGGCCAACAGATGAACAGGCAGACGGACAGACGGACAGCGCGCTAATTACGCGGCCACCGTTCAATTAGCTAGTTTGTACCGCCATCATTTCTATAGCAGCGGAAGTTGCGCGGAATACACGGCGGCAAAAAGATGGATCTCCCCGCAGCCTCCCCCAGAGGCCTAAATGATTCTTTTTAAAACTTTGTTTTCGTCGTTGTTGTTGTTGATGGTGGTGGTGGCTATGCATCCTCTTTTTTTCCCCCGGCCATCCTTCATTTGTTGGTTTCTTCCACGTTCTCGCGGTCGTTGGCCCGGCTACTTACGGAGCTCATCCGCTCGGTTCGGGCGTGGCGGGGCGTGGCGGGGTGTGGCGGGGCCAATATCATTATGTTGATGTGACAATGCATCATCCAGCATGACTAGGAGCTGCAGCCCGGCGGCCCCAAGGCGCCCCAAGCCCCGCAAGCCCCGCAAGCTCGCAGAGAGCTTCCGCGTGCTAGTCACGCTCGCGGCGTCTCGCGTGTGCGATACGGCCCCGAGGCACGCGACACACCGCAACACACCGCGTCGGCACGCGTGTCGGGCCGCGCGGCCGCGCCCTGATGGACGCCGCGGGGAAGCACGTTCGAATTCCGCTCTAGCCACAGCACTGGAAAAAGGGGGATCGTGGGACTGCGGTGGATTGCTGCAGACTGTTTCTACTTGCCGTGACCAGCTTGAGCTGCACGGCGACGAAGCACAGCCCGTACACGAACAGCAGGGCGGCGGAGTACAGCACCCAGCCGGGAGACACCCGCAGCCTCAGCCTGCCTGCCGCGGCCACGGGCGCCACGGGCAGCAGCCCCAGCCAGCGGGGCCACCGCAGCGCGCCGGGCAGCGGTGGTGGCGGCGGCGGGTGCGAGGACGCCGACGAGGCCGCGGACGACGCGGACCCTGCAAGCCGCGAGGAGGCGAGTCAGCGGGGCAGGGAGCCCCTGGCCGGGAGGCAGTCCCGCCACGCAGGCGTGCGCGCGGCGTGGCCTAGCCCGCGTTGCGCGGGCGCTCCTCGGGCTTGTGAGGCTGCATTTGGGATTGTCCGGCACGGCCGTCCTGGCGTCGGCGCGCCTCGCCAACAAAGCGCTGCGCAGCCCGATAAGCGGAGCCGAGGCGAAGACCGCCTGTCTCGCTCTGTCTCTCTCGCACCGCTACGCGCGCTACGCGACGCCGCGTGAGAGCGAGCGAGACGGCGAGACGAAGGCGCGACGCGGAACCAGCCTAGGACCGCCAGGACCGCTCGGGACTTGGACCGCTCACCGATTAAAGCACAATGGTCTCAGAATCTGTAAACAACCTCCGCTGGAGCCGAGGCTGGAGCCGAAGCTGGAACCCAGGCCGGAGCTGGCGCCGGAGCCGAGCCGGTCGTCGTCCTGAGGCGAGGCGCCGCCGCCGCCGCCGCCGCTCCGGAACTCTCTGGACAATAGCAGGGCCATGCCTGGAAAAACACGACCCCTAGATTTAAACTCGCCGCCTCGTTTTGTTCCTCGTTTCGCCGCTGCAGGGTTTTTCGGGCGGCGTGTCGCCTCGCCGCTGATTGGCCGCCGTGTCGCGACGTCGTGACTGGCTCGACCTGTCGCTTTTCGGTGGCCGGGCCGCCACCAGGGCCACGCCAGGACGACGCCAGTCAGGCCGGGGGGCCGAAAGCGTCGGAAGCGCTGAAAGCGCAGAAAGCACCGAAAGCAGCCTCCAGACTGGCTTCGAAGCACAAAGTGCGGAGCAGTGCGGAGCTCGGCCAAGGCGAAGCTCAGCGAAGCCTGTGGAGTCTTGGGACACGCCGGTGACGTAGGAGGAGGAGGAGGGGGGGACAACGGGGCCCCGGCAATTAGTGTGCATTCTACGGGTCGCCGCGCCGCGCCACGCCTCGCCACGCCGCACCCCGCCCCCCCCCGCCCGCCCCGCCCCGCCCCGCCCGCCCCGCCCCGCCACGCCACGGTGCGCCCGTCGTCACGGTGCTGCCTCGACTAACGACGGCACAACCTTGAGACGCTTGGCGGCCACGCGTGTTGGTGAGGTCTGCTGGAGAGGAAAAATATTGCCCTGGCGCCCCTGGCGTGGGCCGGCCAGCAAAACAACAAACACGCGCACGGTACGGCGTAAAGTTTCCTCCTCTGTTGACCTCCTCCGGCGGCGCGCTTGGCGGCTTGGCGGCGCTCGGCGTGGCGGGAACGGCCGGGATGTATTATTGAGGTGCGTTGCGTTATTACAACACCAGAGGCCACTCCAGGACCCGCTCCAGGATCCTCTCCAGCGGCGGTCGTTCCAGCCACGCTACCCTCAAGGCCAGCCCGAGCCGCTGCAGCGCGCCGTCGTTCCATCCGCTGGATCTCTCTCCACGGGAGGATCCCCCTGCCGTTTCAGCAGATTCTGCCACTTGAGCAGTTCCGCGCGACGCCTCCTCTCCAGCCGCCTCTCCAGCATATCCGGCGGGCCCAGCCTCTCCAGTGGCCCCGACACTGGCTTTGGCTTCAGCACGCCCCGCCCCGCCCCGCCCCGCCCCGCCCCGCCCCGCTCGGCCAGCATTAAGATTACATCGGAAGGCAACAACTTTCCCGGCCACGCAGCAGCTCAGCCCCGCCCCGCCCCGCCGCGTCCTCACATGGGCCGACGGTGCTGCGCCGTGCTGCGCCGTGCGGTGTCGCTGTTAACTTTTATCTATTAAGCATGGTGTCGCAGAGGAAGTGGAAGCGGGAGATAAGGGGAGGGGAGGGGAGGGGAGGAAGGAGTGGCGACCGGCCCGGTCTGCGCGGGAAACTTTCTTTGAGAAATTCTCGCCATCTGGTTATATAGTTTCCCCCGCCGCCCGCCTACGGTCCTACGGCGTGGAGCTACTGCTGATGCACGCGGAGACAAACTTTTGTTACGTTTGTGCGCTGCTTTCCAGTCACACCTTGTGTGTGAGAGAGAGGAGGAGGGAGGGAGCGGCTCCATGGTGTGTGTGCGCGGCATGTTAAGTTCGTCAGAATGAATCCTTGCGCCTCGAGCCGCCGCTGCCGCCGCTGCCGCCGCTGTTTTCTTTTCATACACTTTGTGTATTGTGCTGACAGCGGGCCGACAGGTGCGTGCCGGGCTGGCGTGGCTGGTGTTGCTATTCAATCTGATATAGTGCCTCCCCCCGCCGCCCCGCCACCCCGCCGCCCCGCCGCGCGGACCCCCTCCCCCGGGTCGCCACCGCGCGACGCACTAGTGTCACTCCGAGGAGCCGCAGGACGAGATCAAAGGGTCAGAAGGGTCAAAGGGTCAGAGGGTCCGAGGAGGTGTCAAAGGCACTGGGGAACGAGAAGAGGGAACAACGGGGTGGGATTTTCGTGCGCACACGCGCACTCACGTGGTCCCGGAGACCAGAGTGATACTGCGCGGACTTTCGATGTGGCGCGTAGTTTCACTCGCGCGGCATTCCGAACGGTTCCAAGGCATCGTCCGCTCGGCGAACGGCGAATGGGGGCCGAAAGACAGAAGCCGAGAGCAGCGTAGCGAGTGGCGCGTCGCCCCGAAAAGTGGTCCATAAAGGGGCCCGTGAACAAAGGGCACAAACAACGGCATCGGGCCGCCGGGGCGGCTGGCAAGACGGCCGCCAACGCCCCGGGGCAGAGGGAAGCCGAGCCGGCGAGCCGGCCCGCCAGGACCCGCGCTGGAGGCTGAAGAAGAGGCAAATAGTGCACGCCGTCAACAAGCCGGAAGATTATACAGCGACGGAACGCGCCGGGGCGCCAGCAGCGGCCGAGTGATGCCGAAGAGTCGTTTTCGTCGCTCTCTCGCACCCCGGTGGGACGCCCCACGAGTGCGACAGAGGCAGCGCGACGACGGGCATCAGTGTCCCTCCCCTCGGCCCTCGGTGCAGCGACCAAGGCGTGGACGGCGCGACTCGAAAAACCTTTGCAGCCCGATGGAGCGGCGCGGCACGGCACGGCACGGCACCACAAAGGCCAGACGCAGCGAGCGTTAAAGTGCGTCGAGCGGCCCGGCCAAGCCAAGGGCTGCCAAGGGCCCGACACAGGCAGCAAAGGCAGCGCAGGCCTCGGCCAACATAGCAGCGACCCACTCTCACCAAAAAATACAGCACAAGCAAAGAAACAAACAAACAAAAACAACATTTTTTGTGTGTCTCACTCGTTCTTGGAAATTTTGATGGTTTGTTGGGCTAGCTCACATCTTCGCAACAACTCCTGTTCCGCTGTGATGCTGCTCCAGCCGAGAAGGAAATGCGGAGGGAGGATGTGCTTCCAGAGCCATCACGGCGCCGCTGCCCTTTGCTCGATGTTCCGTGCCGTCTCCTGCACTTTAAGGGTTTAATAACTTGAGAGACGAGGACAAAGGCCTTCTCCCCGCCTTCATTTTACTCGAGGCAGATTCATTTTCGGCCAGTAAAATCTACAAAAATCTGTCGTAAAAACTGTTTTTGTTTCATTTTTGAAATTCTTTTCTGGAAGTCAACTCCAATATTATGGCCGCTTCGTGCCTATAAAGAAGTGCTAAGGGCTGCCACTCGACACGGGGCCGCGGCGCCGGCTGCAGGCTGTCGCCGTGCTGTCGCCGTGCTGTCGCCGTGGCTGTGGCAGCGCGGCAGGGCTGTCGGCAGTGTCGGCAGGGCTGTCGGCGACCCGGGACGAGCCACTGCCGCCGCTGCCGCCCTGATGACATAATCCGCACAACAGGCTGCCGGCGAGGCGAGGCGAAGCGCGCCAAGGTCGCCAAGGCGCCCAGCCCAGAAAGGAGTCACTTTTAAAACAATCAACAAATGGAGAGAACGGCCGGCAAAGGGCGCCAAGGCGCCAAGGCCCGCCGAGGCGCCATTCGGGATTCGGGGCCCGGAGGTGTGAGAGGGTGAACGCCGGGCCGGGGGCTGCCGGGGGCTGCCGGGGGCGGCAGGGGCGGCTGGAGGAGGCGGCCGGGGGCGGTGAATGGGAGAGAGACGGAGAAGATTACTCTGGCACACCCGCCCGGACAGACCGCGTGTGGCCGTGCGGGAGCGAGAGCGCGCGGGAGAGAGAGAGGGATGTTACAAATACTCCAACCGGCATCGATTGAGGCTCCCTCTCCCTCTGCCGCCCCTCCCCCTCCACCCCACGCGGCCCGCGCAGCCCGCTGGTGGCGCTGGTGCAGAGGGGCTGCTGGGCTGGGGCTCTGGCCGCCTCTGGCCGGGACGCGGCGCGGCGGCCCGGGAGTCTGGCTCGGCTAGGCCCGCGCGACGCAGCACCCCACCGACGCCCCGCGTCCTCGCTGCGCCACGCCGCGGCGCCACGCGACCACGCGACCACGCGCGCCGCCGTCGCGAAGCAGTGCCGCCGCGAGGACCCGGCCGACCCGGCCGACCCGGCCACGGCGCGCCATGTCGTAGCTGGCGACGCAGGCCGACGCAGACCGGCGTGCTGGCAGGGCCACGGCGCGGCCCCCTCGGGGGTCGGCGGCCTCCCGGCACCCCAAGCAGCCCGCCGGCGAGGAGGCCGCGACCACGCCGTCAAGGTAAGGCCGCGAGCAGCGGGGCGCCGCGTAGCGCGCAGCGTGCGGACAACGTGACGGGGGTCTGGGTGTCGGCAACCTTAGTGTGATGGATGGCGGATGGCGGACACCGCCCGGACACCGGGCCCCGACTTGTTGGTGGTCTTGGCACGGCAGCCAGGCAGACAGGCAGCCAGGCCCTGCAGCCTGCGCTCCTAATCTCGCTCCACTTTCTTCCCTTGTTTGTGCGCGGCTTCGCCTCGGCTTTCGCCCATCATGTCACAACAGAGCGATGGCGACGCAGTCCCGGGAAGTCGCTCCGCAAAAAGAAACCCGGGACAGACAAACGTTTTCCGAAAGCATCAGGCAGGTCATTATTCTTTCGGGAGGCAGGATGGGGGCGGCATTATGTGCTAGAAGGCGGCCGCTGGATGTCTCTATCGGCTAGCTCTCTCTTTCTCTCTCTCTCTCTCTCTCTCTCTCTCTCTCTCTCTCTCTCTCTCTCTCTCTCTCTCTCTCACACACACACACACACACACACTGGCACCCGACCGTCTTTCTTTTATCGTCCGCTCAACGCCCCGCGTCCCGTTCGCCCGGCTTTTCGCTTTTCGCTCTCAAAAGAAGAGAATAATGGAATTAATTCTACAAATCTAATATGACGGCCGCGAGGAGAGTCGATGGCCTCGTTCCGGCCCTCGCCGCGCCCTCACTCGAATCGCCCCGCCCTCCGCGCCCAAAATTATTTTTATTTCCCGCTTGCAAAACACACGGCGCGTTTTACTTCCGACTTTCCGACGCTTTTCTCGTTTAACTGTTCCGCCGACTTCACTGACCGTCGAAACGACGCGGCGTGGCGTGGCGTGGCGGTGCCGGGCGCCGGGCGGTGCCAAACGCCCTGCCCCGCGCCAATCACCAAAGTGCAATCTATCTGGTTCGAAGGCCCCGCGGACCGTCTCGCCGGTCTGGCCGGTCTGGCCCCGCCTCCATTCAGCGGCCGCCAAAGTCCCACGGCGGGTGACGACGTCGCGCTAACGACATTTTCATAAAACTCGCCTCGCGACTTTTGGCGTCGCCGTCCTGTTCCTGTCGGCGCCCGCCTTTGCCAGCCAGGCAGCCAGCCAGGCAGCCAGGCAGGCAGCCTGCCCTGCGGTCCAGCGGGTACGCTGAATTATCCGCTTACAAGGCGTTTTGGCTCACCTCCCACGTGGCTCCCTCCAGGCTCGCGCTTTCAATAGTTGTACAAGGAAGGCCTCGTAAACTCTGCGCGCTCTGCGCCACCGGCTGCCGACTGGGGCTGCAAGTTCGCGGAGCGACGAAGGAACGCCGCAATGCCTAAAGAAGGCGCCCCAGTCAGTGAATGCAGCCATGGCGCAGCCCTCGCCTCTCGCGTTAATCTCCCCCACCGAGACTTCCAGACTTCTCGCGCGGTTTTCGGTTTTTGTCGGCCGACTCTTCCTTCTCCTCGGCAGCCTCGCCGCGATCAGCGTGCCGAGCCTTGCCGAGCCGAGCCGAGCCTTACCGAGCCTTGCCGAGCCTTGCCGAGCCGAGCCGAGCCGAGCCGAGCCCAGCCGGGCCCTAGCCGAGCCTTGCGGAGCCGAGCCGAGCCGAGCCGAATCCCGTCATACCGGCTTGTTGAGGGCGTTGAGGAAGGCCGGGAAGGACCTGCCGCCTTTTCATCCTGAAGGAGGCGCCGCGGTGCCTGCGGCCTGATTCCGTCTCTCTCGCACCCCTGCGAAACGTCCTGCGAGTGCGAGAGAGACAGAGCGACGCCGTTCGGAACGAGCCAGCCGCCAGCGCTGCCGGCAGGAAGGAAGCCATGTCGGCGCATTCGGAGCATCTCGTCTTCCCCTCCCTTCCCCCGCCCTCGCCTTCTTTGCTTATTGTGCCCTCTCTCTTCCTCTCTCCCTCTCTCCCTCACACGCATCCGCCTTGCCGCCCCGCGCATCGCCTGGCCGCGCTCTGCTGCACCTCGCGCTAAAAACACATTAGCTCTTCACGTGTTTGCCGGCCTGATGATGAATGGCAGAGCGAAGCCAGGCGAAGCACAGAGCCGCCGCTAATCAGTTCGGCGACCCAGTGTGGCGGAAGACCCAACAGTCTAGCCGGACATTAACGGATCCTCTTTGAGCTCTGTTCTAAAGCAGAACCGTGGGGGTGCCAATGGATTGGCCCTCCGACGGGCTGACCGAAGCAGCCCGAATGTGAACGTGTACAAAATCATGGAGGAAACGCCGAAGGGATCGCCCTTCGAAGCAGGAATCTATCGCAGTGTCCTCATCCGCTTGATTCAGGTCCTATCTGCAGACAGTCGCAAAAACTGGTCGCACCCGGCCGCACTTCTCTCCATTTCACTCGCAGCGCGGCCAACTTTTTTTTTTGCCCGGACGACAACGAGTTGCATTCCCTTTTGGCGTCTCTTCCCTCCGCGCGCTCCCCTCCGCGCCGCGCGCCAGCCCGGCGGACCATTCCCGGCCACAAGCCGCGGGGCGGGGCGGGGCGGGGCGGGGCGGGCGGCGTGGCTTCGGGCGTGGCGCTGCGGCGCTGCGGCGCGCAGGTGCATGTCTGCGTATTACACCACGGGGGGGATGAGGGAGCGGAGGATCGCAGTGTGTGACAGCTGTGTGGCTCGGTGTGGCTCGGTGTGGCTGGGCCGGGCTCGGCTCCGCGCGGCCCGCGGCAGCACGCTCTTTCTCTCGGAAAATGAGAGCGCCAGCCAGGCGCAGCGAGGCAGCCAGGCAGCCAGGCAGCCAGGCACAAAAGGGCGGTGGCGACCGCTTCCCCAACATTTCCCGAACCTTCCCCGAACCTTCCCCGCCGCCCGATGGCGCCCGATGCAGATTTAATTAATTGGGACCGGCAGAGGTAGCGTCATGCACCCGGCCGGCCGCGGCCAGCCCCGGGGATGAGGGCGTGTAATTATTTTCTGTCCAAAAAGGAATGTAAAAATATTCCCCGGCCGACGCGTAATTGCGGCAGACAAGCAAGCGCACGGAGTGGGACAAAAAGCCAGGCAGCGGGGCGGTGGCCGCCACTTCGGCCACCACACTCGTCACGCCGACGCGTTTCACCACCGCGACGTGACTCGACGCGGGTACTCCATTGTTTCCGCCCGCCGGTTGTCAACTTTATGAAAAATTCGGCTGCCGCGCGCAACAGTTTGCCCGGTCCGCGCGGCGGGGCGAGCAGCAGGCCGGCCCCGGCATGGCGGCCGCGAGCCGCGGAGTGCCAAAGTGGGAAAACGAGTCGAATGTCTGTCTCGGCGCGGAGTCGGCCGCAGGTTGTGCCGCACAGTGTGCCGCACTGTGCGCGGCGCGGCGTCTCCGCTTGCACCCCAGGGGCCGAACCGAGACCGAACCGAGCAGCGGCCGAGGGCGAGGCCGCGAGGCGGGGCCCCGCGAGGAGGGGGCCACTATTTGCCTTGCCTGCGGCGCGGGGCGGCGCGGGCCGGGCTGGCAGGGCTGTTCCTTGCGAGAGCCATCAGCAAGTCGCCTTAGACGGAGAGGAGGGGGGACGCCCGTGCGAAATGGTGAAAAAATTATTGCGGATCTCGGTGTTCTTGGCGGCGCCACCGCGCCACCGCGCCAGCGCCGCCGTCGGAGAGCTTCTCTGTAAAATTGACGACACCGTTGCGGCCCACCGCACCGCGCAGCCATGCCGCGCGCTCGGTCGGGCGTCTCCTGGGCGTCGCGGGGGCGGGGTCGGCGTCGGGGCGGTGCGGGGGCGGCGGTGCACTGCGGTGAGCCTCACTCAGCGTGATGGCCCCTCTGTCCTGGGGGTGGGGGGTGATTGCGGCGAGGGCGCGACACGCGGGGGGCCTCCAGGGGCGGCGCGGCATGGTGGCTGGTGCTCTCCGTCGTGGTGACCCTGTCCCGTGGCGGTGGCCCCGTGGCGGTGGCTCGGCTAAAGAGCGCGTTACGTCCGGCTGGTGGTCGCGATGGCGTTGACCGTCCCGGCGCTCGACGCGCGACTCGGAGAGCAAGCGAAAAGGCCCCCGGCGCGGAAGCAGGAAATCAGTCAGCTCGACGAATTCGCTTCATTCTCCCTTTCCGCTTTTTACCGCGGTGTGTGGCGCAGGCAATTAGGGGAGCCGGGAGGAAGTAAATGAAATTCGAAACGAAGCGAAACGCGTTTTTTTCGTCCCGTTGTGTTCGGAAAGAGAATTCGATCTACAGCGCGGACGCGTCGAGGGCTTCACAGACCCCTATCTTTCCAGTGAGTGCGCTATCCCGGGGTCCCATGCCGCCCCCATGGCCGCGTTGTGCAGCTCTGCATACTTTCGGAATTGAACCATGTTCCCGGAACCCTGGAGCAGACCGGAGCCAGCACAACAAGGAACCGGAAGGGCCACGCTGCTTCCCGGCGAGAGCGCTGCCTCCCGCAGCGTACCGGGAACTCTTCGGAATGCCGCCGGGAGTTGAACCCGCAACCCGCCCAGCCCGGAGTGGATTGCTCTCGGCCTCGTTATCGACTGCGCCGAGGCGGTGGAGAGTCCCGGAGGCCGCGGCGCCGCGCCAGGGGACGCGATTCGAGACCGTTTTGCCTGCAGCCTGCCTGCACTGCACACTGCCGCTCCGGCGCGGATGCTGGCTGCCGCCGCGCCTCACTCAACGAGATGGCCCTCGTCCCCGCCGCCCCGCCTCGCCCCGCCCCACCGCTGTTGTGGCTACAATGCCCTTAATGGAGGTGCATTTAGAGGGTCGATACTCCGCGCCGTGTCGCTGCTGGTCGTCGCGCTCGGTGCGGCCTGCCTGGCTGGCCGATGCGGCCGCCCGGGCCTGCCTGGGCCACGCCGTACGGCCCGGGGGACAGCAGCGCAGCGGAGCAGCAGCGAGCAGCAGGGCGCCAGTATCGTGGGGTATCGACCGCGTGACATTCGAGAGCGTGGCGGCCGAGGCAGGACAGCGCGGTCTCTCTCGCACACCTACGGGACGCGCCGCGAGTGCGACAGGGACGGGGCGACGACTGTTCCGGATTCGGCCTGCAGGCAGGGTGCAGGATAGCCACCATTACGCGAGCCTGCAGCCCGGCTCGTCACGCCACGCCCCGCCATGGAGGCCCCCGCGCCGGTCCGCCGGTCCCCGGGGCCACTCCGGCCGCAGCAAGACCCCCGTCCGAGTCCTAGCCGTCCTAGCCGAGCCGGAACCTGCCGCAGCCTCGCCTCGCAGCGCGGCGCCTTCAATCTGATGGAATCAAGTCTCATCACGGGAGTGACGTCGCAGGCGGTGGCGGCGGGGCCTGGCCGGGCTTTGTGTTGCTGCCTGCCTGCCAGCCCTGCCTGTCCGCCTGCCTGCCAGCCCCGCCTGCCCGTCAGCCTGTTTGTGGACGGCGTTATGAGGGTGCGGGGCTCCCTACCGTCCCTACCCCAACCTCGCTCCATTCCGTCTTCGGTCCGCGCTGCACGGCTCAGCACGGCGTCGACGGCGACGGCGGCAACGCGGCCCCAAGACGGCGACGCGCTATTTGTTAAGGCGGGGGCTAAAATAATGAGTCTGGCTGCGTTGGGCCTCGCGACGCCAGCGCGAAAGGGCGTGGCGTGGCGTGGCGTGGCGTGGCGTGGCGGAGCGGGGTGGGGTGGCGAGGGCGGCCCCAGGCGGAACTAACGGCCCCGCCAAACTGCCGCCACACCGCAAGGCCCTAGAAAGGTTAGTCACAATTCGCGGCGAAGTCGAGTTCGCGGCCAGAATGAAAACGCGCTTGTTTTCGGCCAGGTAAAGTGGGGCTACATTTACTGAGGGTTATAGTACGCATACACAATCAAGTAAAGTTGGCTCCACTCTCGCCTCGCGTGGAATGGGGCTCTATACAGACGGCGGTGGCGGGGAAGGGGGGAGGGGTGAGGAGGAGCCACTATACGGGCACAAGCCCGGGTATGGCTTGGCCAGGGCCGGGGTCTACCTCGGCTGGGATCTACTGTCCTTTTGTCTGGGGCTCGCCATACCAGCCTTGCGAGGCCATACCAGTCCTGCCTCTCTGCTGCTCTGGAGGTGCCCTGGCGGTGGTGTGTGTGTGTGCGTCTATGTGTTTCTATGTGTCTGTGTGTGTCTGTGTGGGCGCGCGTGCGTGCGTGTGTCCTTGTCGTGTGAGCCCCCTCTGTGCGGGGGCTTGAGCCCCCATCCCCGCTGGCCCCACTGGCCCCTCCGGCCCCGCTGGCCCCGCTGGTGCGTGAGCTCGGTGAGCTCCGTGCTAGTTTTGGTGGGAGAGCCGCACGACGAGGAGGCGCCTTTCTGTTTCCCGAGCACTGAATACGAATAAAAGAAAAAGCACACACTCTCTCTCGCTCACACGCACGGGGTCCATATGCGGATGTCGGCGTCGGCACACATGGGCCGGCCACCCCGACAGTGTGGCGCCAGGCAGCGCCCTTGTCGGCTCCCACCTGCTACGGGTCGCGCGGGAGGTCGCCTGGGATGCTGGCCGGGCTGCCGGGCTGCTGGCTGGCCCCAGGGACCGTGCCGCGAGGGCCGGCAGCGGCTCTGGGGCCTGGGAGAGGGGTGGCTCTGCCACTGCCGCTCTTCCTAGCCACTCTTGCTGCATACTGATTCCGAATAGTGTGCTCTCGTCGCTGCGTCTCTCTCGCACTCGAGGTGTCCCGTTCAAGTGCGAGAGAGACAGGTGGTGGGTGAGTGTCCGGGATCAGTCTGCTGGCCGGGTGGAAGTAAGATCAGCGCGGCGGCGAGGCGCAGGGAGGCGCAGGGAGGCGCAGGGAGGCGCAGGGAGGCGCAGGGAGGCGCAGGGAGGCGCAGGGAGGCGCAGGGAGGCGCAGGGAGGCGCAGGGAGGCTCTCGAAGCTGCTCGCCGACAGGTGTTGGTCGCATTCGGCCGATTCCCCGTTGGCCGAGGCGGCCCAGGCCCAGGCGGGCGCGGGGTGGCGAGGGAGGAGCGTCGCCGCGTCTCACTCACCTGCCGCCGGGGATCGTGAAAAAGTAACGAGACAGACGTCGGGACGGTCCGAACGGGACGGTCCGTGCGAGTGACGTCAGGGCGTCACATCGTGTCGCGTCTCGAGTTCGGCTTCGTCCGGTCCGTCCAGATCGTCCAGGCGTCGTCACTGGAGGCACTGGAAGCATGGGGAGACGGTGAGGGGATTCCAGGTAAGGGCGAAACTCGCGACGCCGCCCCTGAATAAACCATCCGCCTTGAACCGCAGCGGTCTGCTGTCCCTGTTGCGCTCGAGGGCCGCCCCGTAGCAGTGCGAGAGGGACAGCGCGACGGCACGGCCCTTCGGAGCGGCCCTTCGGAAGGGCTTTTCGGAACCGCTCGGCTCGGTGGGCAGACCGCGGGGTGCGTGCCGCTGCTGCGGTCAGGACGGCCCGGCCGGCCCGGGCGCGGCCACCGGCCGAACGCGAACGGCTCGCCGTTTTTTGCCGCGAAGACAGGAAGGGTGAAAGGAACGCGCGGCAAATCGATAAAATTTAATCAGCGTAACTCGAAGCGGTAAATTACGACATTTCTTGCGGCGCTGTGACAGCACCGCGGTCGGCTCTCTCTGCGCCTGTCTCTCTCCTCCCCGTCCCTGCTCTACCTCCTCCACCCCCACCGCCTCGCCTCGCCAGCCGCAACGCCCTCCCCTCCCCTTCCAGGCAAATGAGGAAGACTGCTAAGAAAATAAGCAGGGCGAAGGACTTACTTTGCCTTCTCTCATTGTCAGGGCCTCGGCCCGGCCGTGTTGGCGCGGCCGTGTTGGCCTCGTCGGGAGGGCCTCGTCGGGAGGGCCTCGTCGGGAGGGCCTCGTCGGGAGGGCCTTGGAGGGCCGCGGCCAGGCGGGCCGCGCTAATGGAAAGTAATTCATCGAGAAGCCCCTCTCCCCCCTCCAGCACGCGCCAGGCTAAAAGGCGCGGGGCGTGCGGGGTCACCTCCCTCCCCCACCTCCTCCTTCCGGTCTTGTCACCCGCCTCACCCGCATGGTCCCCTTGCGCCCTCCCAACACTACAGTGCCCTCCTCTCTCCACCCCTCCCCTCCGACACCACTTTAAAATGCATGGGCAAACAGTTCCCTCTCCAGTGTGCACACGGCACGGGCCGAGGGCAGCCGGGGCCAGGGCGGGAAACCAGCAGGGAATTCTTCACGGGTTCACGCGCGCGCCTTGACGCGTAGCGTGGCCGGGTGGGGCGGGATGCGGCGAGGAGGGGCGGCCGCTCGGCGAGGAAGAGATGGATGAGGGAAATGGCCGGGGAAAGGGGTAACGGGGTAGAAACTGCCAGAGCCGCGCGTTGCCACCGCCGGGTATTCACACACGCTGTGCTGGCTAAGGCTGCGGGGCCGCACCACCACCAGCGCCGCCACCACCAACGCCGCCGCCACCGCCATCGCCGCACGCAGCAGCCTGGCGGCCCCTCGGCAGGCCCACGGCGGCCCTTGTGTGTGGACAAGCGGGCAATAAGCCCCAGATGAGATTCCTGCACACAGGCCGACAAAATAATCAATTTGGAGCTGCAGGGCGGCAGCGGAGCACTGACAGACATGAGAGCGGAGGGGCGGGCGGGCGGGAGGACGTGGCTGTATGTTGTATATGGATAGCGACGAAAAGGGTGCGAGTGTAAAGAGGTGTGCGTGGGTGCGAGTCACCGCGTGAGTGTGTGAGTGTATCCTGGAAAACGATGGTGATGGGCCAATATCAGCGTGCATCCAATTCGGAGCCGCCCTACCGCAAACAGCCATTCACGGACAGTGACCAGCGAGTCCGGCGATTGTACGACGGCGAGCTAGCCCCGCCGGCCCGGCCGCGCAGGAAAGGCTTATGGGCCTTTATGTTATTGCCAATCCGATCCGCACTCCGCACCACCCATCATCCCGCAGGCCGCAGAGCACCGCAGAGAGGCGGGGCTTGGCAAGGCTCGGCCAGGCGCGGCCGCCCGACCAGGCTTCGCTGTTGTTTTGGGGAAACGGGGAATGAGTCCACCGAGGCCGGAATCATCCCCTTGCCGTATCAACCATCAGCCTACTCTCAAGTCAAGTTGGAATCGCGTTTAGACAGTCCGCTCGGCTGACCACCATTATATGCTTCGCTCGTCTCGTCCCTTTGGCAGGCCTGCTTTTTAATAATGTCCCCATCGAGCCGCTGAAACGTGCGAGAGGCTGCGCGTCAAATTTCTTTTTAATTTTCCCGCGCAGTCTAGGCGGGTAAACTCAAGTAAACTCGGTCCAACTCGGCGCGGGCCCGTCCCGAGGCCCGTCCCATCCCGCTCCTGGACACGGGCCGCTCTCGGGCCGCCCTGGCAGCCATGCCGAAGTTTGAGGCGCACTAATTATGCCTTCCATGGAGGTAGCATCGGTTTCCATTACCGTAATTTCCCGCCAAATTGCTCGTAATTTGAGTTCGAAGGCGCTGCGCGGTCTTCCCGGTGAGCTGCGCCTCCAGATCCCAGAAACGACGGGGTTGCTTTTCCGTCCCGCCTTATCGAGCCTTAATGTTTTAGTGAAATGTTGTGTTGGTTTTTCTGTTGCAGCCGGCATAACTGTACACCTGGTGGCTGCAGCTCTCCTCCTATCGACAGGTAAGCTTTCGCTCTGACTTCGAGCGTCGCTCAGCGTCCCTCTCCGCGGTCTAACGTCCGCTCTGCATACAATGTGAGCGTGTGTCATGCCCCGCGCTTGAAACTCAATTGCATTTGCCATCTCTCTTCGCTGGGCATCTCGCTCTCTTCGCTCCCGTCATTACGAGGGAAACTCTTATATTCGCGTCCGGATTTTTGTTTTCCGTGTTATTTTCTTGTCGATGTTGTTGTTGGTGGCTTTTTTCCCTGCTTTTGCGGCCGGAGCGGCCGGAGGCGAGGCCAGCGGGAGGAAAAGAATTAGAGAGCGGGGCGGGGCCGGGGCGGGATGAGCTTAACAAATTCTCGTATTCACACACGCACACACACACGCACGCGCCCGCGCGTTCACGTTCATTGGCGGGGCGGTCGTTCTGTAAGTGGTATTGGTGTAAATAATCACCCGCCGCCAGGCGGGCAGGCACGCTGTGGGCTGCCGGGCTGCGGGCTGGCGGTAGGAGAAACTTTTAAATACAGTGAAAGCGGAGCGCCGCGAAACGGCCTGGCCCGACTCGAACTCTCGCTGCCCCGGCTGCGCTGGCTGGTGCATTGGCGCTTCAAAAGTTGGACACAACGGTTTGCCCACTCAGAGGCTGTATCGCTGTTGTTGCGGCGTTGCAGTGTGTGTGTTTCGTATTTTCGGGAATTTCGTTGCGACGGTGGCGTCGGGGTCTACGGCTCCGCCACTCGCTTGCTTTACCGCATTCCAGACCCAGATAGTTCACTGTTGGAAAGTTCTCCGGAATCCCCGCCGCCGAGATTCGGTTATTATTATCGTAAAGATTATGTGCTGGTCTGAAATTAGGCACTGCTCGCTGAGAGTGAATTAACTGCAGGCTGATTCTAAACACACAGAATCCAGCTGTGTCTCTCTTTTGCGTTGGGAGTCTCAAGATGGAAGCTCACACCGCGCGCCTAGCGTCTCACGGCCAGCGAATTCTTCGATCGCCGCGAAACCGCCACCCTCACCGCACAGGAATGGCTACGGCCTGCTTGACGGGGAATGCGTCTCGCAGCTCGCAGTCAACGAGTGGCCGTGGCGCAGCGCGGTGCGGCTCGGCACGGCACGGCACGGCAGGGCACGGCACGGCACGGCGCAGCATCACGGGGCATTATGTGTCGTCCATCCCGGAGAATGGCGCGCCATACCACTTTGGCGAGGAACGTGGACCCACCGCACCCCGCCCCGCCATTCCAGACCACGCCACGCCCCGCCCCGCCCCGCCACGCCACGCCAGGCCCCGGGACTGGGAATGCCGCGGCACTTATTGTGTTTCGGGGCGAGCTGCGTGGGCCTCACTCTGTCTCACTCCCACTACAATCACGGCGACCCCCATGTTAGTAGAAGGTGGAGCTTAAGGGGGGCTGAGAGCCGCAGGGATAGAATAAGTGTGCTGGTGTGTGTGTGCCTGTGTGCACACACACACACTCGGGATGAACGGAGTGCGTGTGGCAGGGTTGGAAGATACACCAACACGACACAGCATGATCCATGTTTGTCGAGTGCACTGGCCCCGCCTCCCATTCTCCCCCTCCCTTCCCCTTCCCCCTCCCTCATTCACTCTTTCTCTCCCCGCCGGCACGTAGGCGTGGACGCCGCGCAGCTCCGCTACGTCTCTCTCCGACTCGGTCAACGCGGATAAAAACTTGGATAGCGTTAGTGATTTCGCTCGCAAGTCTCTCCTCTTCCCGTGGTTTTAGCATCCGGCTCTCGGCGTTTTCAACATTCGCCTGAGCTCCAAATAAATTGGGTTTATTGCTCAGAGATGGGTGATCAGTTTCAACTTCGCTCCACTACATTGGTTTTTAAAGGCTACGGCAAGGTTACGGGAGGTTTTCATCAATGTTCCTTTTTTCACCCGTGCTTTTGAAGCAGTATAAAGGCGATCATTCTCCCACGCGTTGAAAGAGTGAGTCGGGTTGGTTTTGTTGTGGCAGCAGTTCCAGGAAGCACTGCACGGCCTCTCGTTCCGACGCAGGAACATTCGAGGCCTCGGGCGACCTGGTTCGCAGAGCCCCGATCGGTGTCACACAGCCACGGTACTCCACCGAGGAGGAAAAAGGCTTCCCGTTTTCTGCGCGCGGTGTGCGGCTAAAAATCGTAAGCCGCTAGAGCTGTAATCAGTAACCACCGAAAGAAAACTACGTAGTTGGTGTCGGAGAATCTTAGAGATCCCAGTCAATAAAAAAGTGTGGTACAGCAAACAAAATACAAGTATGTAAAAAAGCTGTTTGTACGAGATTCGCAGAAAATGAATTTCCCACTCCTGCATCGCTGCCCGGCTGGATGAACCTCCTCGTTAAGGGGGGGCTCTAGACGTCACCCGCGTCCACCACCAACTTTTTTTCACCCCAATGTTCCCTTCCGCCGCTGCTCTCCGCTCTGCTCTCCGCTCTGCTCTCCGCTCTCCGCTCTCCGCTTCCCGCCCTCGCGTGTCTCTCCTGGGGGAAGAGGGGTAGAGAGAGGGACGGAGAGAGAGCGGAGCGGTGGAAGGTCAGGCGCAGAGCACGTGTCAAGTTTTTCGCGCGTTGCCTCTGAAATATGATGTGGTGAATGACGCCTCCCCGTCCCCCGTCCCCGCTTCTGCCTCCCAGCTTGCTCGCCACTCCGGCCCTAAGTATACACACATGGTTCGCAGCCCTCACTTCATTCTCGTACGGCGCTAACAACAACTCCCCCCTCACCCTCTCCCTGCGCTGCTGCCGCCGCTCTCCAGCGACCTATTGAGAATGCCCGGCTCCTCCCTCAACACACCTCTCACGGCGCCGGTTTGCATAATTTTGACAACTCTGTGCGCCTTTCCTCCCCCTGCTGCCGGTCCTGCTGGTGCTGGCCGTGTCGGTGCTGGTCGCACTGGTCGAGCCCCGCTGGCAGCCGCCCGCCAAGCGCGGGGTAGGCACTCCCGCCGAGCAGGGCCGCGCGCCGGGCTGCCTACCCGGCCGTCGACGGGCGCTTCCCCGGCCGTCTTGACTCCGTCGCCGCCCGCCAGCATCATCATCACCGCCGTCATCAACGCCATCATCGCTGCGAGGCGGGACAGGGGAAAGAGATTACGGGGCGGGAGTAATCTTTGTTGATTTCCGGCGCAGGCTAAACAACATTTGGTTGCCAAGTGTCCCAGGGGCGGTCCCTAAGCCCCGTGGAGTGTCCTGGGGTGGGCTGCGGGCGTGCTGCTGGCCCCGCCGGCCACGTCGCATCTTAAATGCATGGCGGTGCTGCGTTAGCCTGCGTTAGCCTGCGTAGTTGGGCCGACCGCAGGCGGCAGGGCAGCCGGCCGGGTGGAGTTGGAGCAGGGTGAAGCAGGGCCAAGCAGGGCCCGTCCGCACCGGGAGGGAGCTCTCGCCGGCTCTCGCTTTCCCGCTGCGGTTTTTACCGCACCACCGAATTCGTTAGTGGCATCGAATCGACCAAAAATAATGCCGGCCGGAACCACTGAACGCTTTTGTTGGTGCGCGGTGCGCGACGAGCGGGGGGGGGGGGGGGGGGGGAACGCGGTAGAAAGGCGGCGGAAACGTGCGGCGGAAACTCGATTGGAATTGTTTGTCGCGCGTCCTCTAGTCTTTATAGGGGTGTTGCGGGTGGAAATTTGCACTGCGGGTGGCATGACCATGGCTCGGTGGCGGGGCGCGGCGGGGCCAGGGCGGGACTTGGCCGGGATTTGGCGAAAGTAATGGTAACTAACCAGGCGGCCGAGGCAGCCAAGGCGGGCCGGCCGCACTCATTAGCGCCAGATTCACGGCCCCGTCGCGGCGCAGCGCGGCGCGGTGGCCCCCGGAAGGGAAGAGCAGCCGCCTGGACGTAACTTTGGACATATTTTCGGCTCCAGGTCCCCGGATAGGGTGTGAATAGACCGCGTGAGGGCACCAGTGGATCGCCCTTGGAACGAGGATTCCATTGGTACCATCATGTGTGCTATTCGAGTGCGATTTGAGAGGGCATTAGATCTCAAACCGTGTCCTAAGTTATCCCGGGTGGAAGGATCTGCAGTTTAAACTATATTGAAAAAATATAGATTTTTTGTAATGTTCAACTTAATTTTTAAATACTTTTTTTCATACTTTAAATTACTGTAATGTATTGTATAATTGCAGGTAAAGTGTAGTTCAACTACAGTTGAAGTGTAGTAAACTACAATTAAACTGCAAAAAAACTACCAGTTATTTCGGACAACTATAGTTTTTGACCCAGGTTGTCCTAGTCTTCAGATCAGTTGACTATAGTTCAAAGTACAGTTTTACTGTAGTTAAGTTACACAGCCAGAGTTAGTTCAAAAGAGAAGACAATCTGCAGTTTCAAAATTTGGTTCAAAATTCAAAATTTTTAATTTTGGAACCTTGTTTTTAGGGGACTGTCCCTCCCTCTGACCCCTAAGGTGATTGACTTCGTGTTAATTGTGTGTTTTCATTGGTTGTTGCCGGGAGTTGAACCTCGGACCCATGGCTTGTGAGGCAGAGGCCTTGACCTCTGCACTACTGAGCTTCCTTGTGGATGGGGGCTTGGCTACACGACCACATGGAAAGGCCGGCTTTCCTCAGGAACTATAGTTCAACTGCTAGAAAACTACAGTTTTACTGTAAGCTTCTCTGTACTATGAGCGAAATCTACTTGTCTAAAATGTAATTTATAATGAATTTGCCTCAGAAACCAAGACACCGTGGAGTGATTTAATTCAGAGAGCCTTCAAGGTCTTAATTTTCAACGACTGGAGTCGTTACCTTTTCAACTTCTCAGACGCATTGCATTATAATGCTTTCTAGTTTTATTTGTGTTTGACATTTTATCATCCAGTCATAATGAATTTGATGCCACTTAGCTAGACCTTGTTTGGCGACAAGCTGGCTAAATTTTGTGGCTTGTTGATTTCCACGATACTTTGTCACATGCTACCTGACCAATATGGAACATTATAAAATAAGCAAACAGATAACCAGATAGTATTTTATGAATTGGTTACATCCAGCCA